TGACCTTGGCGAGATGGGCGACTCGAGCAACCATATCTAAAACGGCATTTGCTATAGCTGGTCTAAGTGAAGGGTGATGACGGGCAAGCTCATCGAACCCACTACCAACATTGGAGGCCACGCTCTCATCGGCCGCCATCACTCGGACGTGCTCGGGGCTCTCGAATATCTCGAAGTAGCTGTCAAATGCACGAGACGCCACAACCATCTTCATGCCGATATTATTTAAAGAAATGGCATTCAAAACACCTGGCACATTTGTAATAGGTTCAGAGTTTGGTAAAATGCCACGGGCTAAACCATCCCGAGGGGCTTCCAACTCATCCAACGACGGAGGGTGCGAACGGTTGTCGGGTTCAAGGGGATCGGGCGTCGAGCCATCCGAAGGCGACCCGGGGCTCTCATCCCGAGTTTCAGATGGGCCCGAGTCTGTCCCAGCGGTCTGTTCTGCCTGTACTGGGCGACTTGTCAGAGCTTGTAGATAGCTCTGAATCAAGCCCGCTTCGGAGATGGCGGCGAAACTCGTAGGGTCGTTGTTAAGGAAGTCGCTCAAAATAATGACGGCATTGGTCCATACTATAGAGCCGAATTTCGTCATGTTCTCAATAATCTCGCGCATACTATGAAGTAGTGCAGATTTATCGACGAGGTTCCTCAGTAGTCGATCGGTGTTTCCACCGAATGAAAAGGCATTGGACATCACATGGTGGATGAACTTCAGGATGAATTTTAGGTTCTGTTGCTGATAGAAAGGTATCTCATAATCAACAACTTGAGAACGATGAGTAGCCGGTGTTCCCTTGTTCTCGGTGATGAGTTTCCCTGCGAGTTCAACTTCATGAGTAACTAGGTTGGTGATAGCATCAAGGCCACCAGCATGTATCAAGGTCTGGAATGAAGTCTGGACGTTGTACACCAGACTGTCTAAGAATCCCACCAAAGTGCCGTATGTGCGTTCTGCTATATTAGACCTAATGTTGAGGACCTCGACCATAATGTCCAGCAATCCAGCCGAGATAATCTCGGGCGTGTTACGGTTAGTATTGTTAGCCATGGCCATTGTGATATGAAGCGTAAGAGAGAACAGGTTGTCGCGCCATTCGTCTTCCTCACTATACCGCTCTCCGGAATCATCATTCTTCATCTCGTCGACGGCCTTCCTAATAACATATAGCAATACACCATGGTTCACAGTCGCGTTCAATGCGGAAAATATGTCGGGTAGCTTGTTATGGAAACCGGAAATGGCTTCCAGCAGTGATAACGCGATCGACTGTAAATCGATAGGTACTACCGTAGCGCCATCGGCGGCGGGGTGGATCAGTTCCGCGAGTTGGTACACGAGTTGAAACCGTCGCGGCTCATCGTTATCCTGTCTGAGGACTTTCTCGATGAAGGTGGGCTCTATATGAATATACGCTAGATTTTGGATAGCCAACAAACGCGCTTTCAATGCCTGTCGTCGAGATTCAACAGACCCCGTGAGAGCTTTAGCAACTCTGAGACGGTTCAAAAACTCGTACTTGGTCTCTTTCGGAAGATCCGCAGGGGCCCTAGCGAGAAGTTGATAGATCGATGCCGAGCACACTGAAGCATGAGATATCTCCAAAGACTTCTGTCCAGGCGGAGAATTCTCATCACGACCTACGGCTGGGGGCCGAGAGGCGGAGGATGGGCTGTCCTCCGATGCTCCCTGACGACTTGTACGGGGGGTAGACTGCGTTGCACCAGTTGTGCTACTTCGCCTCAGAGGCGTCGGCGTTGGAGGCACATTGGAAGTTGTAGCTCGCTCAGGTAAGGACTGCTGCGTCGGCGCCTGAGAACCGTCGGAAATAGGATAGTACGTGAGCTTAACGTCGCCCCATCCATTCCAACGTGTTTGAGAACCCGAGGACTCAGTAGGGTCCGCCTTCGCAAGAGCGCACAGGTCGTTGGCATACATAGTAGCTACATTTTTAGGGCTTCCGCCGTGAGTCTTATCCTTATTCTTGCTGGAAGAACCCGGAGTGGAAAGGATCGAAGGCTCCAGGGCTTTAGAGAGGGGCGTCTTGACAAAGGGTTGTGCAAGTTGTAGCACACGGTCGAGATCTATATTGTAATGGTTGGAGAGGAGAGATGGGTGTACTTGTCTGGCTGAGATCCCATGGATGCGTTTCACTGACGCCTGATAGCGCTGGGCCAGTTCCACGCCGACGCGCAGAGTGGCACAGATAATGGCGAAGTCAGTGCTGTTTAGAAGGTCGTTTAAGTGAGGACTGCTGCCGTAGATGCTGCGGTTTCCACAGTGATCCAGGAGCATCTGAGTGAACTTCAGGATAGCCACGATAAGGTCGACATCGCCATCCTTACCATATCCTAACTCCGTTAACTTGTCTGGGTCGCTCGACTGTTCCTCGCCGTCGACGGAGCTAGATCCCAATAGAACTTCGCAGCCAAAGTCCCTACTCTGGGGGCCCTCGTTCAACTTGTAGATAGAACAGAACGATTCCAGGAGCTCGTCGAACCGATTAAGTAACGGGATCCAGTGATACAAATCACCTCTCGGGAAAGGCCATCGTGAAGGAAATGTCGCAAGGACTTTGGGTAAGAGAGGTAATGGTGTAGAGGTCGCATTATTGACGAACTCCTGCAACCAAGGAGACTAGAGAAAAAATCAGCAGACTGCATGGGAGAACAAATAATATGCAAGAGTACTTACCATAGTCTCCTTGTGCTTAGCTTGCATGGTCTTCGATATCTTTCCCATAGTGAAGGCCGGGGCGGCAGAGCCGCAAAGAATATGTCAGCTCCCCCTCCACTACTAAAGTTTAGGTAATCGGCGACGACAACTTGACTCGTAGCGCGGGAGCGTCCAAAATAGCTTGGACGGCTCCTCCAGTATGGTGTCTCGAACTACTCGTCGGTGCACAAGGCGGGGTGACGGAGTGCAGGGCCTTGTGGGGGGTGTAAGTTGCAAGGTTGAGCCTCGTCTCGAATATCAGCCTTGCGGGTATCAAAAAAAGAGATTCGGTTGTAGAAACGCTCCGATGAATTCACGGCTAACTCGGGAGATGGAGAAATCGATGAAAGATAGGCACCGGGCGTCGCACGGATGCAAATTAAATAGCTAGGTCGCAGGTGGACGGTGCGCGGATGAGGGGCGACTGATGATGGATGATGTGAGGTGTAGAGATATGATGTCCGGCACAGTTCTCAGGAAGCTGAATTTTAGATAGGTCCAAGCGGGTGCAGGCCGCTGTACCACAGTTTTTTCAGGATCAAGAAGAACGTGCTAAGTTGTATTAGCTTGGGATGAAGTAATATGATTCGTACCAAGTGCCTGGATATCTACTTGATTTGGTCGACGATGAGATGCAAGTTTGGCGGAGTCGAGTTGATAAAAAAAAAAAATAGGACTAGTTTAAGAGGTGTTTGAAAGCTCGCGGCTGATCCTTTGCGTAATGATTGCACTTTGTGGGGGGGGTGGTGCTTGCCGTAGCAATAGTGATTGTAGGTACCTTAGGTAGGTGCAAGTGCAAGTGCAAGAGTGGGGTCGCGGCCGGCGGTATGATATTGTACCTCAGGCCTCAGGTGTAACTACCTACTTCGTACCTCCTACCTGAGGTCATCAGGTGCTTACAAAACAAACTCGAGTACGTCCATTGAAGATGTATCATAGGTACCTAGATATCTACACGTGTTAGTACCTTACATTAGGCACTGTATTTACTGATTCTCGCTAACAATTGAGAAAGTTCCATCTCACTACTTTGTTTTTTTTCCTCTCTTTGTCATGGACCGCGTTCAGCGACAATTCAAACGAACATCCCCTCATGGTCGATATGAGCCTATCAGAAATTACATAGTTCCTACTATTGCGTAGTATTATAGAGTCTAACACAAAACCATTGATTCATCGTCAGCAGAATTTTTCAAAGGTTGCAGCCCAACGTCTAACAAGTCATAAGTCAATAATACTACATATATTCTACTCGCATGTATTATACTAATGGGGACAATTGCTGCCCAGTGCACTCCCGAGGTCGCGGAGACCTTATTTAGTAAGTCATGGTCGAATCGCCGGGGTAATTTTTCTGGGTAAGGTATCTATTGCCCCATGTTACATGCAGGTTGCTTGGAAATCTTCAATTGAGGTGTTGCTTTACAGGATTCCCTGGGTCTAAAACCCCTGGAACATCTTCCTTCCCGTCAGTTTTATCAACTACCAGAATATCTCGAACCAGATTATGAAACAATGCTAGGCAATAGCTATCAACAATCAGAGTACCTGTGTTATCACGTACCTAATAATAAATGCCACTCGCATCTCGCATACGTAACCTAAGGTACCTACCTACCCAGGTAACAATATTAAAGCTATCCTACCTTAGATATAATATAGATAGGATTATCGACCCCGCCGTAGTCGCACATGGGAGAACCGGTCCGGCATTGGCGTAGAGCTACTATTGTTTGCATGTAAGTAAGATGTCTATACGTTAGCAGTGCCATGGTACAGCGTACAGCATCAGACTAGATCCCGCATTGTTCTTTGATTTTAAGCAATTGTCACCAATCACGTCCAAGCTTGTAGTTTAGTATATACTCTACTCCCTTAGCACGTGATTTTAAGATCATTTGTACAACTTAGGAGTGGTCCGAGGTTCGATTCCTCTCTTTTTATAACATTTTTGGTTCTATTCATCCCACTTGAATATAAATCAGATAGATCTGTGTACCACAACCTCGAGATTTATTCTACTTCTTTGTTAAATACACCTGTAGTTAATACCATCTTTTTCTCTAAAAGCTTCGTCGACAACCTCAATTAACAAAGTATGCAATGATTACGGACTTCCGAAATATCCGACGTAGGCAGTCAACCAGTCACGCAGTTAGCAAAATAAATAAGCATATTATGCGAGTAATGAACTTCATCGCGGTAAAGTCAGCAGTATTGATTGAACTATTCGCTTCAAATTACATAGAGCAATGTCGGATCAGATGAATAGCCAAACTACCTACTGCTTCTTAAATTCTTCATAATGCTCATAGACTGACAGCTCAAACTGCGTCATCAACTCGACAATTTTCGCGTCTCCCACCGGTATCAGGTTTGTGAACAACGCGCCGCACAAGCCACTCTTTCTATCAATCCACCATATCAAATTCGGCAGGCCACCCCAAGACATAGTCCCGGCCTGTCTTCTGCCAACTTCGTCTTTAAGGCCGATCTCTCCGCCGAGTCCGTAGTCCATCACCTGGTGGTCCATATCAAACGTATTACCCAAAACTCGTCGAGAGTTCTCGTCGGAATGGAGTATGTTGTTCAAGGTCTCCTTGCCCTCGGGTCCCAGCTGCGGCCGGAACATCTCCTCGACGAGCTCTTTGCTCAGGACCCGGCCGTCGTTTGCGCATAGGCTCTGTAGTATGTTCAAATAGCTCTCTGCGGATCCCCAGCCCGCTGCCCCGCCGTACGCATCCTCCCTGTCTCCATATTGGAACAGGTAGCCCTCTGTTGTAGGGTGTAGCTTTCCATCCTCGTCCCTGAGAGTCATTCCCACTTTGCGCGACTTCGTCTCTGGCCTTGAATCAGGGGCAAAGGTAATGTGATGCATGTTAAGCGGACCCCAGATGTTGGTCTTCATATATTCCTCAAGAGACAGTCCGGAAACCCGCTCAACGAGTTTACCTGCCCAGTCTAGGCTTGAGCCGTATTGCCAGCCTTTTCCAGGCTGGAAAACGAGCGGTCGCGAGAGCTCGGTCACGATGTCCTTGGGAGGACTCGTAGGAGGGCCTGTGAATTTCTCCAGCTGTTGAAGCTTAGGGGAGAACATTTCCATGGTAAGTCCACTGGCATGGGGGAGTAGGTTTCTTTATCCAGATATTAGTAATTCTCAAATGAGGTAATGTTATTATTCATAAAATACTCACCTCAAAGTGACCGGCTCTTTTCTGTCTTCAAAAATGGGCTTTCCTTCCGCATCAAAATCTTTCAAGACCTTCAACGCGGCGACTTCCGGGAGCACCTTACCGACATCCTCATCTAAGCCAATATGTCCTCGTTGGACTTGTTGCAAAGCTGCTACTGATGTCATAAGTTTCGTACAGGATGCCATCCACACAACACTATCTGTCTTGAATGGCTCCCCGTGAGCCGTCTTGCCAAATGATTTCTCATATCTGAACTTCCCCGTGGCATCAGCCGCCACAAGGGCCACACCCGGGATTTCGCCAGCCTGGTAGGCGGCCTCGAAGACAGCCTCGTGAGAGAACTTGGCCATTTGATAATCAATGTGGAGTAAGGGATTTTATAAGTAGAGCGTATATATTAAGCTATCCTTATGAGTTAAGGCTAGTCGTGATTGATCAATGGGTTCCATTTTGGTTCCTATCGCAACCTTATATATACAGAAAAATCATTGTCTGTCTATTCACTATCATCGCCGAGGAGCTATGGCGGCCAGGTGTAGATCCTTTAGCCATGAGGCTACAGGATCTGGTTACGATAGGTCCCTTGTTCAAGACATCCGCCCACCTAAATTAGCAGATATGCCCCCTTGTCTCACAGATGCGGCGCAGAGAGGTCCATGCGGACTTGCCTAATCTAGCACCAACGGCTTTAGGCATCGCATCAGATCGTTGGAGGTTGTTTCTGATTACGAAGCAAGCGACTCTTAAGTACAACTGCGCCATGGCAGTACGTGCATGCTCGGCGATGATTCATCAGGCGTAGAATTATGGTTCCGATGTCCGGTGGGATTAGTAGTGAACGGACAAACCTAGAGACCGCGTCTATACTCGAATAGTATAATGGTGCAGCTCCAAAATCGGACTTCATGAACCCCCGGGAATAACTCACTCCACAGCCCCTATACCCGGTTTCAGTAGCCTATATGATTTTCTAGTTAAACAGCAAGTCTTCTTGCTTGGAAATTTCTTTTAAATGCAGATATAACCAACCTAACACTCCGGTACATATTGTTTAAGTTAAAACCAGTAACCCTCCCGCCGTCCAGTTATATCAAATTTCCCCCAACATTTAACTTGGAGGTTCTATTACTTTATATCAATATCATCGAATCGTCAAAACCTCCAATGCAGTCTTCTTTTGATCTTGATCAATACGTGTAGTATATATTATACCGAAGGTCATAGAAAACTCGCCTAAATAGCCTCTTCACCTGGGTGTTAGCTCCGGTAACTGCCTGACATCACGCGCTATTTAGATTGATCTAATCCATTGCTGAGCTGATGCTATACAAGATATGAGGAAGGACGAGGAAAGCGATTAGATTGTTATCCAAGTACGAATACAAATTATACGGGGCGACTGGCGCACATTCACCAACTCCTTCGTTCTAGTGGTCTCGGTACCCAACTGCTCATCTTCTGGTAGCTTAGAGAGCGGACTGCCTTATCCCAACATGGCCTCCGTATAGGGTTGCCAAGATCTCTATATACACATTCTTTAAAGGTGTTGTACTCGATTTCTATTAATAACTACCCTAAAGCCCCACTCAGAGGTTCGTGGTTTTCGAGTTCTGTTGTTCGTTGTGTTATAACAAGTAGACTAGCATGGCAGTTTCAAGGAGTTCAGTTAGCATAGATAGGAACTTCAAATTAGATGTCGGGTTAGTCCCTGTTAAGAGATGTTAGCTTAGTCAATAAAGCTCAACCATTCGTATGTTATAATATTTACATACACGAGAGAGTGTTGCTATATAGATGATAAATAGGTACCTACCTATGTATTAATAGTTCTAGTTAAAGCATCAATGAGCTTTACTATGCACAATATCATCTTGTAATTAATAACACAATCGTCATTCACCTTAACTACTAAATATTAGAATTAGATAGACTTATAATTATAGCACAAGTAGGTACGCATAATTCTAGCAAATTTTAGCCTATGCCTACATTGATATTTACTTGTTGGCATCAACTTTCTTAATAATCCCCTGAATTACTCATTCGATTTTATTCTTATAATGCTTTTTAATCCGAACATGAAATTGATCTAACTACCCATTTACCTCTTGACTTGTTAATTAAGGAGGTTCTACTTAGTAAGTCTAAATGTTGTATGACTTTGTAAATACCTTATTCAAGGGATATTTATAACTATTCATCGACGTGAATATTTTTCATAGTAACCGAAGAATATTACTGGACAGTATGTAGTTCTCCTTGTTTGGGTAGTACAGGTATTATTAAATAGTGACATATCAAGTACAATATAAGGCCAATCATATGAGAGGCTGTACTCATTTAAGAAAGAAGGCCACTTACGCAAACAAGAATATCTTACAGGACAAGTGCATGTGCACTTCGTTGGGGTTAGCAGCAATGCCGAGTCCCTTACCTCGGATCTATTGAAATATCAAGATTGTATGGTAGCTGCCGAAGTTAATTCATGCATGCAAGTCATACAAAATCTAAAATAATAATCCACGGCGCCACATAAAGAAACATTGTCGACTGCATGTAATTGTCTCTAACAAAACCTAGTTGTTGGACGAGCTAATGAATCATGGCTTGAAGAGTGTAAGTGAGATAGAAGCACGTAATATGAAATTCTATATGCAGTGTTATCCTGATTTTTATAAGTCTTAGAAATCTGCAATACTTTATGATGCTATAATCTCCTTGTAAGACAACGATACCAGTCTCCCTCGTTTGTCTTCCAGAATATTACACGTAATTTAATAAATAATTAGCGATGCATGAGACGCCATCGTACATAACGGCCCATTACTTAATGCATGTGGAAAGGGGTCGGCATGCGGCGTTTACGTATGCAAATATCCTGTTGGTGTTGAGAGCTTCCCGATAACGTGCCTTCGTTAGGTATTGATAACATAAACGTGGCGGCTGTTCGAGGCGTTGGCGCTAAATGGTCCTTTCACATGGGATGGTTGATGGGATTCTTTGAGCTTAATTTAGAAACGTTGATTACTTAGGTGTACGTTGCGTTGCGTCAATCTTGAATGGACAATCTAATGAAAAGACCCAACATTTATATAAGAAGTATAATGTATATGTTTTATGCTAATAGTCCCGGTAATGTCATGGTACCAATTTACTTTACGGCAGAAGAGGATATATGATGTAGTGTTGAGTTAAAATTGTGATCATAGATCTTCAATTTCGTCTTGCTGCTTGGTGATATCTTGTCCTACTAGACTTGACGCACATTGCTTTTGTTAGGTGTTACCTACAAATGTAACTGACGGGAGTACACGAATTAGGTATACATATGTACATTTTGGGTATGTACTAAGCAGGTGGTGCTACCTAATGTCCATATGGATTTTACCTACCTATGTGCAAGGACTAAAATATGGACGCCCTAAAGAAACCCCTGAACTAGCTTAGAATAGTGGGCATCAGAATTGTTAGTTAACGCTTCTAGCGGCAAACTACGCGACATGCCACTGGCTACAGCTCATCCATAGCACTAAAGGGCGGGAAGCTTGGCGCTGAAACGACGGGCTGGTATAGGGCCGTGCGTCGCAATTGGATTTTTAAGATCCATTCCTACAAGGTAGAACTCCACAGATCAATCCTAGTCACGTTTAGTCAGTTCGTACGAAGGGGGAAGGGGAAACAATTACAAACGAACGGTGAATCTAAAGTACATCTTTTTTGAATTTCACCTTCTTTCATTTCTCCCATGCAATTCTTCTTACGGTCTGTGATCATTGTTTAGTACCAAATAATAATTCTTTTTGACGAAGAATAAGACGTTCCTCCGAGTTGATCGCGTCGCGTTTCCATTGTTCTGTTTGTCTAATTACCTCCTGAAAGTTGAAAGATACCTTTGCATTGTTGCCGAGACGGGACCCTGCCCACATAGACTCGATAGATGCTAAACAGGTACCTCACACGACAACCTCATTCCCAACCTAAACTCGACACACTCTCCACGTAGAACAATCACTGGTAGCTATCATGTCTGGCCCAGAGGAGCCGCATACGTCTGAAGCTGCTCCCCAGGTCATTGGGTCGCCAACCCCTTCAGACAAGGACACGGTACGTTGATTATCTTATCTTCACATGCGTGGCCCCTTTGTTTAAGCGTCAAGCGTAACTAGCTTTAGTTACATTCCAACCTGTCATAAAACTTAGGAATGCTAATTAGAAATTATGTAAAGGACACCTTCGAAGATGCTATTGATACAACATCCGTGAGATCTCTAACAAATCGCAAACTTTCACCTCGACCAAATAGCGGTGCTACAGATAGTATTCCAGAGTCGCCAGAGGACGAAGAACGAAGAGAGCGAAGCCAAGCCAAATGGAGTCGCAGTAGAAGAGAAAGACGAGGAAAAAAGAGGAAAAGGAAGAGGAAAGGAAAAAGAGGAGGAGGTAAAGGATAACGTAAAAGAGAGTCTCAAAGAGATTGATCTTGGGGACGAGAAGGACGAAAAAGACGAGAAAGATGACGAGGTTGCCAAATCTTCACCTACAACCAGATCCGCGCGCAACTCGAATGCATCCTTAGACAATGTTGACCTTAGTGATGGTGTTACAGAACAACCAAAGGGTTTGTTAACCATTCTATTGTAATCCCTATTGTAATCCAAAGTGCACTGGCTGATATATAAATCTAGAGGAACCCCCTATTGTAGCAGCAAAACAACCATCCAAAAAGCTTTCTCTCGGCAATATTGGAATAACAATGCCTTGGTCTCCATCTCCTCCCGCTACAGAATCACCGCCAAAAACAAGCCCGAATCCTACTACCGCACCGGCTGCGGCTCCTGCACCACCAACTCGAAAAATTACAGGCCCATTTTCTTGGTTATCACGGAATTCTACGCATAAGGAGAAGGACGCGGTCACGTCACCGCCCGTTACAGCGGCTGTATCACGAAGGAACACAGCAAGTTCTATCGCTACGTTAACTAGTAATCCGGAAATGATGCTTAGCAAGCTCGACGAGGAAAACGAAGGCGATGGAGGACCTCGCCTATCGAGAAATAGTTTGAAAGACCGGTTTAAATATGTACGAATGCGGGAAGAGGCTGGTATTTCCCTCAACCCTGATGATGATGATAAGGCGTCGACCTTGGGAGTTCTGAGCCCTACTGGCGAGAGCTATCCGGATGTGAATTTTAACTTGCCTCCGCCGTCCCCTTTACCGCCGAACCCGGACACAAACCTAGCCCCTGGAACGGTCTCGGGCGTATCTGCTGGCCCTTCTACCATTGCGGACGCTCAGGTTGATTGGGATCTTTGGCAATCCGTTGTTTACGAAGGCCCAGCTGCCGTCGCGAGAACAAACCCAGAGGAGCTCAACAAGGCGATTGTTACGGGCATCCCTAATGTGATCCGAGGAGTAGTATGGCAAGTACTTGGCCAGAGTAAGAGCGAGGACCTTGAAAGGGTCTACAGAGAGTTGCTGGCTCGAGGTTCCGAAAAGAACAAGGACCGTAACAGCAACGCTACCTCTGTCAGTATTTCGAGCAACGGCAATTTGAGCTCCGAAAGAGACGCGGTAGCCTCTTCGGCGTCGTCTATCCAGTCAGAAGTATCTGGCGCCAGTGGTAAGAAGGCATCACCACCATCTTCTGAGCCGTCAGAAGCAGCTCTAAAGGCCCAAGCTTTAGCTGCAGCTGAGAGGAAACGCAAAGAAAAGGAAGACGCAGTATCCCTTCAAAAACTAGAGAGGGCTATTAAAAGGGATATCGGCGCCCGAACAAGCTTCTCAAAGTATGCGGCGGCTGCTGGTCTGCAAGACGGCTTATTCGGTGTCTGCAAGGCCTATGCACTCTTCGACGAAGCTGTTGGGTATGCTCAAGGAATGAACTTCTTGATTATGCCCCTCCTTTTTAACATGTCCGAGGACGAGGCGTTTGGTATACTTGTCCGACTGATGAACCAATACAAGCTACGCGACCTATTTATTCAGGACATGCCAGGTTTGCATATGCATCTATATCAGTTCGAGAGGTTACTTGAGGATTTCGAGCCTGCTCTTTATTGCCATTTGCACCGTCGTGGGATATCGCCCCATTTGTACGCGACGCAATGGTTCCTTACTCTTTTTGCCTATAGGTTCCCTCTGCAGCTCGTACTAAGAATCTATGATCTTATCTTCTCCGAAGGCCTATCTGCGATTCTGAAGTTTGGTATTGTTCTTATGCAAAAGAATTCAGCGGCGCTGCTCGACATGACAGACATGGGCCAATTGACGAACTTCCTAAGGGACAAACTTTTCGACGTGTATATTGATCAGTCCCCGAGCGCTGGCAGCATCCTCGAGAATGGCTTCTTCGGTAGCAGTTCTTCAAGTGCCGATAAGGAGGTCTACCGGGCAGATCAATTAGTTCAGGACGCATGTGAGGTGAAGATTACACCTGAGATGCTCAAGGCTTACACGGCCGAGTGGGAAGAAAAGACTAAAGCTGAGAAGGAGAAAGAGAAGGAACTTGCGGATCTGAAGACTACGAACTTAAGCCAGGCCATCAAGATCCGGAAGCTCGAAGAGCGACTGGAGGCGAGCGATCGTGAGCAGGCAACCGTGACAACGGACCTAGTTCATACCAAGATCGAAAACGAAGAGCTCAAAGATCAGAATGAGAGCTTGACCGGCCAAGTCAAGGAACTTCGCCACGTCATTGAGCAGCAGCCTGCGGAGTTAGAAGGAGCCTGGAAGCTCGAACGTGAAGACCTAATGAAGAGAAACGAGAAGGTGCACGAAGAGAACAGAAGACTCGAAAAGGAGCTCCAAGAGCTTGAAGAGGAACTGGTTCAGACTAAGATGCGATACGCTGAGGTATGCAATCCCCTATTTCCATTTTAATACCTAAGCAGTCTTAACTAATCATTTGTAACAGATCAACTCCCAGCACGAGACCCTGCAAAAGAGGTGGGCCGAACTCAAGCGGCAGTTCGCCTGAGCTGGTCCTCTCCCTTGATCATGCTCCCGCTAACGACCTCCCGGTTCACCCACATTCTCATTCTTGTACAAAGTAGCTTCTACGGTTTGTTGTAATCAGACAAATCCACCAGGAGGAAAGGAGAGCATGGGGCGGGCAAGCAAGCAAGTAAGCAAGTAAGCAAGCAAGCACATACATAGTTTAAGGGTATTCGTGTACCTTGCCATGCCATGCCATGTCATGTCTGGGTATCTACGAAGTCAGGTTTTATCATTTTGTCAAGCGTGTCCCTTTCTATCTATCGGGTAAAAAGCCGCTATTAGCATAGGCGTCTAGGCTAAACCAACTCAACCAGTCAGCCACCAGGCGACGAAATCTTTCTTGTCCCTCTTCTTGTCACTTTCTTCTTCGTCTTGTCATAATTCATCGGTGCCCATCATCTTCGGTAATTGGGAGGGGGTGCTTTTCCTACCACGTCGCAGGAGGGAGGGTGGGTTAGGTACTTAGGCATATTAACGCATTAGAGAGGAAGAACGAAGATAGCCCTGAGGGGAGGGGAGTAACACATCACATTACTTCGCATCATATCATATCTGTATATCACTCGTCGGTGGATAGGGGACGACGGCATTGTCATTGCATGCTTGCGTGGGGGGATTTAACTTATTGGGGAGAAAGAAAGAAAGAAAGAAGGGAGAACACGTTTTCGGACAGGCGGATAACCTGAGGTCCTGTGGAAGAACAGAACAGAACAGAGCAGAACAGAACAGAATAGATGAGATGAGATGAGATGAGAAGGGGAAGGAGAGGAATATTGTATAGAATCAGAGCTAGGCAGTAGTTCGATGAATACCACATTCTGTTGTCATGACTACCTACCTTAGGTATTCAGTTGCTATTACTGTTATTATGTGTTAGTTATGTAGCTAAAGTAGATGAGTTCTAGGCGCTGTAGACGGGGACATGAAGAACTACAAACTATAGATGGCTGGGACTAGATAGCTAACATAGCTGGACGGAAGCTCTTCTCTTAAGGTATATATAGCCTAGGTTACGAATATAAGAGTTGGCAATTATATGCCAGACATATGAGCACATGACTACTACAATATTAATATCACATTAGGATAGAATATCATGGCTCAAAAGGTTAACATCGTAGTATTCCAGATAGCTAACTCGAATCAAACATTTTTAGCAACGAGGTTCAAATCTCTGAAAACCCAGAACATATTAGCAGAGATGGCGTATCTCAACCAGGGCGATTACGATTATCAAAGTAAAGCAAGATCACACAGTAACAGTAAAGAGTATAGCATTTCACATAATCGTGACTATCGTGGCAATTGACACTGCAAGCCTCTCTGGTGATCTTTTATTGATCAGAACCTAGCAAACGCGATCCCTTTCCGTTGCCGAAGATGAATAAAATCCATGAACACCGGTGCCATTGTGCGTGGTATTTTGCAGTGCCCTCATAACCTAACCCTCCGCCATTCTTCATCTGCTCACCGTCTACTTGTGTAGCTTACGCTGGTAGAAAGCCAGCTCCTCGCCCTCGAGGATGTATCCGTCCGCACGGCCGCTCTGGCCGGGTCGGCTGGCAATAACGGCGTATAGACGACCAGCCTCGAACTGCTTCTCTAGAACACCCTCAACCTTGCCGGTGGCGGCGTATCGGGCAGCCTGCTTGCGCTCGACGGCCTTGCTCTTCTTCACAACTTCCTCCTCCTTGCCAGACTTCTGCTGACGTCTGCGGCCGAGGGATTGGCCGTAGTGGCTCTCGTACCATTGACGGAAGGGGGCGGCATCGATCTGGACAACGGCGGACTTGGTAAGGGTGTTGGTTCGGACCAACTCGTTGTTGGAAGGGTGGTAGGCGACAACGATGACACGGGTCTTGCGGGTGATGCCCTCGGAAGCCCAGGCAAAGTTACCAGTGTCGAGACGTAGGGCACGGTACTTGTGGTTGCCGCCGCGAGTGCGGACGGTGTGGATTCGCTTGGGGCCGATACGGGTGTTGGCCTCCTGTCGGCCGGCCTCGAAAGCGCGCTTCTTCCCTGGTGAGGAGGTCAGAACGTATGATCATTGTACGAAAACATGATGCATACGGGCTTTCGATATATGGGGCGTATCTCGAAAACACGGTTATGCGATGGTCTACTACGTACGGTAAAAGGCGCGCTTGGCACCGGTGGCGGAGCGCTTGTGGCGAGAGTCGCGAGAGATACCCATGATTGCAGTTTCTGGTCAGAGAATTGGGTGGTTAGCCTCGGAGGGTGATGAAGGATTGAAGGTTGATTGATAAAAATTTTGGCGACGACCAGTGAGAAATCTTGCAACAGCAGATTCAACAGAGGTGAGGCCGTTGAATGCTTTGCAAGATCAAGCCACTGATCATATTAGCAATGGGAGACATACCTGACTAAAACAGTTGGCAATCAAGAAGGGAAATGAAGGTGGTGATGAAGCGCTCGGAGTTTGAATTTCGCGGGAATGAAAAGTTGAAAGAGGCTCACGAAATTCAGTCAAAGTAAATTTGGAAAGTTTAGTGTGGGCTCGCCAAAATTTCGGAGGGGAGGTACTTTGATACCTAGGGCTTTTTTATTGGGCTTTTTACTTGGCCTGTGCACATTTACTTAGGTAATCATAGAATGTAAATTAGAAGTGGTCAATGCGTATTGTGGAGAAACTGCAAGTGTAGGACAAATATACAGACCCAATTTTCACGTGCATTTCAAGACGTCCAACATCTTCGTGTAAGTTACAATTTATTCATCGATTGGTCCATTCTGTCTGTTCTGTCTGCAATACTAGGAAAGAAATGTCAAGCAGGTAGCAGAGGCTTCTCCTGCAAAGTACATAATGTACTAGACCCAGTGTCTAATTCATAAAAGTCATATAACCTTATCATCATCTCTGCGTCTGCTCCATGTGCCAATAGAACCTCATACGCATCATAAGATGTTCCCCTTTTCCGCCGCATAAACTCGCTTCAGTTTCCCATATTAATCCTCCTTGCCAGCTCCTTGCCAGGGTATGGAGACCCTTAGCGAATAAACAAAAGAAATAAAAATGAAACCAATGAAACAACCACCATCCGAAACATTTCAGATCATGGGGTCTTCCTCGTCGATATCTTGGAGTAATTGCTGCAAGAAACCATTAAGCTCCTTCACCTCGATTTGAGGGGTTTCCATATTTCCCTCCCGGACTATGTCCCAATACTCTGGTCTAGTCATGCCATCGAGGGTAGGCGAGAGTACCCGGTTAGCAATTTTGCGAAACTGGCGAGGGACTCGAGGGCCATAGGGAGGAAAGAGTTTGTATCGGTCGACCATTTCCTCGAATTGGTAGGCAACCTCCTGAGTACGAGGCAAAGGTAACTTTCCCTGATAATACTCATACTCCCATTGAAGCGGCCAGTCGATAGGCGCAAACAGTTCGGTATTCTCATGCCAGATGGAAACGCGCGAGCTGGCCAGGCTAAGGTTATCCGTGTTGTGAATCTCAAGCAACTTCGGAGACATTTGAACAGAGGGACCACAGGCTTTGCTATTTTTATAGGTGATGAAGTTGTCGGGGTCCTCCATCATCTTGATGATCGCAAGCTGCTTAGCTTTCATGTTGTCATTCTTGAACTTGAGATATTCGTCGAATGTTGAAGGCACGAACGGCGAGTTGATAGATTCATGACGCCAGTAGGCTTGGATCTTGTCCCATCGTTGTCGCTCAATGTCTAGTAGGCTTTTTGATGCATTTGCTGAAGACTCGCCAGCATGTCCGTTGTTCAGATGAGGGTGTAGATGACTTCCGCTAGCGGCGGGGAGAGTAGGCGAGAACTCTTTGGGATTGTAGCAATTGTATGCACCTCCAGCATATTTACCAGGACCCTTGAATATTGGACCAAACTCGTGAGGACAGACGCAGCCTTCATCATGGAAGAAGCGATGGTAATAGTACATCGCGTAGTCAATTGGGGTTCCATCCCATTCAGCCTCTTTCTGGTGACCCGTCGCGTTAATTATTATCTAAACATAACAAGTGTTTATGACTACTAACCTGTAGACCCTGCTTCTCGAGCTCCATCTTATGCTTATAGTAAAGGGCAATATCTGCCTTGGCGACGTTGCGGCTCGCATCATCAAAGATGATGCATCCAAGCTCTCCGAGATATCCCTTAGTGATCGGCGACGGGATTTCTGGGTTAACCTTTTTAGATCCAGAAGACGCGGTGGTCATCGGCGAGCTCGAAAATTGAGACATGGTGTAGATCTTGAGACAAATTCTTAATGGATGCTAGGAAAAGGATGATGGAAAGCGTAGTATTTGTCGGCGAAGATCACAAAGTGAAATGTGTCAATGTGTTGGGAGAAAAGAATGGTAACGAGGTAGGCAGGACGGCGACAAGATAATTTATGTTAAGAAGTCGTCTTAATACCTCAGTCAAGAGTTAACAGGTGTGGGGACCACAACGTCGTTGCTGCAGTCCGTAGAGGGGTTAACGGCCTCATCTCCCTAACAACCACTGACAAACATCTAGTACCTCCTAGTCACAGCTTTTTATGAAACTTATAGGCAGCTGTTGACAAGGCCGTGCATAGCAACGGCGACCACGTAATTAATTTTTGTTGTGTATGCTGAATAAATGGCCCTGATGCCTAATAATTTATTCCGCTGGCATATATTTATACATACCCGTATCCTGTAGAAGAGATATATATGCAAATACACAACCTTCTAACCGTATTATAACCACCACGTTACCTATTTGCCTAAGTTATAGGTATATCCCTCTGTCTCTATACCTACCTAGTTATCTAATCGCTCTCTATTTAAACTAGGGGAACCATGTCGTATCCAATCATTAAAGAGAGATAGCACCTATTTATAGACAAAGATAATATGCTTGATACAGCATGAGCCGGTATCTTCTAGTCTACTATATAGTAAACGTAGATGATCCCTTTCACATCATATCAAGACAATATATCTATCGTACACTCACTGAGAGATAAAACAGACTATATGAAAAGATTTGAAGCCTACTGCTAATAGATCCGCCCCAGCGCTATGCACCCAAACTGATAAGGTCTCTATTTTATTATAGTAATATAGAGAACTATGATGAAAATAAATGATTCCTTGCTAGATATATATGCATCAATAGTCTTATGATATTCAACATTTAATTTTTCATAAAGTAACTCGATGTCTACCCATTTTCCTATTCCTCATTTACGTCAATATACTTACACAAAGCTAGAGACCCGGCTACCTGAAATTCCTGACAAGAAGTAATGGCTCTAGATATTCTTTCCGTGGTTATATTTCAATATCGTATCTAAAAATAAAAAATGGGGAGACATTCAAGCAGACAACCCTTAAGACCTTTATTAAGTAATTAAGTAGGTCCATATTAGCAAGGAACAAATGAGAGGTGTCAGAGGTGATAAATAGCGTTTATATTCTTATACTAACGAGACAGTAACATGCACATTAGAGGTTCAAATTCAGGGGTAGACTGCCTGCCTGCCTGAGCTATCACGAGACCAAAAGGTCAATAAGGAAAACGATGACATCAAGAGCCTTGCAACAAGCTGCAAGGCTATATATACATAATGATTCAGGATGCCTGACTCAGGACTGAGTCATGTAGATTGTCTGGCTCCGCTAGACAACTACGTGACTCCTGACCGTGACACTGCTTGAGCTATGATTTTATTGGTCATCTCTCTATTTATTGTTTAAATTTTGAGCACACGTACTGCTTGTATTAAATAATGAGACCTGTATAAAAATTTGAATACGTATATCAAAGAAGCAAAGCAGAACATAGTATATCCTAGTGTTTAATGCCTTACGATGGTTGTTGTGGTTGAGGCTCAATAGCTGCATATCACGAGATATGCATTTATACATAATAATATGTTCAGCACATGCGCTACCGATCCTAGAGTGCATGGGTTACATAATATCCGATCTGCCGGCTACCAGCAGGCACGCACTTGGTACATGCATGTAGGTACCCTGCCTTGTACATCATCATCTGAGCTCCATGTCATAGGTGAGCTTATGACCGATAAGATAAGACTGCCTGCTGTTTCCGGTAACGGTAAGCACGTCACATCGAATCTCCCATTCTTAATTCTCCCAATTCTCCTAATACAGGAGATGGGAACTTTCATCTTCAAGTCATTCCTTTAAACCAAATCATCTTATAGAGCCACTTAGGTCTTCATCATCTAGGGTTCACTAGCAGTTGGTTGGACTGCTTCCCCCCCTGCCGTGAACATGGCGACGCCATCGACATCGACTTTGGATCAGTCGCCTCTCCTACGATCGCGTTCATCCTCGACATTAGGATCGCTTAGCTCGAATACCTCTATCAGCGATGCCTCCCGAAATCTGAAGCTCCGGCAAAAGACGCGTGTCCTACGCGCCGTTGCCTTCGTCGTATCTATTATCACAGCCCTCTGCGCCGGATCCATTACTGTCTTCTCGCTCTACGGGCACCTTTTCCAGTCACGACTACATTACACACAATTCCAAATCAACGGCATCGCTAGTGCCATGAGCCTTTCCATGTACCTCCCGGTTCCCGTGATAGGATTCCTGTGCGACCGAGTAGGGCCTGGTCCGCTCTCTCTGTTAGCCTCGATCTTACTAGGGGGTGGTTACGGATTGGCGGCTGGCTTATATCATAAGGGTCTTGGAGAAGTTGAGGATGGAGGGAAGGGCATAAAACTACATTCCCTCCTATGCTCTTAGCCTTCGTGGCTATTGGTATAGGCACGTCCTGTATGTACCTGGGCGCCATTACCACATGTGCTAAGAACTTTGGGCAAGGCAAGTATCGAGGCTTGATGCTGGTTGCCCCTATTGCGTCATTTGGTCTTGGTGGAATGGTCCTCAGTCAGATCGGGAGTCGGATTCTCTACGAGACACAGCCGGATGGAGCTAGAGATATAAACGTATTTCATTTCTTCCTGTTCCTCTGCGTCGTTCTCGCTGTCCTTGGACTTATTGGTACCTTTTCATTACGGGTTGTAGACGAAGAGGACCTCATCGACGGAGCGGTAGAAGAACTAGAGAGGAGCGGGCTCCTCGAGGGAAGCGAGGTCTTCCGCCGCCGAGCGCATCGGGACTACGGTGCTATTGATGCTATCGATGACGACGCTGGAGCCATGGACCCGGCTAGGGACGAGGATGATGAAGATGATAATGCTAGGCTGAAAAAGGCCTGGCTTCTCAATGCTGAGACTAGGAGTTTTCTGTCGGATCATACAATGTGGTGGTTTGGTATCGGCTTTTGGCTCATCATTGGACCGGGCGAAGCGTTTATCAACAATCTCGGCACCGTAGTTGGAACTTTATATTCTCCGAGCACAAGGTCAAATGAAACGTCCGTGGCGACACACGTCTCTATTATGGCTGCGGTGAGCACGGTTGCTCGTTTACTTGCAGCGTCGCTGAGCGATCTGCTATCGCCAAGTCCCCATAGCCAGCACGTTCAAACGGGATTTCCAACCTCTCTTCCAGAGCTGAGACAAAAGATATCAGTCTCACGCATAGTTTATTCATCGCTGCTGGTATTATCTTATCCATCGGAACACTAGTACTGGCCTCCGGTGCAGTTCAGGAGCACGGGGAACGTTTTTGGATTGTATCTGGTGCGATTGGAGCGGGATATGGCGCAGTATTCAGCCTGACACCGATCATCGTGACGATGATCTGGGGCGTTGAGAACTTCGGTACTAACTTCGGCATCCTCGCGCTCACACCTGCTCTGGGTTCCACGATGTGGGGTTTAATTTACTCCGCGGAATACCAGGCCGGTGCTCAAGATTCACCTTCGCTGGCTGAAGGGGCTGATAAAGATGTATTCTGTTATGGTACAAAGTGTTATTCGTCCACGTTTTGGGCCATGACGATCTCCGTGTGGATCGGAACGGTCATGGTTTTCTGGGCTTGGAAAGGCCGAAATGGTTGGTCCAAGAGGGGAATTGTGATTTAGAGGCATAGACCTACATATCAACCTACCTATACAACACATGTGCGGATAAGGATTGTCCTTTACACGTATTACTTTTAACTGGAAGCGATTTTAAGGGTTGGGATAGGTTTTTTCATTTGTACATACCGGGTCTCGATCTTCTGTATTGGAGTTATTGGTTGGAGTTTGTTAGGAACATTGAAGGTTAGAAGGACTATCATTCAAGGATAGAATCAACCAAGTCCAGATTGTGTTTTTGATTCATTATCGTTTGAGCCCACGCTTGGAATAAGATTATCTGGCAGTTCGGCCTTTGCAATCCTAGGCAATTAGCATTGTCTAGTCGTATATACGCTATGTAAGATTTAAACGTGTATCTGTCCTGTTGTGTGGTATTTACCGCCTTTACCCAGTGATTCTTGATGGCTTCTCTAATAGCCATATAGACGCTAGCTACAGGTCTGGAAGCAGAAGCTTCAAGTCTCCTATTTCGTTTTTTACCCCTGTATGGGAATACGAGAAACTTGGGTAGTCTCTACTGACTTTTAAGTATTAAGGCTATTTTCATATAGGTTCTGCCATGTCTTACTTCGTTACCTACACATTCAAGATTCGAGGGAGTACTTAATAGAATTGTCTTTCTCTAGGTCACCGCTCTTGATTGATGTTAGTCATACCTATGCTTCCCCTTGACCTCGGATTCTAACCCGGATGTGTAACCTTCCTCATTCGAACTCGAAGCTCCAGATAGATGAGCTAGAGCTTCAGACTGCTGTTACCTGTTACCTGTTGCTGAAGCTGGGATGAGACCGATTCGTGCGGGTATTAGTTCGGCATACTATTCACCTCTACATACTATGAGAAATTCCGTCGCCAACGAATATGTACAATTTTTACGCTAATAATAGACCGCCAGTTGGTGGAAGAATCAAGTCCAACTTCTTCTAGAAAAAGGCAGGGGGGGTAAACTGCATTTTGGCTCGTATGGCCAACGCATCGAATGACTGCTAACAAATTCAGGGGCGCATTAGAAGTATCCGATAACCGACATATTGATGCAAGACTCCCGAAGCTAACAATCAATGCTACCGTTAAGCCGCATGTTGTCTCTACAAAGAGACATTTAACAAGGGTTTGATTAGGCTTCTGGAATAAAGGACAGTAGTTAAGTCTGAAAACCACTTAGACTATTTTCGAATAGGCTATTGCTCCGAAGCTATAACGGTTAAAACATAATGCTGGTCCCGTATTTCTAGACTCTAGAACAACAAAGAATACACATATACGGGCTGACTTGAAACAAGGGTATTTTAAGACATCAAAGCATTAAAAATAGAGGATTCTTTAGCCCTGATCCTGGTGTCAGTTGACTCTCCCAGCATATGTACATAGCATTCCATAGAGCTGAACTCGCCTACCGGTTTTCATCGGCAAGACTTTTCCGTTTACAGTATGATTTAAGAGACAACAGCTAAAATTCTAAGACTTTGAAGAAGTTTAACTGAGAAATAATTAGGCCAGCTTTGTCTTTGAATAGGCTATTGCTGTGGAGTTGTATAGTTGTCAATGCCGGCCCTAGCCTGCCTAGGCCACTATTTGGGGAAAACAAACGAGAGTGTGAGACGGGAGGATTGAACAATAATACCACATACCATCTTGAAGTTGTTGACATCAGCATGATTACCCTTTCATAGCGGAGGTGGCAACAGAAACAATCGTCAAAATCTGAGTAAGAACTGTAAGAGTGGCTGTTAATCAGGCCCGATTCGGTTCGTAACTCTCGAACACGAAGAGTGAAATGTGTAACCTCTTACCTTACAGCCCGGATAATTTCTAACTGCGGTTACATATTATTACGTGACACGATATGTCATGATGTTCCTTTCACGCAGATATATTGCATAGATGAGCAGTCACGCATGTAACTAACCTAGTAGACCCCGTCCCAACAGTCCAGCCCAGCTCAGCCCAGCCCAGCTCAGCATAGAAGCAGTCAGCAGGCTAATTAATAGCCTAATCCCGATCGAAAAGAATCAGTCAAAACGGATCGGAGCACGCGGCTCTAGCTCTGGTTCTGTACTACCCACGTAACCGTCTCTGCAAGGGGCGCGGGGCGGCACGCCCCTGTTGGAATACGAGCTTGGCGCCGCTGATCTTTCCCCGTCTGCCGTCTGCCGGCTTCCAACGCGATCACAGATCTCAGAACACGGTCGATCCTCCACAATTTGGCGTTGTTCGCAAGCATGGGTCTTATTCTGCGGGCTAGGTACACACATACATACACTGCACCGGATCGAATGGAACCCGACCTTCGACCGCCGGCCAGACGCTACATACATACATACATGTCGAATTAGTCGTGAATCATGCGTTACCCGTCTCCTCCAATGGCTCCATAATCTCGGGATACGAGGCCGGGGAGGTACCTGACTGGACCTGTTAGGCATGTAGGGAGCCAGGTAACTCCGATTTGCAAGTCGCGCCGGGTCCAGGGGCTGCAGAGTGTGAATGGACGCAACGGGATTCCAGATGGGTACCGGTAGTAACATATAACGTGAGCAGCCGGGGGTACCTTACCCTTCAACAGGCCGGGAATAGTCTCAAGCTTCGATATCAAGCCTGCTATTACGCTACGCTACACGACACTTACTTACTACATACAAGCCTCACTCACCATCGACCGACCAGGGATACATATATACATACTTACCTACCTAACCTACATATCGTATTCGACCGAGTATATATAAGACCTTAAGATCGCCCAAGACAGCGATCTTATTTATCCTCACCACTCACTCACTCACTCACTCTACTTAATTCCTTCTTACCTAGTAAGCAGTCGACTTTATAATTAATACCTAGTACTTAATTAATACCCCTTCCTTACCACCACCCGTCTCCAAAATGCAGATCTCCGCACTCCTCTCCGTCGTCGCCTTCTCGGCCGCCGCCCTCGCCCAGCCGCTCTCCATGGCCGCCAACGCCGCGCAGTGGACCATCACCGGTCTGTCGCGCACCTGCGACGCCGCCGACAAGTCGTGCGACTGGACCTTCGGCATCAACAACGGCGCCGCCGCCACCGCCGTCAAGTACACCGTCAAAGCCGCCGGCTCCACCCCCGCTAGCCGATCCAACGGCGGCCCCGTCACCGTCGGCGATTTCACCATCACCAGCGGCTGGAGCGGCCAGTTCGGCGACGACAAGGGCTTTACTACCTTCTCTGTCGTCGACAATGCTAAGCGCCAGATCGTCTATCCTTCCGTGAGTAACTATCCTGCCTAACTACCTTTTCCTTCCCGTCTATGAATATATTAGGATTGCTTGCTAACACAATGCCATGTATAGTACACCGACGCCCAGGTCAAGACCGGCCAAGTCGTCAAGCCTGACCAGAGCTACCCCGTCCAGAACCTCCCTTAAGCGGCGAGTTCGCTAGCTAGCAATGGGGTTCAACCTGGGGAACGAAGTGAATGGAAATGACAAGCAACGAGGCAAGGTTAAGGGGGTAAGGCAGAGTCCGAGGTTCCTTTTTGGTCGCAGTATGTACATATGGCGACGATGGGGATTCGATATATAGATATATAAGTGTTAATACGAAGCTGTATATCGTTGGAACTTTGCAATATATTGCTTAGTTACTTGATTTGATATTTGTCGGTGATATGATTATAGGTGTATGCTATATCTCCTGGTAGAATCTCGATTAGTATTTAATACGAATCAGATTTTAACAAGTAATATTACTTACCTCTCATATTAATAGAATATAGGTAGACGCAGACTTAAATAAAAAATCACGTTATAACTGAGGTGTAATTTCTATCATCGGTTGATATAGATTTCAAGGATATCAATTCATATAAAGTAGCCCACGTAGCGTGGACAGATATGCAAGCGAGTGAGCCCAATGCAAGTTATCTAGGAATGCCATAATGCAGAAATCAAATTCAATTCCAAACGCCGCCCTATGCCTGATCCTTTAATTCTTCCTCCACTTGATTCTTCACAATCTCCCTGACTTTCTGCCAGTCGTTTTCTACTTCTGTAACTCTCTTTTCCTTTTGCCTCTAGGCCTAAAAACTCTGGCGGCAGGACATTCTCCTCGAAGTTAAAGCCGGGCTCATCTTTCAACGCAAGGTCAACTGCGCCGGCAAACTTGGCCGGGTGAGCGGTTGAAGCGAGATGTGAGGAACCTTGGAACGCTCTAGTGACCGCAATGATGCGGCTACACCTATCGCGGTGTGAGGATCTAGCACGTATTCGATCTTCTTAAAGTAATTCTTAATCGTGTCGATCGTCTGCGAATCGCTCACCCGTTCGCTTTCAAAGTCGCGCTTAGCACTAGAGTGCACGTCCCGATAGACTGGACCAAAACCACCGCTCGTCTTTAGTTGTTTCATCCATGCGGCGACCTCCTGTCCAGCTTGTCTCCTGTTCCACTCAGCGTCCATACCGGCAACGGAGGCGAACTCGTAAGCTAGAAACCAAAGCAATCGCTCGAAGTTACTCGAGACGAGGATATCCATTGCGGGGCTTAGCGTTTCCTTGACGCCATCTTCGTGAGCTTTGACGCCATCGACCGCTAGACCCCCTTGCGCTTCCGGACCACGGGCGGGCTTTTTCTCGTATTTTCCGGTCTTCCAGAATCGGTCAAGGATGTCATTCTCGTTTGTCGCAACTACTAATTTCTCCGTAGGAAGACCCATCTTGTGCGCAAAGTAGCCAGCCAAGATATCGCCGAAATTTCCGCTAGGTACAACATAACGGATTTTTTCGCCCATGGTCAGACCGGATGACTTTACAAGCGAAAAGTAAGAGTAGAAATAGTAAACGATCTGGGCAAGAATTCTTGCCCAATTTATCGAGTTTACTGCGCCGAGGTTAAGAGTCGAGTTAATGTCAGGATCGGCAAATAAAGCCTTTACTATGTCCTGGCAATCATCGAATGTACCCTTGACTGCTAAATTGTGCACGTTTGCATCTAATACCGTGGTCATTTGTGCTTCTTGAATAGGGCTAACCCTGCCTTTGGGATGAAGGATAAACACCGATACGTCCTTCTTTCCTCGTAGTCCGTAGATGGCCGCCGAGCCGGTGTCACCACTTGTGGCGCCTACTACAGAGAGATGATGTCGGTCGGTGCCCGTCTTTCCCTCATTTTTTCGTACCAGGAAGTACTCAAAGAGGTTACCTAGAAATTGGAGAGCAACATCCTTGAAGGCGAACGTAGGTCCGTGGAAAAGTTCTAGTAGGTATAGGTTATCGTGAAGATGTCGTAGCGGTGTAGTTTCAGGGGCACGAAAGGTCGAATAACTCCTATCAATGATTCCCTTTAGGTCATCTCGTGGAATTTCAGATGGCGCTATATATAAAGATAGGACCTCGAGGGCAAGGTCTGGAAATGATAAATCTTTCCAGCTCTGCCAATCGCTCGCTGAAGGGATCTCCTCCGGAATGTAAAGCCCTCCATCGTTGGCTAGACCTTTTAGAACGACCTCTTCGAAGGAAAACTAAGGAAATCGATTAGTGAAAAGTTGCCATAGAGAATCGCACGACTATAGTTCCTACATCATAGTCCTCGCCCCTGGTACTCAAATACCTTTGAGAGGCATTACGATCATCCGAGGAGCTGGCATCCGTCGTCTCGCCATTGGTTCCGTTCGACATGGTAGAAATCTAAGACCAAGGACAATGGCTAGGTGTCTTACGATCTCCAAGTTCCCTCGAAGGGTATATTTCGCCTGGAGATGACGAAAGGGAAAAAAAAATTAAAAAACGGAAGAGCGAATTCGGCTGATAGTTGATTACTACCCCGCACTAGCCTGATCTAGATAAATCTGGGTTGGGAAAGAGGGGACCACTTCCCCTTAGTCCCCTATTCTCTATCCTTTGTGCCTGCCGACGATCAAATAGAAGGAGGCCAGCTGAACAAGGCTCAGTATTATTGCCCCTGAACACTTGATTGGTTTCTCATCCCTGCATCTTATTTTCTTCCAATCCTATTCTATGCATAATTCCATGTTGCTTTACGAACTGCATATTGTTTCTCTTTAATGACTTGCATAGGTAATTATGAATACACTTACCTATGTACATAAGAGCACTTTTAAGAAATTGTTTCTTTTTATTGATAGAACGGCTAGATACATGTTGAGGTTTGTTGTGATAATCGCGATAGACAGGTACGTGAGTGACTTACCTAATACAGCAGGTCTGCTGTGAGGTCTTGGCGTTGATTCGTGGGAAAGTTAAATCGCCTATGTACCTATTTTATCCACTGTAGGATAAGCGCTGTCTTGATATCACCGGCTTGGTCAGCAGTCATTATCGGTACCAGTCCTCCCGTTGTCCCATGCTTTCTATTTATTATTTCATCCGCTCAACTTAATTTCATCATTACATCAAGTGTGAACTATCCATCTCAATATGGATTAACTAGGTAATTATAGATTATCATTCTTATAAAGTTGCATTTTCTTAAAACTCTATAATTGGCCACTGCTATCTAAAGTTACGACCTGTTATATTCCGACTCATCATTCCGTCACTATGGCCCCCGATAGAGGAAGCGTCGAGGTAACGGCTCCCCCGTATCCGTCCGGAACCGAAGAAGAGGTTAAGCATCTTCCGGAGGGCCAGCATTTCACTCTTCGGGGTGTTGCCGCCGGTCTACTTGTCGGGCTGATGTAAGTAGCACGTGTAGTTCTTTGTTTCCTTTTCATAGCAAAGCGTAGACGCGTCTCCCTTTCCTATATAAGCCATCACTTTTAGATCATGATGTAAACCCCTCTGTTTAACAGTAAATAAAATGTATTAAAAGGTAGTCATTACTGACTTTATATTGTAGAATATGTTTTAGTAATATGTATTTCGGGTTACAGACCGGCTGGATTTCTATGATGACAATGCCTGCTAGTTTATTGGGCTTTGGTATCTTTAAGACTCTGTCACGTCACCTATCATTTCCATTTTCCCCAGTGGAAAATGTTCTTGTGCAATCTGTGGCAGGCGGAATGGCGATCATGCCTCTTGGTTGTGGATTCGTAGGCGTGGTAAGTAGTGATGGGCCCAACAAGAAGAGAGTAGCCATACTAACCAGATCCATTCCGACCTTAGATACCAGCTATGGAGTATATGATGGACTCATCAGAACAAGGTCCAATAAGACTAAGCATGTGGAAACTCATAATTTGGTCTCTAGGTCTTTGCTACTTTGGTGTTGTATTTGCCGTTCCGTTGTAAGTCAACGACCATTTCTGATATATGCAATGTTGGTACCTAACCTCATCTAGACGCCGCCAAGTGATCATCAGAGAGCAATTGAAATTCCCAAGCGGATTTAGTACCGCAGTTCTCATTGGGGTCCTTCATGGCAAAGGACAAACTCAGAACAGCGGTACATTAGATACGTCGAAAGCCGCCACTTTTGGCAGTCTAGCACTGGAGAATCAACCACTTCTACAGACCGAAGGTACTGATGGTGAGGGTAACGTCGCTGATTCGGCTGATGGAATACCACCCGCAGAGACGACAAAGCCTTATAACTGGGGTTCTAATATCCGGCTACTTCTGATTACGTTTGGAATATCTGGCTTTTATACCCTCTGCACTTATTTCTTTCCTATACTTAGGAACCTCCCTATCTTCGGAACGGTGGCAGCGGATACTTGGCTGTGGACTCTAAACCCAAGTCTCGCGTACGTCGGTCAAGGTATTATAATGGGTCCTTCTACAACTATACATATGCTTCTCGGAGCGGTAGTTGGCTGGGGTATCCTATCTCCCCTTGCTAAATTTCGTGGCTGGGCCCCAGGACCGGTCGATGATTGGGAGGAAGGTAGTAGAGGCTGGATTGTTTGGACTTCTCTTGCTATTATGCTAGCAGATGCCATTGTCAGCCTAGGATACATCGCCTTCACCCCCCTTATGAAGAACTATCCGTCTATATTTGCCAGCATCAGACGGCAATTTCAATACGATGAGCTTAAAAATTTATTCTTTAGTCGATCTAGAGGATACACAGCGATTCAGAGCAGCGAAGACGACCCGAGAATTTCAGTAGCCACGAGTAACTCGGAAGACGTAGATGGTCTACCAAGCCCGCTAGTTGAGCGTAGGAATCCTTTCGACACGCAACCGACTGATACTCAAAGAGCCTGGGATCAAGATGATGCACCTCCTGAGCAACTGGTCGGAAATAGAACAGTTAGTGTTGGTCTCGTTGCGTCGGTCCTCTTTTGCATCGCTAGTATTCATATCACGTTTGGCGATCTGGTTCCCCTATATGCTACTATCATAGCCGTTCTAATGGCAATGGTTTTGAGCATAATGGGAGTTCGAGCTTTAGGTGAAACAGACCTGAACCCCGTTTCCGGAATCAGCAAGCTAGCACAGCTTTTCTTCGCATTAATTATTCCACAATCTCACAAATCAAGTGTACTCATCAACTTGGTGGCTGGCGCTGTATCGGAAGCTGGTGCATTACAAGCGGGTGATCTCATGCAAGATCTGAAGACCGGCCACTTACTGGGTGCAGCACCTAAAGCGCAGTTCTGGGGCCAGATCATTGGCGCGACTGTGGGTGCCGTTGTCAGTGCGTTCATCTATCGGTTATACACTGCTGTATACGAAGTTCCTGGGGACCTATTCCAAGTACCAACCGGCCGTGTATGGATCGCAACTGCAAGATTAGTCACTGGGAAGGGATTGCCAGAAATGGCCAGGAATTATGCTATCGGTGGAGCGGTTATTTTCGCTATCTTCACTGCCCTTCGTGCAAAGGCGATTGGAAAGAGCTGGCATGCGTATATACCTGGCGGGATCGCCGTGGCAGTTGGTAAGAACAAACAAACAAATATGAGGAATTAGGTCTATTGCTAACAAAATACTCTTTAGGCATGTACAATGTCCCATCTTTCACATTAGCAAGAACTATTGGTGGTTTGATAAACTGGTACTGGAGGATATACCTGCGAAAGGATGATACACCGCTTATTATCCTTGCGTCGGTGAGTGCCTTACTGTTATGATTAGCTTTTTGAATAACATCACTGACATCAATTATAGGGTTTCGTCTTAGGAGAAGGGGTTTTGAGTATCGTCAATTTGCTATTACAGAGTTCTCAGGTTCCTCACCTCTGAAAATAACAACACTGGCCAATCGGGGAATGTACTTAGTTCAGCCTGAAATAATCATACGATGTTTGGTCTATCTAGGTAGGTAGTATATATTTGTCCTATTTCTTAGTTTATATTACCACTTATCAAGCGATCTCGGTATGTTCACCAATTGGTATAACTGGAGAACATGAGAAGATGCTAAGGGCAGCACCAAGTACCACAGTAGCATAATACTTGGATATACATAAATCTATCTTCGTATGGGGTAGCTTGGTCCCGAGGATCGGATATCATCTAATATACCAGGAAATATCCGGCCTTGTGATCGCCGATCTCAGCCGGAGCCGTGGTTTTGTGGGCTGATTTTTCCCCCGCATTTTAAGTCCCACAGCCGGCGCGGGGTCTTAATATATCGGTGGCATCCCTCTCGAAACGCGCGGGCCAGCAAAGTCTTGCATCTTACATCGTAGTTGGCTCGATCAGTGTTATACAATCAAGATGCTGCTCAACGAAAGTCATATCGACGTGCAAACAACCGTGGATGGGAAGGAGACGTCGATGAGTGAGGAGAGCCCCTGCGACGGTAGAGGCTCCCGACTAGAGACGCTAACGTTGGGCAGGAATTTTCACATTCCATCCCACCATCCCGCAATATCCTGATGCGTAAGGCCTTTATTTTCTTTCCACTTAGGGACTTGGACATAAGTTTGCTGATGAGTTGGCAGTCGATTTCCTGGCGTCGTGTTATTCAGCGAGATCTATCAAGGTATCATCATCATCATCATCATCATCGAACATCTAGCACGGCAAGTCGTCGACTACTATGCAGCTCGCTAATTAGCGCGTGAACAGTCACGGGCCCAGTAGCGCGATTCGCGCGTCAAATCGCAGGTCAAGGCTATATTGTTGCTGCTCCATCGTCGTATCACGACTTCACTGGTCCCGAAGCCCTAGCCTACGATGACCCGGGAACGAACCAAGGGAATGAATGGAAGGTGAAGAAGGTAAGTTCGTGGCTCCATGTAACATTTCGACTAAGTACTGGCTGACGGCGAGCATGGTTACAGGTTCTTCAATCATATGATGAGGACTCCCACAAGGCGGTTGATTACCTCCTCAGTCTCCCCACGTGTACGGGCAGGATAGGCAGCACGGGAATGTGTCTGGGTGGCCATCTTTCTCTACGAGCTAGTGTAAGACTTTTACCTTCGAATAAAATCCCCTGCGCTGACGTGCTCCCAGCTTGATCCGCGGATAAGCGCAACCGTTGCGTACTTTGCTACAGATGTACACTCCCGTACTTTGGGACCTCATTCGGGGGCCAACTTGTCAGTCCAGGGCCCAGAGAACAGTAACCACACGATCGACAAGCTCGGCGAGATTAAGGGCGAGGTAGCCATGATTTTCGGCATCAAAGACACCCACGTCCCGGACGAGGGTCGCGACTTGATTCGACACAAGCTGAGGAGCTCTGGAACGGTCTTCAGCTTCTACGAATTCGCGTGGGCGCAGCACGCCTTCATCCGCGACGAGCTGAGCAAGGGTCGCTACGACCCGGCAATTACCAAGATCTGCTTCGAGGTGTTGTTGGAACTGTTCGGCCGAGTGCTAAAGTCAGATCTGGGACAGAGGGACAATAAGCCCCAGAAGATTGAGCACGTCTGTTGATGAGTATTTGGCATCGGCAGTCTGTACCAGGAAAATCTCCTTGGGAATATCCACCTACCCATTTCCCAGGGGAGGTATTGATTAGCTACATAGGTACATATCCGCTCATTATCTATTCAAACTACATATTATGTATATCAACCGAATCCCTGAAAAATGGAAGCAAGGCAGGCAATACGTAGATCAAAATATGTAACCAAAATATGTAACCCTACCGAGGCTACTTGATATTTCAATAGGCCAGAAACGGCCGCTTAGAATGCCCTACCAAATAAAATGGATGCTGAACTCGTCCGCAGTTTGTTGAAAATGAGACATGGAGGCATTTGAAACGTTTTCGGAAGAATTCGTCGTCCGTTGGGGGCCGTTATACATAGCTGATTTAGGTCATTTTTAATTACATTACACTTGTAGGTATGCGCCTCGAAGATAACATGCATATTTTCTCCTATAAGGCTGGCTACCGAATTATTATGGAATATTGGAGAATTCAGGTATTGGTCAGCTTAGGATTTTGATATCACGAAGCCTCACATTGGTCTATGTATTTGGTCTATGTATAAGGTGGGCATGAGAACTAAAAAGGCTGATGATTGACGATAGTTGGTATGAGATGATACAAAGTTACTTCTAAATGGATTGTACACTTTTAGACGATACCTGCCGCTTCTGAATGCGATTCAATGAATGCCATTGGATTTGAACTCGAAAAATACATACATGTACATACATTATGTAGTTACATAATGTAGATCCTCTGAGAACTTGAATCTTCTAGAATTACATAATGACGTCCTTCTTGAGGCTTTGTACACAAATCAGGCAAGACAAGCAGATTGTAGAAGGCAGAAGGCAGTAGGCGAAGCAATTGGAAGTTGCCTTATCAACGGATCCGTTCCTGCCTGACAGCAGAAAGAAGAGAAGAGAAGAAAAAAAGGTACATTGGAGTAGGTATTTTGTATTTCGTGCATTTTTTTTAGTGGGCCGTAAGGCGGGTTGATTAGCCCGGGCAACCAAGCAGTGATGTCAGTACCTCTTACTGAGCGTGATGGCGGGTAAGTACCTAGAGTACATGATATGCATAGAGAATAGATAGAGAAAATACTTGGATGTTTGTACCGTAGACCTGTTACTCCTGGAGACCTCTAGAATTAACAGTATAGGTCCTATTATAAAATTTACTTATTTCCTTAGGTACACTTCTGAATAGGTCGGAAAATATGGTACATGTAGTATGTATGTACATAAGTGTGCGCTGAAAATTCTATTATCGTCTATTCCTATCTAGGGGATTCCACTGAATTCAGGAAGCTTGTCAGTTAGCAAAGTTAGGCGGAAAGTACCAGAAGCGGGTACCAACTTCCAGCAATTCGAGAAGATTCCCTGGCCCCACCATAGCTTCCACTTCTGGTTGTATAAACTCTTGCTCAAGTCCCAAGGAACATTTCTCTTCTCATCATCAATCTCAGACATCAACAACAACAATTCACACACGAACAACGCAAAAAACACATTAATTTAGATACCCGTCCCATTTGGGTACAAAAATTCTGTTGCGTTTTGACATACCTACAACGCTATTAAACCTCTACATCGCACCTTTTTTTTCCCTATTACCCCACCATACCTACTGTTTGACTTAAAAAAGTCGTCACATCTTTCACAATGGTTGCCGCAGTCGGTATTGACTTGGGCACGACCTATTCGTGTGTAGGCGTCTTCCGAGACGACCGAATTGAAATCATTGCCAATGACCAGGGTAACCGAACCACACCCTCCTTCGTGGCCTTCACGGACACGGAGCGTCTAATCGGTGATGCCGCCAAGAATCAAGTCGCTATGAACCCTCAGAACACCGTCTTCGATGCCAAGCGTCTGATCGGTCGCAAGTTCTCGGATCCTGAGGTTCAGGCTGACATGAAGCACTTCCCCTTCAAGATTGTTGACAAGAATGGCAAGCCTATCGTCGAAGTTGAGTACAAGGGTGAGGTGAAGCAGTTCACACCCGAAGAAATCTCTTCTATGGTCCTTACCAAGATGCGAGAGACCGCTGAGGCTTACCTTGGTGGCACTGTCAACAACGCTGTTGTCACTGTACCTGCCTACTTCAACGATTCTCAGCGACAAGCTACCAAGGATGCCGGTCTAATTGCTGGCTTGAACGTTCTCCGAATCATCAACGAACCCACAGCTGCCGCCATCGCTTATGGTCTTGACAAGAAGACCGAGGGTGAGCGCAACGTTCTCATCTTCGATCTCGGTGGTGGTACCTTCGATGTGTCTCTCCTAACCATTGAGGAGGGTATCTTCGAGGTCAAGTCTACTGCTGGTGATACTCACTTGGGTGGTGAGGACTTTGACAACCGACTTGTCAACCACTTCGTCAACGAATTCAAGCGTAAGCACAAGAAGGATCTCTCTACCAACGCTCGTGCTCTGCGCCGTCTCCGAACCGCTTGTGAGCGAGCCAAGCGTACTCTTTCTTCTTCCGCTCAGACCTCTATTGAGATCGACTCTCTATTCGAGGGTATCGACTTCTACACGTCTATCACCCGTGCTAGATTCGAGGAGCTTTGCCAGGATCTCTTCCGATCCACCATCCAGCCTGTCGACCGTGTCCTTGCCGACGCTAAGATCGACAAGTCTCAAGTCCACGAGATTGTCCTCGTCGGTGGCTCCACTCGTATCCCCCGTGTGCAGAAGCTCATCACCGATTACTTCAACGGAAAGGAGCCAAACAAGTCTATCAACCCCGATGAGGCCGTCGCCTACGGTGCTGCCGTGCAGGCTGCTATCCTCTCTGGTGACACCAGCTCCAAGTCGACCAACGAGATCCTGCTTCTCGACGTCGCCCCGCTTTCCATCGGTATCGAGACTGCTGGTGGTATGATGACCAAGCTCATCCCCCGCAACACTACCATTCCCACCAAGAAGTCTGAGGTCTTCTCCACCTTCTCGGACAACCAGCCTGGTGTCCTGATCCAAGTCTACGAAGGTGAACGTCAACGCACTAAGGACAACAACCTGCTCGGCAAGTTCGAGCTAACTGGTATCCCGCCTGCGCCTCGTGGTGTTCCTCAAATTGAGGTCACTTTCGATGTCGATGCCAACGGTATCATCAACGTCTCTGCCGTTGAGAAGGGCACTGGCAAGTCCAACAAGATTGTCATCACCAACGACAAGGGTCGTCTATCCAAGGAGGAGATCGAGCGTATGCTTTCCGAAGCCGAGAAGTACAAGGAGGAGGATGAGGCTGAAGGTCGCCGTATCAGCGCCAAGAACGGCCTTGAGTCGTACGCATACTCTCTCCGAAACACTCTCTCCGACTCCAAGGTCGACGAGAAGCTCGACGCTGGTGACAAGGAGAAGCTCAAGGCCGAGATCGACAAGGTTGTCTCTTGGCTCGACGAGAACCAACAGGCCACCCGCGAGGAGTACGAGGAGAAGCAGAAGGAGTTGGAGGGCATTGCCAACCCCATCATGATGAAGTTCTACGGAGCTGGTGGTGCCGGTGGTGTTCCCGGTGCCGGCGGCCCTGGCGGCTTCCCCGGTGCTCCCGGCGGTGCTCCTGGCGCTGGCCAGGATGATGGCCCCACTGTTGAGGAGGTCGACTAAACGGTTTCGCATTCATGACATCTCTTTTCTTTTATCGTTCCGGCGTTTTCCTCAGGTGTTAATGACACACTGTGTGGCGGTCTCGGATTTCACGGGTTTGCACTAGATTTTACTGGTAATGAATGATACAGGGCAAAAGTTGCGGTTTATGACTTGCATGGGATGTATTCTAGGCAGGAATAATCCTTCTACGAAGCAATGAAGTTAATTCATAAATAAACACTGCGATCTTCATGAGTGTGACATGTGTGACATGATTATAAGCTTCGCTACATATTTGAGGATTCTCTGTAGTTGAATCTTAATCATTAGATGTAGGACTTCGAGGGTAAGCTTTAAGAAGATTTGTAAATTTCGTAAGTGCTCCTATTTCGATAACGGCACGATGCTATATCTTGGTACACTACCGACTTAAACCCTACCCATTCAACTAAAACTAGATACCTGACTGAAGCCTTCTATACTTTACATAAATGCACACATTAATAGGTTACACCAGTCTAAACTACGACTCGCGCGACTGCAGTTGCTCCTGGACCTTTCGTCTTCGCTCAATCTCAAGCCGACGCCACTCCTCGTCGCTGATACTTGGCATGTCGAGATGTTCGCGGAAGGCGGTATCAGGGCGGACCTTGTCGTCCCTGGGCTGCCAGACGTCTTCGCTGCTGGGACGTCCGGGGGCGTGGTACTTGAGGTACTCCTTGCGGCGGTAGTAGGCGCGGATGGCGTCTTCTTTCTGGGGGCCCGAGTAGGTGCGGGTGCGCATGCAGAACCAGAAGTCGTCCCAGTGCTCGGAACAGGAGCGCATGGTGCCGGTGCGGTAGACGGATACCCATTGGCCGCCGAGGGAGTTGCAGTGGTAGGCGGCGTCGAAGGCTTGGCGGCAGGACATGCTGGTTGGGAGGAGGGATTCGGTTATGGGGTCTAGGTGGGAGGGGATGGGGGGGTCGGTTGTGGTTGTGGTTGTGGGGGAGGGGGGGGAGGTGGTGGTGGACCAGAAGAGGGATGAGGAGTTGGAGGATTGTGATGTTGTTGTTGTTGTTGTTGTTGTTGTTGATGGAGGAGTAGATGGGCTTTTGGTCGAGGGTTCGGGGGGAGGTTGTGTGGTGCCGGAGTTGCTGGTGCTGCTGAACTCTGCTTGCAGCTGGGCCATGAACTTGGCGATTTCGGGATCGCCATAGTCGGATTCGGGCTGCTTTGGCGGAGGTGCCGGGGTGGTGTTGTTGTTAGACTCGTCGGCGGTAGGATTGGGGGCTTTCGGAGCAGAGGGGGATTGCGATGACCACATCCAACCCATGGTGTTTTCCGACGTGCTGCGATACAGCTTCCTATATGAGAATTTGTCGATTAGGATTTGCGCTTCTGTCGAGTTGAATTGGATCTAGATGAAGCACTTGGATTGACGGATAGGACAAGAACAAAGAAAGGTCTTAGTATTCGGTCGAGTATGTATGTATGTGCGGGGGGGAATTGACGCGGGGTGCAGTATTGGAGTATAATATGTAGTATTTGCTCTCGTGATCGATTCCCTCGAAGGTGATGCGCTTTTCTCTTCCAGCCAATGACAAAGGTGCTAATTGTAGCTCAATTCCGTGGTACGATTGATCTGGTACGGAAGCAGATATGGTCTGATATGTATATGGAATAGTGACCTCAGATATGCAGGTGGGTTTTGGGTATCACTACATGGAAGTTTTGTAGGTAGATTGTATAATTGTATATGCCCGTTGTAAATTCGATATATTTTTCTATTTAACTTCGTCTCGACGGTTTCTTAATTGCTTCGCGCTAGAAGGTGGGTTACAAGCTTCCATTCGTCCCACCAAGACTGTGGCTTTATTAGTTGTGGCACACTATTTATATAGAGTGGTGGCTTAATAGGTATTTTGACAGGTGGGGGAGGTACAATTACTTAAGATAATTTGATCTTAGGAAGAGCTAGCGATGACCTCATCGGCTTTCACGAAACTTATTAATTTGAGCTGAACTAATTCAACACTACCTAAACTAACAATAATAAATTCCAGCAGGTTCAGCACGTTCTTTACGGATCTTATATCTCTTCATTCAGCTCATCATAAACTATGAGCATGGGGAAGAGCTTCAAATTATCCAGACGATGATCTCAAGATACCCATGTCTCGGCCCTAGGAATTTGCCTGGGTTGAGGGGGTTAAGAACCCCGGGCTCATTCGTGAGACCTATTCTCACACAACGTTACCAGCCACGATGGACATCGGTACCTAGAGCTTGGGAGAGCACTACTACCGGAGAAGGTAGAAGTGGTCATATAGAGGCTGCTCCGAATGAATCCATTCTTTGGGTAGACAGTATGCTCATTTTCTTTTTTATATTTAGTATACCATGGTTAACTGAGATAACTAAACCTGTTAGATTTATTCCCCCTTAAACTCTCCGGACTACTACGAGCACCATGGAAGAGCCCCGACCTGGACGTGGCCGAGCTTATGAAGCGATTTCGGAACTCAACCTTAGGCGCTCTTGACCCTATGAACATGGTCAAACGAGCCATTCCAACGACCGCCCCAGTTAATATCACTGAAATCCTACCTCGCCTCAAGGACGGTGGAGCTTTTGTAAAGTTCACATATCCTGCTGATGTACCCGCTAAAGAAATTGAGGCAACCATTTCTAAATATCTCCAGGAGAAGCCTGTAAGGCCATTTTTTAGTCCGTTCAGGGGAGTCCAGGCCGGACTAGTTAATGGTGTTCCCTGGCTAGAAGACTTGCATAGATTCCCTAAGGATAGACTAAGAGTTGAATTTGTCCCTAAGAATCCGGGTGAGGAGGCGGTCGAGTTGTCCCAAGAAACCTTGTATAGCTTGTTCCGCCGGTACGGAAAGATTGCTGAGATCATCTCACAACCATGGGATTCTAAGGTCTTCCCGAAATACGCCTATGTTGATTTTGCATCCGTTAGAGATGCTATCATGGCCAGGAACTGTTTACATGGTTTCGTCGTGCCGGAAGATCTTGGTGGCGGCAAGTTGGGAACTAGACTACGCATGTCCTATGAACAACGAGTTCAACCACACCGGTTTTGGGAATGGATATCGAACCATCCGAGAATTGTCATCCCTGTCTTGGTCGCGTTACTAACTGGTCTCACCGTTATTATATTCGATCCTATTCGATCGTTTTTCGTCAAAGCTCACGTCACACGCCGGTTCCGGCTCAGCAACAGTAAGCTCTATAGATGGCTTCGAAGGCGGACTGTTTATATCTTAAATCTCAAGAGAGAGAAAGCGGATCAAGCAGGACTAAGTGCAGTTTGGACTCACAGGAGGGACTTAATCGACCAGATTCAGAAATGGCTACTAGAAACTGCCGAAACTTTCATCGTCGTTCAGGGACCCCGCGGTTCCGGTAAAAAAGAACTCGTCTTAGACCAAGCCTTAAAAGATAGAAGCAATGTTCTGGTCATCGACTGCAAACCGATAGTAGAAGCTAGGGGAGAATCCGCAACGATCAAGGAGATGGCGGCATCTGTTGGTTACCGTCCTATATTCTCGTATGCAAACAGCATGAGTAGTATGGTCGACCTTGCTGTACAGAGTACAACCGGTGTCAAGGCAGGATTCTCCGAGACCTTAGAATCACAGCTTCAGAAGATCTTGCAGACAGCAGCCGCTGCTCTTACGGATATCGGCATCTCGGACCGTAATAAGACGGATTCTGACGCTTCACTCCCTGTTGACGCCTACCTGGAAGCACACCCTGAGAAGCGACCCGTTGTAGTTATCGACAACTTCCTACACAAGGGCGATACTAACGCCATTGTTTATGATAAGATGGCCGAATGGGCTGCTGCTTTAGTCCAATCCAATATTGCCCACGTCATATTCCTAACTAACGACTCATCCTACTCGAAATACCTATCTAAAGCTCTTCCCGACCGTGTCTTCCGCCAAACTGCTCTCGGAGATCTCTCGCCTGACGTAGCCAAGCGCTTCATCCTAAGCCATATCACCAACGGAGAGGAACAGCCCGAAGCGAAAGAAGTCTCGAGCGAGAAGCAGCCGGCGTGGGCCCGAGTCCTCCCCGACTTGGGTGAACTTGACGAATGTATCGGTACTCTAGGCGGTCGTCTCACAGACCTGGAATTTCTAGCCCGTCGCCTGAAAGCTGGTCAAAGCCCCAAGCAGGCGGTAGAGGAGATCACAGAACAATCCGCTTCCGAAATCCTCAAGTTCTTCCTCCTCCCAGGCAAGACGACCAACGACGGCGAGCACAAATGGTCCATGGAACAAGCCTGGTACCTCGTCAAAGCACTCGCCAGCAACGAATCCCTCCGCTACAACGAGGTCCTCCTGCACAACACCTTCGCATCCTCGACCTCCGTACCCGACGGAGAGGCCGCCCTCGAAGGCCTCTCCAACGCCGAGCTCATCACGCTGAAATCGCGCAACGGCCGCCCTGCCCTAGTCGCTCCCGGAAAACCCGTATACGCCGCGGCGTTCCGCCTGCTGGCACGCGACCCCGTCCTAGCCGCCAAAATGGATCTTGCGGTGCTGACGGAACTCACTAAAGCAGAGGCTAAGAACATAGATAAGGCGGAGACGGAACTCGCGCTCCTAGGCGGCTTGCCTAAGCAGCCGGCGCAGACGGCGGGACGCACGATGTATTTGCTGGGCAAGATTGATGCTGCGCAGAGGAAGTCGAGGCGTATGAGAGGGAGATGGGTGTTGAAGAAGGTGCTTTGTACTGAGGCTTGATTTGATGGAAAGGGTAGGTGGTTAGGAGGTAAGGGTGTTGTACATGGGGGTGGTGGCATGACATGATTCTAGTCGATACCCAACTCATTTACTCGGTTAGGAAAATCGGTATATATAAAATGAAGAACAGTATTATATATTATATTACATCTTACACCTATTTCAACACCTACCTCTCTTACATGTGCTTGCTTATCTTAGAAAGCACAAATTATTCCCTTAGTCTACGAGAAGGGAAATCCAAATAGCTACCGACTATAGCCAGCTATATATAAGAAAGCATTATAATCAAGGGACGATAGGTAGTTAGATGAAAAAGGAACTTTTGATTTTGGTATCACAGACGCAGGAGCAGTAGCACCCGAGCTCGAGTCCGAGTCTATAACAACCCGGACTCTTCTAATAACTACCTAGATAGGTAAGTAGGTTAGGGAACTTAAACAGGTAATAAACCCAATACCCTCGCTTCCCGTCATCGCGGGAAAACGCCACTGACGTAAGAAATGCAATACACACGGGACCTAACAACGCCGTAATGCCGCAGAGGGAGGGAGAGTACTTGTAGTATCGAGTATGTGACAGGGGGAGACAGAGTATGTAGTAGTAATGACGACGACGACGACGACGATGATGATAACACTTGAAGCCCAGCTCTCTTCGACCAGCCCGTCCTTTTCAACCTCCTACTTTCGTAATAAACCTACATACCGGAAAGCGAAATTAAATATTACTCGAGGCTATAGATTCTAGCTAGCCTATCTGCGTTTCCTCGACGTCACCCGCCTCGCCCTGGACGAAGACCTCGCAGCCCTGGGCGAAGAAGATGCGCGCGGGCCTGTCGGTGTTATTTGCGATGCTGTAATGATTTCCTGAAGATAGGGGTTGTTAGCCTCGACTTGAACGAGTTATTGTGAGAGTAGGTGGACTTTACCTCTGGGCACAACCACATCCCCCCCATGCCAATCCTAAACTCCGTCTGCGCTACTGTAACGTCGACATTCCCCTTATGTACAAAAAACACCATCTGCATCTTCCTCGAGTTCTTGGTGCGCTTCTCTGAGCCGGGCGGCATATCCACGATTCCCGACCCAAAGAACGGGAGCGTAAGCGTCTTGGCGAACCGGAACGTCGCGTCCTTGATATCCTTGAGTTGGATGGCCGCTTCGGAGATGGCAAGTTCTTCTTCGGCTACCTCGAGCTGGTCCTCGTCCGCGGGCTCCGTCTCGTACTCGGGCCTCCAGTAAAGACACTCGCCCGCGATGCGGCCCGGGTCGAACTCCCAGTCATCGCGCTCCACCACCTCTTCCTCGGATATCGCAGATATGCGGCGCCCGGGCCTACCGCGTTGTTTCGAGGGGCGGCCGCGGCGTTTCTTCGTTGGTAAGTCTTCGGTTTCTTCGGTCCGCACGACACCATTGACGACAGGCATTACGAACTTTTGACCTTTATCTTCGAACACATCTACGCCCTCTTGCACGATATGCTCCCCCTTCCACCATTGTAGGGGCTGGTATGAACGGCGGCCCGACCGTGTAGTCCGCATGTTGTCTTCGTCTTCCCGGCGTAGAGCGACCAGGCCGCGACCTTTGGGGAGGGGGGGACCGCGCTGTACGACAGGCTCCTCGACGCCAATTCCAGAAGACTTTCGCTTTCGACCGGGCTTACCCTTTTCCTTTGTCGCAGTTGGTTTCGACGAAGAAGCCTTGCTCTCCTTTTCCACGATTCGTTGGCGCTTTGTATTTCTTTCATTGGCATTGTCCTCCTCCTCGTGCTCCTGTTCCTCCTCAACGCTACTTCCAGATTGCCTTCCTGGCCTGCGCTTCTGGGTCTTCTTTGGAGGCTCGTGCTCTTCGATGGGTGATGAAGCCTTTGCTGGTCGTCCTCGTTGCTTCTTTTTGGCGGGTACATCATTGGCTTCTTCAGTTTGTGCAGGTGGGGCTTTGGGGACTGATGGCTCTCCCTCTTCTTCTTGAACAACTGGTGATTTTGGCTTACGGCCTCTGCGTTTTTTAGGTTGTTCAGGGGATTTCGGTTGCGGGATAGGCTCTTCCTCTTCCTCAATTTCTGGTTCAAACTCTAAAGGAGGTTCGTCATGTTCCTCAGTTATATCTTCTACCTCGTCACCGCCAGCATCAAGTACGTCCATCCTTCCTCCGGTTCTTCTTCTTCCTCTTCTTCCTGTGGCTGGTTGCGTCTGCTTCGTGGAATAACCTCATCGTCATCATCGGAATCGTTGGTATGAGCATGACCGTTAGTGAGCTTCTCATTCCTAGGCTTCGGTCCGTTCACTCTTGGTTGCGGAAGGGCCGTCTTATTTGAAGAACGTTTGGAGAAATCTAACTTGCGATTTACAGATTTAGGGGGGTTAGGTTCGCGCGTGGGTATAATCGAACCGCGAGCAGGCGATGAAGTAATACCGAGATGCGGATTCTGTCGTGCTGGAGACTGTAGATTTGTCTTAATAGGGGATCGAGCGCGCGGCAGTGATGGGCGGGACTGTCGTTGTTTCATGATAGTAGCTGGTCCCATTTGAGATTCTACAGGGTTTGAATCAGCGTGCAAGAACAAGAATTCCGTAGAGCGTAGAGCGAGGCATACCGTCGTCTATTTCCATTTCTTGCTCCTCATCAGATTCAGCGTTATGCCTTCCATTAGCGCCATTAACGCTGACATTATTAACATCCTTTTCAGGTGAAGAAAAAAGGGAGTCAACAGCTTCGAAGCCATGTGCATCGCGCTCGCGCTCTGCTAATGTGAGTCCCGTTTTTCTATTCTACATTAGTCTCAATTTTGCTCGGCCAAAGTGCAGTATGATGAATACCTTCCAACAACACCAACATCGTAGACCTGTTCATTTTGCGACTGAGTTATGCGCCGCTGCGACTGTGCTTTCGCAGGCATAGTAACGAGGGCGCTGTATTACAGCAGTGGGACTTCGTAAAAACAATCAATCGCTCGAAAATTATTTTTTTAAATGTGACGATATATGAGAATTCTCGTAACCAATAATGAAAGTCGCATTTAAGGTTGTAAACGCGTTAAAAAAGTATAAAAAGCGATTCCTTGCGGGGAAGGTGGTGATGTTTACTTTCTTTGTTGAGGTGCGCTTTCCCGTGGCTGCTAGGTGACCCAATTGATTTACTATGTACTGCACGTCCCTGAAGATAATTATGGGTCAGATCTTCTAAAATATCCACTTTAATTGGTGGCACGGACGCGCTTTCAAGTAAAGACGCGATTATCAGAAGCAGCTTCCACTTAATCTTTGAATTACTAACTACTACTAGAACCTAGTATAATCTTTCTAATTGTATATTTAGTTGATGTACCTAATATAATACTTTTTTTCTACTCCAATAACCAGACAGTACCTATCTAATACCATAACAAAGCCCCAAATTCCCTAACCCTCTACAGCTCTCACCATGGAAGACACCCCAATGGACGATGGCACCGTCGCCCTCGAAACTCCAGCCGACAATGTCTTCGTCCCGCCTTCTATCCACCACGCCGCCACCCTCTCCGGCGAGACCTACACACATTTCTCTACAGTACCTCCAAGTCTCCTCCCAGAACCCAACTCCACCACCCCCTCTGACCCATCCTCCAACCAACCCTCCCCAACCGGCCCCCCCTGCGTCCTCGGTGTCGACGAAGCCGGCCGCGGCCCCGTCCTCGGGCCCATGGTCTACGGAGTATTCTACCTACCCACGGAGCTCTCCGACCCGCTCCTGAAGCAAAAGCACCACTTCGACGACTCCAAAGTCCTAACTCCCACCGTGCGCTCCCAACTCATGCAATCCCTCTGCACGCCCACCACCGACCTATTCGATTCCTGCGGGTGGGCCGTATCGTGTCTCTCCGCGCGGGACATCGGCGCCAACATGCTGCGGCCCGCCACGAGCGCAGCCTACAACCTCAACGCGCAAGCCTTCGACGCGACGGTCGAGCTGATCAAGGGTGTCTTCGCCCGCGGCGTCAACGTCGCCGAGATATACGTCGACACCGTCGGGCCCCCGATTACCTACCAAGCGAAGCTCGCCCGCGTATTTCCCACCACCAAAATCACCGTCGCCAAGAAGGCAGATAGCTTGTACCCATGCGTCAGCGCGGCGAGCGTGTGTGCCAAGGTCACGCGTGACGCTGCCCTGGAGGTTTTGTATGAAGCTCGGGCGGCGGGAGATGCGGCGAGGGGGGGAGAGGGAGAAGACGAGCAGGAAAGCTGGGGCTCTGGATACCCGTCTGATGCGCGGTGCGTCTCCTGGCTGAGGAGAAACATGCATCCGGTATTCGGCTGGGGGCCCGAGTGCAGGTTCAGCTGGGGTACGGCGAAGGACATGTTAGAGACGAAGGGCGGCGTAAAGGTTGAGTGGCCGGTAGAGGAAGATGACGAGAACAGTCGACTTACTGATTACTTCGCCGACAGCAGTAAGGAGAAAGATGCCGATGAGCTAGGGTCTTGGTTCGGTACTCCAGCTGGTTTAGAGGCGTTTTGACCTAGAGAAGATTTCGTTATTGCATACCCAACTAAGCATAGGATCACGGCGTTCTGGAAGAGATAAATATTGGGTTATCAAAAACTTGTTTGTTCGGATTAAGGATTTGTCCATGACGAGAAATATATCTTTACTATATCCTGCCCCGCCTAGCCGTCTATGAATGATCAACTGAACTTATTACATATCATCGTCGTCATCAACTGCCACACGCGACTTCTTCTTTCCCCGGCTGTCTAACGTGTCCATGCTGATCGAGTCGCTATCCCGGCCTGCCATGCCAATTGCCTGTCTCGCGGTCTCGTTGTTCTCGACGAACTCTCGGAGACGTTGCTTGCCAATTTCCGAGGCCTGGTTCCAGGCAGCGTTGCTCATCTGCATCATAGGGCCTAGGAGATTAAGGCTGTACGAGACGTACAACCCACCGGCAATGATGACCAAGAGTACAAAAAGAACGGGGTTGCGCAGAACTGATGAGGGTTAGCATAGCAACGGTAACATCGTGTAAAAGTAACTCACCTGTCAGGATCTCGTTCCACCCCAGTGCCAATAGCAGTCCGTAGAAATACAAGGGGACCTGCGTAATCCCACCAATGGCACTTCGCTTAGCTTCCACATACACACCATCGGCAGTCTTCTTGAATCTGACCACCAGATCTTGACGCTTGCTTTCGCTCAAGACAGTCATCTCTTCCTCGAGACTCTTCCCTTCTTCCTCATCAATACCACCGATAGGTGCCAAGTCGTCCTCATCTTCAGGCTCTGCCGCAGAAGGCTGGTTGCCAATAAACTCTAGGAGGTCCGGAGGTGCATATGTTGTGGATAGCCTGAACCTCGATAACAGGGGAATGAGGGTAAGAGTTGATTCTCGAGCACGAGTGTAAATACCCTCGATGTCATCGGCCGGCCGCCATATGCGCGGAACGCCTGCTTCGTCGTATCGGAATTTATCCTCAAAGTTTTCGCGAAGCTTCAGTAGGATGTTTCCTTCCATCACTTCTTCCTCGATCTTCCCGGAGGGCTACCCAACTCTTCCGTCGTAGACGCCATAGTCCAACCTCGACTTCGTCTTCACTCGCTTCAAAGCTCTTAGCCCTGTCTGTAAAGCGGCCCTCGGCTTCCTTGACAACAGAGGTAAAGAGATTCCAAATACGATCCCAGAGGTCTTTCTCAGTAGGAGGCTTCTCGCCATCTTCAGGGGCTCCAGACCCTCCTCTCCCCGATCCAAGCTTATTAAATTCAAGACCAACCGAATCGCTTAGACGAGATTTGACCCAGCGTTCAACCCGATTCGCCAGTCTTCGCATTTCTTCTTTTCGCAAGCGAGAACTGACTTCATCAAGTTCTTTCTCGAAGAGAACATATTGAGGCTTGAAGTTGGTCCACGCCACACCCGGGATAAACAAACCCTGTGCCTCTTTCTTGAATATGTCTAAAGTCCTAGTCTTCTCCGCATCCACGATCTCGGCAAATTCATAGGCCCCTCCAGATTTTTGGCCCTGCTTAACGGCACCGGACACGGCGTCGCTGAAGCTAGTAACGCAAGTCTTGTGGGCAGCAGACAGTTGGCCGTGGTACAGCGTCTTGAGACGCTGATCGATTTTCCCCTCCAAATCCGTTCGTTTATCCGAGTAAACTTTCTTGTGATATCGGCTAGCCTGCGTTTCGAAAGACTTGACGCATTTCTCCCTAGTTGAGCTGCCAATTTTACCAAGGTCCGGTAGAACGATAGGCCGTCCGCTGCGAGCGGATTCCGCCTGTTGCTCCTCCAACGGAGTAATAGCTTCATCGAATGCTACGAGAACTTCTCGCGAGATCTCGTCGCAGCGGAACTGAGCAAGGAGTTCTTGCTGTGTAGGCAGATCGAGATCCTTATTATGAACAATCTGGTCCCAAATACCATTTGCATAATGGGAGAATCCATCAGCCGGGATTCTTCGGTGGTATTCGGGCAGGAAGACGCCACCCTCGAGTTCCTGTTCGCCGTGCTCGAGCTGGTTCTTCGAGTTCCGGCTTCCAGTCACGAACCTGCCCCCTAGGTTCTTGACTTCGGCTTCGAATTTATCTGGCTGTAGGATCTTATGAGGGAGCGCAGCAAAGGCGAAGTCGAAGTAGTCTTCTATATTCGCTCCCTCCAAACCCGCTGGCTTCGAAATCGAGGACCAAATCTTAGTAAGATCTTGGATTAGGGTATTTCGAAGGTTTGATAGGGGAGTATGACCAATATGATCACGAATAACGAAGAATAGGAGAGACCTAGGGGTAGATCTAAGTGCATACATATTAGCCTTTCGTCCGAAACATCTATTGGGGTTCTCATGAAACTTACTGTTTATCCTTCAAGAACAGTTGAAGGTTGACTTCGAAGACAGTTTTCAACAAGCCCATATTGGCACCTTGATATAACCAACTTGGTGCTCCCATATGTTGACAATAAGCACTTCGCTAGTTGCAAGCGCAAATAGTGCACTCTTCCTTTCGAAATCTTGGTCCTCACCTCTCTCTCGGCCATCAGTACCTTCTACATCCATAACTAAGATATTGTCGGCCATAGAGCCCCTTTTGTTTTTGGACATCCATATTCCCTTGGTGGTTTGGCGTCGTTCCACCTCGGACATTACATTGAATTCGGTACCAAATAGGTAGTTGAGCAAGGTCGATTTACCGGTAGACTGAGACCCGAACACGGATATCAGATGATAGTTGAATCCAGCATCTGCAACATCGGTTGCACGTAAGTAGGCATTGATATTCTCGCTAGAATTTTTATATGTTAGTAAAGTAAAAGGAGGACGGGATAGTAATAGTAAAGAAAAGGACAGCAGCTTACTTGAACTCCTTGTCCTCGTCAATAACTTGGATGCCATGCTCGTAGTGAGCTTTTGTTGGCTTCTCGCCAACAGAAGAAAAATGACCATTCATTTCGAGGCTATCGGAACAGTAATCGGAATTATTTACAAGTTTATGGAGCAAGAAGAAGAGTTGCCATCTCCTAAGCTTTAATTAAAGTTGTAGTTCAGAGTAGAGCAATAGGGAGGATTAGTTGTGTAGAAATGACATTTAGAACACAGCAAGGGCATCCTTGTTTAAACCGACCCGACCTTAGCTGTGTGGCAATTCTGATTCGCTGACCTAAATCGACAGCTGTTATCAAAAGTGACGGGCGCCACTCTGCCACTGTCACATGCACCAATGGAGGGTGATGTGACACTGCAACGAAGATAAATGATGTCAGCTGGCAACTGCACATGTACAAATGCAACTATCCAGCAAAACTAATGCACTAAGTGTTACTCGATTCGTTTAAATACTTGTTCATATTCATAGGCAGTTTATATACTTTCAACATTCGATTTTGACATAGAATGTTAGTAACACCGAACGATAAAATTACAGTTACTTGGTGTAAACATTAGGTATTTTCTGAAAAGGACAGCCTCATTGTGGGGATATCCCCTAACATACCTAACATATTAACAAGGAGGGTTCATTCTCCCAGAAACACATCTTACGCAGTCTTCACACATTAATAGGGCTAAAACACTGCGTTGTCCTTTAGACATGATGCAAAAGGCTAGTTGGAAGCATACCGCTCAAATTTCGCCAATACGATACGGTTATTGGTATAAACGTTAGTGTCTCTTTCCACCCGGCCACGTATATAGGTTTTATTTATTAGAACCAAACTTTCGACCTCTTGAGAGCCAACAAATAAATCATTATGCAGTATATTAAGACAGCAAGCCAAAGCCGGATTGGATGCCCCTGGGTTTGTATTAGGTTCTGGTTAATCTTTTCTAGCAAATCTTGCCAGAGCCGGGCCGAGCTCAACCTCTTTTTCTTTTTGCTTTTCTCCCCGCTGCTGTAGCTGTTCCTTCCAGAGTTCTTCAACTTTAAGCCTCTTCTCATCAATAATATTCTTACCTCGTTGCTTTCGTAGATATCTGCGTAGCGCACTATTCTTTCCGCGTGCCCTATTCCTAAGTTCTGTCTCAATATCAACGGGTTTCGCATCGAGATCCTTCTCAGCTTGACGTTGCTGCTCAGAACGTAGATCAAGGTTTCCAATGAAGTTAGGATCTAGCGCGATCATCTCGGGTTGCAACTTGTTCAATAACGACTTGACTTCAGTCTCTTGTCGTTGTTTACCCGTTTCGAATGGATTGACTTCCAGAGCATCAAAGTTAGGTTCTCCGGCACCAGGGACAATGATCGACGAAAATCCTTCGTCGTGACCCAATCCTAGAATATCTTCGAATGGGCACCAACGCACGCGCTCGATGCGCTTACCCTCGCCGCCCCAGGCCATGTATGGACTCTGGATCTTCTCCTGTTCGGCAGCGTGCTTAGAGTAAAGGCCTTTCCAAATTGTCGTCTTCGTACCCCATCCTACTGCGGTGAGACCTCGGTCTGATATTGCGATCGACGATGCGGGTTGTCGCGTAAAATAGCTATTGACTTCTTTGAACATCCTTATATCCCAAACTGCCATTTTGCAATCTTGCCCTGCCGATACCATATATCGGCCTTCCCTATCCACGGCCAATGACCGGACGGGGCCTCTATGCGCCAATAGCTTCACGAGTGGTTCGGGTGAGTTAGGAGACCATAATGTAACAGTTCCGTTCTGGTGGCCAGCATGTAAAACGGCGTTATAGGGGTTTTGTGTAAGAGACACTGGTGCTCCGAGCTTCGTCGGTATTTCTGTCACTAGTTGACCGGTAGATACGTCTTGGTACTTGAGAAAACCCGACATTCCCTAGCCTCGTAGTTAGTATTAATAGAGCCATGGTACGTCAAATCTACTAACCAGGGTTGCCAATAAAAAGTGGTACGGCAGGAATTCCATATGCGTGACTTCTTGGTGTTTCCTCAGGCAATGTACTTCAACACCCTGACGATCGTATATATAGACATGTTTCTTTTGCGACACGGCGAAAAACTGGTTATTGTGTAGCCACCGCGCATCACGGACCGTCTCTCCAAGCTGTAGCTCACACCCCAACTTGCCTTCGCGCCAATCCATCGTAGCGACATGGCCTCGGCGTCCTGCTAGTAGTAATTCCCGACCAGTTCGGGAATACTCGAAAACGTAGGGTCCAAGTTGGTCAAGTTTCAACTCGAATCGCTTTTTGGCCGACTCGCCGGAGACTTCGTCTAATATTTTCTTGTCGCACTCTATATGTCCTCTCTAATTCGTGCTCGGGTTCTAGGAAACCGCTAGTATTTTCGAGAAGTATTTCTGCATCTTTTGCTTTTACTGTAGCTTCCTTATACTTATGCTCCAGAGATTTTAGGTTGCTCCGTAGCTTCTTGTCCTTAACGGCTTTGACATTGACTCTGCTCCCTCGGCCATAGTCTCTTTGCGCTTCCTTTAATCGTCGTCGCCTCTCGCGCTCTTCTTTTGGAACAAGTTCCGTTCTTGTTCGTTTAATGACACGCGCGCCATTGTCGTAATCCCTATTAGATGGCTTTGTAACGGATTTAGTTTCGACTTCCATCTTGGTCTGCAGGGTGGTTGTTAAAAAAAGTAAGACTTGTAAACAGTCAGTAACTTGGAGGGTTTGTAGGTCGGCATTTAATGCCAAGCCAAAACTTCAAGCGCAAACCCAAAAATTTCTGAGCAACGGAGACGATAAACTGATAAGAAGCATAGTCCCATAAAAAAGTTGTTATCAGTGGGTAATCAGTTCGATAAGCGACGATAACCAAAACCGCACAGAAAAAAAATATTGTGATAAGACCCATTCCGGCTGCCGATATCCTCAATTGCCCCTCCGCCCCTCCAACAGTCAAGCCAATATTGGCCCAGCGAGGTTCTTGACGTAGATCTTGATTTTAAAAATATTTCTACAGTATAAAACCCTCCAACCTGGCGTCGCTACCATTCCGATTTAAAGCTGGAGGTGACGGGAAAATGCCTTCCGTAGTAGCCACTCATTCTCACCGGCCGACTACGAAAGTCGCGCCCAAGACTTTCAAGTCCAAAAAGGCCACCAAAGGCGCTCTAAGAGACCAGGCCAAAGGTGAGATCGCAATGATTTCTAGATATGCTAAATTACTTTTCTTTTTACTAATGCCTTAACTCTAAAGGCAAAGTACCCAACGACAAGGGCCAGCGCAAAACTCCTCATCAACAAGTCATGTCTAAGTTCGATCGTCGCAACCAAGCAAAGCAGCGCCAGCTTGCGAAACATAAGGAACACCTAAAAGAAACCTCAGTTTTCTCCGGACGGGATGGTGCGCCAAGAATAGTTGCTGTAGTACCGCTCTGCGCCGACATTGACGTCTCCGCGGCCGTCAAAAGTCTTAACAGCAGCCCTCGATATCGAATCCGACGCCCCTGAGTCCAACTTCCGAGTGTCCGTCGACAGATTTAAACAAAAACTTCAATACGTACCAGTCACGAGAGATCTTACCGCGTGTATTGATGCAACAAGAGTCGCAGACTTTGTCCTATTCATATTATCATCAGAGACAGAGGTGGATGCTTTGGGGGAACTTATTATCCGAAGTATCGAGAACCAGGGCATGTCCACATTATTCACAGCCGTCCAGAATCTAGATAAAATCCAACCCGCGAAGGCCCGCCCAGATGTCGTCAAGTCCCTAGTCTCGTTTATGACACATTTCCATCCAAGACAGGAAAAGATATATAATCTCGACTCGAGACAAGAATCCTCAAACCTCATGAGGTCGCTCTGTACAACGACGCCGAAAGGAATTAACTGGAGAGACCAGCGATCATGGATGCTTGTTGACGATGTCCAGTGGTCGTCAACTGAAAATGAGCTAACAGTATTAACGGGTGTCGTTCGCGGAAAGGGTCTCAAGGCTGACCGATTGGTTCATGTGGGAGATTGGGGAACCTTCCAAATCGAGAAGATCACAGCCGCACCGCTCTCCACTAAGAGACGAAAAGATGACGGAATGGCCGTAGAGGAAACAGAACCCGAGAATGTCCTGGAGACCCCGGATGAGGACCAAGATGATCTTGTTGAGTTAGCTCCTGAAGAAGTAATGATGGATGACGCAGATATAGAGGAAGGGATAAAAGAACCTGCAAGCAAAAAGGGCGTATTACTAGACGATCATCACTATTTCTCTGAGGAGGAGCGAGAGGAGTATGCACAGCCAAAGAAACTACCTAAAGGGACATCATCCTACCAAGCAGCCTGGTACCTAGATGATGTGTCAGATTCTGAGTCGGAAATGGATGATCAAGAAATGGAGGATGCCCAGGATGAGGTTATTCCTGCGGCTCCAGAGGACGGCATGGAGGGTCTAGCCATCGCAGAGCCCACAGAGGCCGCTATGTCCGAGTATCCTCAATCAGAGATGTTTATCGAACCAGATGAGGAGGAAGATGCTGCACAATTAGAAGCATATCGTTCTAGGAAACGCGACGAGGTAGAGGAAGACAAAGAATTTCCGGATGAGATCGAGTTACACCCGAACGTCCTTGCGAGAGAAAGGTTAGCAAAATACAGAGGATTAAAAAGCTTACGGACGAGTCCTTGGAATAAGGAAGAAGATCGCGCATTTCAGCCCGAGGAATGGTCAAGGTTATTACAAATATCAGACTACCAGTCTTCTCGAAACCGTTCAATAAGAGAAGCTCTAGTCGGCGGGGTGGCCCCTGGAACGAGAGTCCATGTTCACCTCAGAAACGTCCCTAGGGACCTGGAGAAGTCATATAACCCTTCGCGGCCAATCTCTCTCTTCTCACTCCTACGACACGAAAACAAGAAGACTTCATTGAACTTTGACGTTACGCACAAGGAGGATTATGAAAAATCTATCAAGGCCAAGGAGGAGCTCATCGTTCAGTGCGGCCCTCGACGATTTATCGTCAACCCCCTATTCTCGCTTCCCGGTAATACCGAGAACGACGTGCACAAGTACTGCCGGTACCTCCACCCGGGTCAATCTGCTATCGCGACGTTCATGGGTCCTATTACTTGGGGATCTGTGCCGACGTTGTTCTTTAAGCGGACAATTTCCGAGGGAGGAGACGGCGAATCAAGTGTTCCTCTACAATTAGTAGCCACAGGAACCGCTCGTGCACCATCTACCTCAAGAGTCGTCGCCAAGCGTGTCATATTGACTGGTCACCCTTACCACATTCACAAGAAGGTCGTCACCATCCGATATATGTTCTTCAACCGAGAAGATGTAGAGTGGTTCAAGGCATTACCCTTATGGACGAGGAGAGGGAGAAGCGGATATGTCAAGGAAACTCTTGGTACTCACGGATACTTCAAGGCTAACTTTGACGGAAGGATTAACCCGCAGGATGCGGTTGGTGTTAGTCTATATAAGCGGGTGTGGCCGAGAAATGCCATTCCCTTCACAGGACCTCTCTTAGAAGAGGGAGCGTGGGAAGCACAGAACGAGGAGGCCATGGATGAGGATGTCCTATAGATACCAGGGTATATGGGTTATAGTGTGTGTCTATGTCGTCTTCCAGTCATATCGAGAGCATACTATGGAGTCTTTAGATCTCAATCATTCGGACTATCATGAGAGAAATGAGAAACGGTTCCAAATACAATACCAATTTGGTTACACATTTATTTCCCATTGAAGCTCAACTCGTCTCAGTGTCACACCTAAAATGGCATAACACGGCTGGCAGTGAATCTTTAATTGGCTTATATTCAATATAACCTACTTAAACTAACGTCTCCAACCCAGCCGTCGGCCTCGGTCCCCCATTCGCCTTACACACCTCCTCAGCACCACTAGCCTTCCACGCGCTAACAATCAAATTCACAATATGATCCACGCCAACCCCCTTCTTCACCTGCGCAAACACCGTCGGTCCCCCCTCCCTCATCTTCCTAGCGTCGCGCTCCATGACGCCCAAATCGGCGCCGACGGCCTCGGCCAAGTCGGTCTTGTTCACGACGAGCAAGTCGCTCTGGGTGATGCCGGGGCCGCCCTTCCTAGGGATCTTGTCGCCGCCGCTGACGTCGATGACGTAGATGATGAAGTCGGCGAGCTCGCGGCTGTAGTTGGCGGCTAGGTTGTCGCCGCCGGACTCGATGAGCAGGAGGTCGGTGGCGAAGGCGCGGTGCAGGTCCTCGAGCGCGGCTAGGTTCGCGGATACGTCCTCGCGGACGGCGGCGTGCGGGCACCCGCCGGTTTCGATGGCGCGGATGCGCGGGGCGGGCAGCGCGAGGTGTCGCGTTAGGAATTCGGCGTCTTCTCGTGTGAATATGTCGTTGGTTACGGCTGCGATGGAGTATTGCTGGCGCAGGGCGAGGCAGAGGGCTAGCATTAGGGCGGTTTTGCCGGAGCCGACGGGGCTGCGGGGTGGGCTGTTAGTTATATATATTTTATAGATATAATGTCCCGTGGTATACTAGAATGAGACATGTATTGTATAAAGGGAGTTTTGGTGTATCTATATGTGTGTGTATAGATAGATAGGTAGGTAGATATTCTCCTTTAAGAGGAGGCGATAATACAGGACGCCACTTAGACTGGACTTACCCTCCGATTCCAACGGTAAAGGCTCGCTCGTTCCAATTACGGCCCTCGATAATGGGCATCTCTCGCCCGAGGAAGCTCCCAGGCCCATCGAGGATCTCGTGCGAGTGCCCGTGCTCGGCAACGGAGAAGCCATCGTGGGAATGGTTAGTGGCAACTCCATCATGGGAGTGCAAGTGAGCCGTCGCCATTGCGGGGTTATTAAGGACGATAAGAAAATTTAAATCACAAAGATAGGTACGTATGTGTGTGTACGATGTAATAGTATATTTATGAGTCCTCAACGAAGTTTGTAAAAAAAATAATAGAGTACCTATTTTTTGAAATTTCTCTTCTAGGTTCTATCAAGCTTAGGTTAGGTTAGGTAGATATTTGCTTATTACTTACACATACGTATTATTCAACAACTTGCTCACCGAGAAGGCGCTACCTATAGCTGGTAGATGGCGTCTTGTCTATCCCGCTTTCCGTCTCTCTATCTCTATCTCCCTAGATATGTATTGCGATTATCTCTTATCTCTGATGAGGGGCAGAAGATCTACCCCACATTCCAGCGAGCTTATGAGGTAGCTAAGGGCATTGGAGCTGGTTTGTATTTTAGATGTTTGCTATGTCTGTCTTAGTCTATCGTTATCGAATTCGTTTGAGTCTGGTAGAGCGTATATTCGTTACAAAAGACTATGATATATCTTATAAGTGAAGTTGAAAATTGAGGCTTTCGCGATGTCAACGATCAATGTCTTTGCTAACTTCTGTTACGTAAATTCATAGATATTGGCCTGTAATGAATGCTTGCCAATACTTGCCAAGGAGGGCGCACCTCATCCCAAAGCTATCCCAGAACCTCAGCCCAAAGTCTAACCCAATCAAGCAAGTATGGACCTTTTTTCACCCCAATAGTACTAGCGCACCCAAAACTCGACTACCATTTCATTAACATTATATTTATACAAATATATACTTTTATACATTATTATAATATTTAATGAATATAAATAATTTTATTTAATTAATTAATAATCGATTAATAATTAATTATTACGATAACGTATTTTATTTGATTTTAATTAATTATTAAATATATATAAAATAAGGAATAGGTAAAGGTATGCATTTAATTGATTAAATGTCAAGCGCTATAATATAGGGAATTTAGTGGTTGTGGTGCGCTGTAATATAGGGAACTTAGTGGCCGCAACGCGCTGTAATTACAGGGCATTTAAGCTTATATTTTAATGAGACACAAAAGCTCACCCCAAAGTCACCTGATGTACGGATCGGTAAAGCTCACCCCAAAGCGGGGACCCTGTCAATTGTAACCAATCAAACCTTTGGATTCAAGGTCTTAGCTTTTGCCAAATCGGGTTAGACTTTGGGCTGAGGTTCTAGGATATCTTTGGGATGAGGTGTAGACTCCTTGCCAAGTAAGAAATCGTTGCCCTACAAGCTTGGCTAACCTATATGTACCTAGGTATTAGCTTGGCCTTCCCTCCAATGGTTACATTAGGTATTCTGTAAGCGCCTACTAGTCTGCGGTATATATGCGCTTTTTACTCATTGCTTTCCATCAACAACAACCCAATCACCATTCTCCAAAGAATGGAATAAATTCTCGATTGGTCTAGTGGTAAGGATACCTGCTTGTCATTGAACAAGTACGCAGGTGGCCGGGGTTCGATTCCCCGATCGAGAGCATCTTTTTGTCAGTTGAACATCGTGTTCGTCCTTTTTTTTATTTTATTTTATTTTCTTTTAAACTTGCCTCTGCTGTTGGCCTCAATGGTTCCATGTGGCATAGTTACCTAGGTTAGGTATATAAGAGTTTATACAAATTTTTATTTGCCATCTATATACGAATTTATACAATTATTATTATGCTTCAATATGCGAGCACATCTTTACCATGTTAAGAAAGATCGGGTCTCAATATCGCAATAGTTTCAATCTCAACACTCGTAGTTCCATACCTTTTTCAGCATCATATATTAATTAGGTCAGTTAATTTGTCTAGCCTATAACCTATCATTCGGTACCATCCGAAACCTTAGGGTTTTACCGCTGTCGATCAAAGAGCTGTTGGTCGACGGTTGTCAAAATCTCCGAGCCGCCATTGTACGGCAGGGAACACCACATATCGTCTCGAACCCACTAGAGATCGTGTATCATTCCTAGACCAGCGCCTCACGACTGCTTCTAACCTACCGTAGCCAGTAATCCACATATGATATCGGTACTGGTCCGAAAAAAATACGCAATATCCTTGCTGCTTTATCCGACATCCTCGTATTGGATCCAAAGCATATGCTATGGATTACAGATGCGTGGCTTTTGGCGGCTCGAGTATGTAAGGTGTGTAAGGTGTTTAAGCAATACGTGCGTCAGCCATGACTGCAATTATCACGCGGTTCAGGCTGCGAGTATCCGTCTTCCGCCAAAGACTATGTTCGGAATGCAAATAGAATATCGATATTTATCACGAAGCTACATGTAGGTAGGTAGTCGTTCCTGGCAGGATCTACATAATACTAGCTTCAGGGAATAGGAATAAGTACGACAAGGATGTCGGATTTACCACAGTGTGATTGTCATTTACCTACTTCGATCCCTCGATCCCTCGTGATAATTACCTTACCTTACCTTGGGCTTACATACTGGTCAGTTAAGGGGATTAACCAGGGTATAATCTGGGTATAAGTTTAGTATAGGTTTAATTCCCTTCGAATTGAATATTAGATGATACCCAAGATCGTCATCTAATATTCACACCTCGGTTATCTCTGCAATATCAGCGTCCAAGTGGAAATAGAAGCGCCCAAAGTCTTCGAGAATAATGATTCGCCTACGGATGGATAGCTCAACGATAGCACGTAAGCGCATTTACAGGAGCTACGTTGGTCGAACCAGGTCGTTCAACCGTCTCCATCCTCTCCATCCTCTCCAGATTTGTATACCTGGCAACTGGCAAGTGGTTAAAAGAAATCGATAGCAATACATAAGACATAAAAGCATGGGTTACCGATTGGTATCCTTTCTACAGGGTTACATGGCTTTCCCTCGTTAGCTAGTCTACAAGAGGATTGATGCATCCAGGCCTGCAGGTTTGTTGGTATGATTTTCTATGTAGCAACCTAAAGTGCCGCCCGGCGATACTCGACGGCGAGCAAGGACATTGGCGAGGTTCGAGCGTACCTATGGAGATTTATATGTATGTATTTGTATACATAACTACATACATACATACATACATATATAGGTACATACATGGTTAGGTATTCTACTCTAGCCTCTCGTCGCCTTAGCGGTCGTACCACCAAACCCGTGTCTAATCGGCCTAGATCCCGCAAGGGACGCCGGTGTTCGGGACCATACTCTCAGTACAACAGGAACAAATGCAGGAAATAAAACACCGAAGCCACCACGGGAAGATACAGCTGAGAGAGACAAATGCCGTGCAACAACATTAGGGAGTATCCGTCATCCTTCGCCTAGCAGAATTTGGAATGAGGATGTTTTCCTATCTCGATTCTCGATACTGGTTCCATTCCGCTCTCTTCCCCTTGGGGAAAAATATTGCTAGGATGTGATGCTAGGGTACCTATGCTAGGATACGTGCATGCGAGCTTCGTAGCACGAGCCAACTTGAAGTCACAGCGTATTGCTTGGAACTGGGGTCGATATGTACGACAAGGGTTATGAACAAAGGATTCAACCGCCGTTGTCTCCTCATCGTTCCTCTCCCCCCATTCGTCTATGTAATATGTAGTGTATCGACCAGGGTGCTCCTAAGGTTCGAAATTCAAATTCATACATACATACAACATACATGCTTACCATGCTCCATATTCCATGCTTTTAGCAGACCGCCTCTCCTTTGGCTCCCACAAGAGAGCCTGAGGTCGCAGTGCAGTTATAGATCCAGAACCGGGTAAATTATGACACCAGAAGTGCGTTTCGGTTCTAGAGCCAACATGATTTCCAACGCGCAGATGAAAATCAGGGCAAACAAAGGGAGATCGAGGTCACGCATCGACCGGAAACTGTTTAGTGTTTGCTTGGTCTCTTTTTTCTTTTTTTTTTCTTTTAGAGCTAATGTAGGTAGCTTCTCTCTCTCTCTATATATGTACATATTATAGATGTAGATGTAGAAAGGTAGCTAACTAGCTACTAATTAATTTAATAGCTGACGATACCCGATAGTCAAGTGATGGATCATTGCCGTTCAGTACCGCTCACGCGCCCCTGTATCCATGCTACCTTAAAAAAATAAGAGGCTTCATTCCCTCTTAGCCAAGCCGGCCGCATTCTGCACGTCTCTGCCCCAGATTTTATTAATAAGAAGTCGACCTCCCTATTGTGGTAAACGATGGATCGCCTTATCCGTCGTCCCTAGGAACTAATGTAACCTACATATGTATGTACGTGTATGCAGGTATATATTCTTATACTTTCTCTTTATAACCTTCATTATTAGTCGAGAAAAAGGTTTATCTATTCCTCTTGAGCTGAGCTGAGCTTCAACTCTTAGCTCGTATACCTAGATTATACCTAGATTATACCTAGATATACCTAGATATACCTAATTATTAGGTCCGCCTTTCGAAGTTTATCGCAACTGTCTTACTTCTAACTTCGGGAGATCAAGCTCGTGTCTTATGAGACGAGTCATGCATGTCATGAGACAGACGTATATGCAGCTGAACTAAGTAACTTAAGAAAGGATTAAGAATAATAGTTTCTTCCAATATTTGTTCGCTTTTCAGAACTCTAATACGAATTTCCCGGCTTTTATTTCTGTTCTCCGATATTACGAAATTTGATACCCTCATTACCGGTCTATGGAATATTTTTACAATTACATTCCGTCGAATTCAGCTGTGCAGAGACAGACGGATATAATGCAGCTCACCATGGGTCGTTCCGCGAATGATCACCGGGCGTCGATGCCGGCTAGACAAGCCGTTCCCAAGTCGGATCCGTTCAGACCTAGCAACGCGAGGCAACAGCGGCATTCCAAGTCGCAACCTTTTGATGCTGATGATTTACGGCGACGACTGTATATAGTTATTGCAGAACAAGAAGCGCAGAAGAAGAGACAAAAGCGAAGACCAGACGAGAGTTATCAGAGTCAAGAGCAGAGTAGATCTATAAGCAGATCAGAGGCGAGACAGACGGATGCTATAAAACCAGGAGCTAGCGAGAAGAGCTTCGCGACACGGATGGCAAAAAGCAAAGTCACGATAGCAGATTCGACAAGAGAAAACGATGCCCAGCCGCCAAAAATAAAAACCGGCCGGTCCATGTCAAAGTCGATCCAAGACAGGCTACGACGCCGACCGTCAGAGGTAGACCCGACAGCGACCGAGAGCGCGGTCAAAACAACATCATACCAACACGTACCCCAAGAAGCCGCCGCGCAATTCGAACGGACGGCAACGGCCAACAGCATGCGCGACAGGAATCTCGAGCACAGCATATCCCAATCAACACTCAAATACCAAGTCGAACGCCGACCATCAGATCAACATGACCTCGAGTCTAGCACTTCCCCCACGCAACAAAACCACCACACATTAGAGCGAGTCCGAAGCAAACGGGAGCTCTTCCACGAGCGGAACCCCTTCCAAACCCCACAGTGGCACCCATCCACCGTCAATGCTCTCGCTGACACAGAAGAACTCTACCCTCACCCTCACTCTCACCAACCCCAACCACAACCCCAACAACAACTCCGCCGCCACAGCGCCCCCCTAGTCCTGCCCCCGCGCCCCTGGCGCAAAAACAGCATCGGCACCGTCCTGGAGGACAAAGCGACAGACGAGATCTCGTCCGAGGAGACGCTCGTCGTCGTCGACCCGGTGTTATTAGCGACGACGACGACGACGATAATAAACGAGCACCGCGTCGACTGGACGCAGAGCGATGAGAAGCCCGTTAAGTCTTCTTCTGGTACTGGTGCTACGGGCGGGGGTAGGATCCCGCTGCTGAGAAAGGCGGATTCCCTCTGGACGCTGAAGAAGCTGGGGGGTTTAATAGGGGTGGTGTTTCTCGCGAGAAACAGCAGCAACAGCAACAACAGCAGGACGGTGGGAGTCCGACGGCTGCGACGTCGTCGTCGTCGTCGGCGCCGCTGAGGTTTCCGCGGTTAGGGTTTTTGATGAAGTTGAGACGTTAGGTGGCGGTGGTTGCGGTGGTGGTGGTTTTAATGAGTATTAATTTAATTCATTTGTTTTCATCTGGGGGGAAAGGGTGGTTGTGGTCGGTTAAAGACTACTTTAGTTTGTGTGAGATGTAATGGTATACCCCGGCTGAAGCTGCGAGGATATGAATGATATCGTGATACCGTGTAATGACAAAAGCATTGATGAGACAAGGGAATTAATTGTAGTTGGACTTGTTATGACGAAGAAATCTCTCCTCTCCCGACATGGATGTAGCTATTCTATTCAAACCTAGGTACCTAACATAGGGTTTATATCATCCTGAGACCTCGTGCGTGGTTCTGCCATCTCACTTAACGACACAATACATATAAACTGCAATACACAACGTATCCACCACATATGACCATATTATCTGGAAAACTCGGCGTTTTGTCCGCCTTTTTCTTTAGGTAAGACAGACATCAGACGCTTATGCTTCTTTTACTTTGCCTGTATTAGAATTCGATGACCTACTTTCCCGCGCTAGAGATGTTGGCCTTCCTTAGCTTGATTTGCATATGCATCCCCATTTTGAATTTTATCTCTGTTCTTAAACTGCTGATCTCAGGTCGAAGAGTCCGGAGCTAGATCTATACAGGCAAAACAATATTATTCGTCCGAGGAAGAAAAATCACTATCTAGAAGCTCAGATTCGGGCTCCGAGTCCTCCTTAACAGTCTTTCCATCTTCGTCCCAAGCCATATCATCGTCCAGCAGCATAGTCTTGCCAGTCAGGACGTCCAACGACTGCGTCTCAAAATGCGGGAGTGAATGAGTCAGGATCCTTATAGTCTTAGGGGACGCCATTCTGGCTGCAAGAATTTCTCCTTCTTCCCGTACGTCGGCTATCAGTTGAAGCAATCCCCCGGCTTGGGAACCGCATCGTTTAGAGTGAGCCGCAGATGTTATGTCCGGTTGGCTCGTAATCAAATTCAGGTTGACGACCACCACGCTCAAGTGTAGACTAACATTAGTATCTCGGGGTTTCAAAACATCGGGGCAGATCCTGCGCATGCGTAGGTGAAGGGTTCGAAGAGTACAAAGAAGGGTGCTGATAGCTGGACAAATATGACAGTCTCCCCCTTGCTTTTCTGGTGGGTATAAAAAGCCGACAGTCAGATCCAGCACTAGAACACTCAGATTCTCTAACGAGAGTAAATTTTGCATTGTAGATGGTAATAGATACTCCTGAGGGCGAGGAGGAACTCAAGAGACGGATAGCCCCAGGCTCGTATATGTAAGGCACGTAACCTACGAGACTGTCGGGCTGGCTATAGTGGCAAGCTGGACGAGGTCACTATGTACCTCTATCCAAGTATCGACAAGATCATTCGACCCCTGCGCATCTTCTCGAGGATAGGACGAGTAGAGAGTGCAAGCTCCATATTCCCTCAGTTCAAGCTTCAGGGTTGCCAAGCTGTCTTTCAATGGAGATAATCTTTTCATCACCCCAGAGGCAATCAGGCTCCGCAGAGCCTCTTGAGAAAGTGTGATGCATTTGAAACACGCAGGAAGAGCGAATTCAAACCATTGTTTACAAACCGTAAGGCGGCGGCGTAAATCTTGGTGGAAAAAGGATGAGCCAATTTCATCAAAGATTTGTGTTAGAGTCTCTGGAGGTAATCGTAGGAGTGACATTGTGAAAACTGAGCAGCGCAAGTTGTAAAGGGCTATTACGGTAGCAACGTATTAACCAGATTGATATTTTGCTTATTACTAGGTATGTACTTAGGTAAGCAAATGATGGACTGTTACACCAATGCCCATTAATATTAAGAGGTACCTATGTGTCAGCCTTCGTCTCCTCAGTCTCTTAAACCAATTCGTGGAGGCGGGCACAGCCAGCTTGCGCCACGCAACACATAGCCCATGTAGGTTAATGCGTTCATGTGTTTATTTACGTTTAAAGATACATGATAGTTTATAAGGCTACCGACACCAGTACGAAGCACAACGTTTTTAACAACTGCTAGGTAGGTAGGTATCTAGGGAGAGAAAGCACTGTAGGGTTCGCCGAATAGTATTGATGGATATCGGAAACCACCTAGAAAAGCGGCGTGGTGCCGTATACCTCCCTCAGCTGTTCCCAAGTGACATTTTTCCCGTAGATAATCTTCGCAATCATCTGGCCAGCCCAAAGACTTCCTCTTGGTGAAGCCATATACTGACGGTAGGTGACCTCCGCACTCTTAGAAGCCATGTAGGTGGAAAGGGATGTAAGATTCGAGTCTAGTGCCACGCCCACCGCCGGGTTATCTAGCCGTGGCTTCTTTTCTTGATCTCTCTCTAGTTCCCTTAGAGACTCCACAACAAGATTCTTCAGCTCGACGATGGGTCGATTCTCCTCATCTGATAACCCTGGGAAGGTGACAAGTTCTGGGCAGACTGACAACTGCTCAAGAGGGGCAGCCTGTGCACTGCTCCAATCAATAATACCCGTTAGGTTGTACTCGTTATCAAAAATCATATTGCCGAAATGTAAGTCGAGATGACACAAGGGAAAGGGGCCTCGGACTCTATCCTCAATGATTATGTGGCTTAAAGCTGTTTTCATCACCCAACACGCTGTCAGCCAGTCTGGGTTATTTGGATGTAGAGCAATTATTTCCCGGTTCTCCCCCTGCCTCTGGTTGTAGAAAAACTCGAGCGACGTTTCCAGGGGACCAGGCGAAGCATGCCAGGTCATGGCCATGATCTCGACAGGCTGATCAGCATTTTCTCCACACCAAATGCGTCCAATGCGGCTGAATGTCAAATTCTGGAGTTCCGCGAAAACCTTTGCAAGCTGCTTGGCCACTTTGGTATGGTATTTGTGAGGTATAGTTGTCGTCGCCAGCCCATTCGGAAGAGTGCGGCCCCTAAGGTACTCCGTGAAAATGTACGGGTACCCAAAGGGTTGCTCTGCGGACGTTTCAAAGTCAAAAACCTGAGGGATTGGGATAGTAGTATGTTTTTTTATTATCTTCATTGTAGCAATCTCGCTGAGCATCGAGGTTCTGTCGCCGTCATCGAGGGCTTGATGCGGAATCCGAGCGATCCAGTACACATTATCTGAAAATGTAAGTTCTAGGACCACATTATTGAAACCAGATGTAAAATTCGTCAAATTTATGCTACAATTAATATGGTGAGGCAAGTCTGGTTGATATCTCCTTCGCGACTCTATTCCGCGTGCTTTTAGATATTCGAAGTTTGCTGAGGAAAGGAGGAGTTGGATTCGCTTATATTTACGAATCTGAACTTAGGTTGGCAAAACCTTGCCAGTGGTCGCTTGGTCTTTCCATCTTGCCAAGAAATTTAAGTATTTAGTATTCAGTTAGAGGCGACGGTGCGGCAAGGAGTTCGCGAATTTTTGGTGTTAGGAGAAAGTTTATAATAAAAAGGAAGATGTGATGGCGAAGGGGGTAACTATTATGGTCACATGACATTAAATATATAAATATATCCTACAACGTAGCACCTTACGCATGTATATAATACAATAAAAATTACTCATTTATAATATAACTGTACTAAGGGTTTGTCTGTAGGGTGCTTTAACGGCGTAACGGGCATAGGGCAAAAGGCACATGGCCGAGGAGGATCTTTGGATTCTATTTTGCCGGGTGACGAGACAATAAGGGCAAAAAGGGCGTGCTTCCAAATTGGGTTATTATACATTAGTTTATATAGTAATTTGCCGTGTCTATATAGTACCGTTCTTGTGTAGAGGAGTTGTCATGATGATGATTGAGGCAATGATATATTTGTTTCTTTTATACTTGGATATATTGTGGGATGAATGAAGAGCATGAGAAAATGCTGAGAAGTTCTCATAGAAATGCGAATAAATCTTCAGATGACTCTGCTATACTCTTATTCCATCTTAATGTTGAGTAAATCACAGGTATGAACAACTAGAGAAACCTAAAGTATAATCAGGATTTACACAACTCTAATCCTACATCTTTTCTATTTTAAAACTTATGACATCAATTTTGTTTAGTAATTTTTAGAGGAGTTCCCTTTCCAAGTTTCCTGTCCATTTCCTGTAGTTGTGCTTGAGGCAGACTTAGTTCGGACTGATAACCAATGCGGCTCAAAATATGCCTAATGTTACTTATTAGCGCTTAAAATCGCTTAAAATCGGGTCTCTACCTAGGCTAGAAATCCGTTGGTTATTATCTGTTCCGACTGAATGGTTCACGTTCCACTTTTCAAAGAAACACAAACACAATAAGTCCTAACAGACATTGGCATGTTCATAAGGCATACAATACACTCACATGATTATTGTTTGACCTTATGCTTTTTTTGTCACACTACTACACTTTACAGATATACTCCTCATCTAAAAGACCTAAACTTTGCCCACAGGAGACTACCAAAGGGCGACTTCCGAGAAAGTTACCCCCGCGTTATCAACTGGTTGCAACATTCAAGTGGCATATTCTAGATCTAGGGGAAACCAAGTTTAGGAAAATCTACTCTCATGAAGCTCCTCTCCAGCTACGATGACATACTCCTCCACATGGAACCGTGGGAATAGGGCAAAAGAAACTGTTCCAGCTTGATCTTGGATCCGGAATTGCGGAACAGACCCTCATGAATGGTAATAGATTCAACGCCATTCTGCTTCGACTGCTATTTCCATTGTGTCTTGTTTCGAGGTATTGATGGCATGAATACCTATGCTCGTATAAATTCGACTCTATGCAAGAAGGGAGAGGTGCCAGGATGGCCTGGTAGTAGTCTCTCAATACCACCATCTCCCTTGATAGCGTTATTTCAGGACTTGGAGACTTAAACTTCCTCCTTTTTTTCAAGTATTATTTCATCCAGTGCTTTTAACGAATACAATCATAATATCTGAAAGATATTGAACTCGACATAGCTTTATAGGTACTAAATCTGATTTCCTGGTAAGAGTTTAATCATCATTCAACCCCTAAGTTTTATACAGAGATTATAGCATTAGGCACTTACTGTACCAAGCATATATATGTAGTGGAAGGTGAACAGTTCCCTTATATACTTAAGTATGTTAGGGCTTCTTCTTCCTCTAAGTCAGCAATAAATAGGTCTTGTTATATCGGAGCACCTGTTATGAATGGTAATAGTATCTTGTCTCTCATATAATCTCGTGTCGCATCATATATAAGGCGTAATTGCTAGTTAGCGTTCACGGCGTCGTTCTTAGCTTCGACAGTTATGAGCCCGGTTCGTGCAGTGGAAAAGTCCACAATTCCCTGCATTGAATGATTACGCTAATCCCGAACCTGGTCGTGCCCTAAAACCAGACTAGTATTGGTAGTAAGGCGCAGGTTCGAATCGAACTGAAAGCATCGTATAATACCGCGCTAGATGAGTTGCTCTTGGCTAGAGCCATCGCGTTATAGGTAGAGGTACGTTTAGCTGTCAGCTAACAGCCAGCTACGATACTAGACTCTAAAGAGCCGAGGGCCAGAATGAGCCAATGCTATAGAAAGTTCTAGAGACGTTAGAGTGCTGCGATTCAGGTGATCCCTATTACATCGTGGTCACCTGGGGGGTGTGTTGCATCATATAAGGCGTAATTACTAGTCAGAGCTTACGGCGTCTTTTTTAGCTTCGACATCTCATCAGCGCTATCTCTTTATATTTTTTATTTTTTTTCTTAATGTCAATAATAGCCCTTACTATAATAATAAAATACTTATCTACATGTCCACGATCTACCCCCTCTAAACATTATATGTGGAGAGATGGACTTCGCAACAGGCGAATGCAATGATGGCCAAGGACGCTTCTTCGAGCCAAGTTCGTCGGAATGGGTTCACAACACGCTGTAAGAAAGTAGCGTGGAAGACGTATGCTGCTCGGTCGAATATAACCGCGACAACTGGCATGATACTCACGACCTATGGTGCCATATGAATGAGTGGCTATCTCTAGCCCAGGACGATAGACGTCCGGGCCTTATGGATCAGACTGGATGGGAAGGCCAGAGGTTAGAATCCCGCGCTGGATATCTTTGTCCTTTATCCCATCGATTATATGTTGACTTGATAATAGTCTCTCACTATTCGGGATCCTACGACGGCGGGTTGATGACGTGCGGTGGGGACTAGACGCCTTGTTCAAATATCAGGACCAGTCGCGTCCGCACATGATCTGTGCCATCTCCGATATGCAGCCCCTCCGGGAAGATGCAATTTCTATTTGCGAGTTATTAGTTATTATCACCCTGGTGTTTATGCAGACGTCACTCCCAGAGTACGAGCAACATCGCATAATTCCGGTCTGCAATGTCCCTTCCGAAACGCGTTTGCGAGAGATAAGACTCATATAAATAATATTCCAGGTCGTCGTATTCTCATGCTCGGGGTACTCGGTTCGCATAGGACAAGGGTTTGTAGACCCTGATTGCCGGGAAACTCGTCGTTCGGATGACTCCTGTTATGACTCGGACGGCGGAATTGAGGTATAGTTGGGACTTGCATGTTAATATCCTTCGCTGGTTGACGGCTACTCCTGTCGGCGATACTTTATGGAAGTCTGGGAGTGGAAGCGGGAATAAAGGTTGAGGATAATAATGGTTTGTTTTTTTTATTGGCGTACTCGGTATGGACTTGTCATGTGTGCATAGGGCCTTGTTAAATGCACGTTTATATGAAAAGCGTTGGTATAAGTAAGGCGTTGGGGAAAGGGGGGGAACCTAGTTAAATAGTGTACACACGGTTCGTGTAAAGCTTGCTAGTTATATCAGGATCAACTGAATAAATCTTCGTTCGTATGAGCGATGGAATGGTAACTAAGGGAATGAGGCATAGGGGTTTAGAATACGGGAGTTAATTTTCGAATCCAGAGAGATCCCTAAGAAGTAGCCACTATAGACAACTTAGTACTCCCAGTTAAGGGGTACATTATTGCATATGTAATTTTTTTCTCATCTAAGTAGGTACGTTTGGTTCCTAAAATCATCCAAATGTCAACCATCCAATTCTATGAACAATAGAATCCGATCCCCAGTAGACATCATCCTTACACTACGCCACCCTCTTCCACTCAACATACCGCTCAACTCCGGTACAAGACGACGCAAGAGCATCATTAAATTCCTCCTGAGCCCCAGGCTGTCCCGGGCGTAGCTTCAAAGCCGTAGGCCACGCGTCGCCAATCGTATTCTGCTCTTTCATCACGACGTGCAAGTCCTTCTCGATGTCCCCGAAATGATTCGCAGCCATGTACCTATATAACCAACAGTCAGTCAGTCAGCCAACCAGAAAGATCTTCAAGCGATTGTTTTCTCAACACCCATGACGTACTGGCGGAAGAGCCTTATCCGCGTCGAGCGTGAAGCTCCGCGCGTCCCAGATCCGGTACATCTCGGCTCCCTGCAGGTTTCTCATGAGGCTGATCTCCTGGATATTGGTCAGGTATTTCCGGATGCGCGCGATGTCGAGTCCCTTGCCCTCCTGGTCGCTGCCCCGGACGGTCTCCATCACTGCGTTGAGATACACGGTTATAAGCGTAGCGTGAGGGTTCTCTGCTGGCGTCTTGAGAAGGGGCGATAGGTGGCGCAGGGTCTCGCGGGTGCCTAGCCAGCATTTATCTGAGATGTTAGAAGCCTGCCTAAGTAGTCAGTCTCGTAGATGCTGGCTTATATGAAGTGGCATGGAGGGATGGGATGAGCTCACCTCGATCCTGTCATATGAGCCCTCCTCAAACATCAGACGTTGGATCAGCTCTGTCGCGTTGACGTTGAAGAGCTCGAAGTGTATTTTCCCAGTCGCAACGCGGCGGAGAAAAGGCGCTGAAGACGCCGCGGAGATAGGAGAATAGCTTTCCGTATATGTCTTCGGGAATGCGACTTGGTGTTGCTCTGACCTCGTCGAGAGGCCAGCCACCGAGGGGGTCTGCTTTATCGCCATAGGCCAGGAGGAAATTGTTTGGAATACTGTCTGGAATAGGGTCCTGGGACGTATTAGACCCGCTGTTCTAGAGCTTGATACGGGTGTGTAGGTAATAACTCACGGGTTAGGATAGTCAAACCCGATGCGCGGGTGGCCAAAAGCCAGGAGTAAGCCATCCTCTCGATACCGCTGTTTAGCAACACGCATAGAGGGCGATGCGTCTTTGAAGTACCACCGATCTCGATAGTCCTCCCGCTCGGGTGCTAAAGTAATAGCCTGGCGTATCTTGCGAGATTTCTCTAGGGTTAGATCTTCAGGCACGTCGAGAAATTCCAATACCCTAGCCCAATCTTCTTTCTTTAAGACCAGAAGGAGGCTACTACCTGATTTAAATACCCATTCTTTTCCTACAAAGATGTCTGGCTGCTTATCGACGGTTCGCTCGCATGCCTCGTTGATAAGTGGCTTGACTCTCGACCGTAGTTCAGATAAAGTGTCTTTTGTGAGGGCGGCCGAGTACCAAACGTGGATAAGCGTTTCTGCCAATCTTTCAAAATCCGGCTGATCGGGTTCCCCCTCTAATGAGCTCAATGCCAGAAGCAATATTATGGCGTTCCTTGCCGTAATATCAAAGTCCCTGTCGTTGATTGTCATCTTGACCTGGTGCTTAAAATCAGGGGGTAGGTTCCGAATCGTTTGTACAGCGTTCCTCACGTCTCCGGATGCTGCTACTCATTAATGTCTCATTCGGAACCAAATGAGACTACCAACAGTCAACACGTACCCGCGAACAGGATATCTACATCCTTATCGTAGGCCGGCCCCTCATTCCGCGGTAGCTGGAGCACGTCCATCGCCGGCGTATTGCCCCAGAGGTGTTTATTCGGCCCAAAGGTGTTGTGCAAGTTAGTAGCAGCCTCTCCGCGAGACCAGGCAGGATCTCGTCGCTCTCGATCCCAAGCTGGGAGCCAGGTGGGTTTGCTTAGTGGGGATTTGCACTCCTTCTTGTGCTCGCTCCAGTGCTTTACCTGACAGTGACGACTACAGTACTATAACAGTATTAGTATATGTCTATATGTCTATATGTCTATATGTCTGTAGCGTCTACGAAACTATTTTCACTTACCAAGATTAGCTTACAGCCCCCACAAACAAGCGTGCCCTCGCGAGAACAGACGCTACCCCCATCCTTCCAGTTGGCACATGGCGTTGGCACCACTGCGGTAGTTGACATTATGTCTTATATGGCCTCGCGACAAGAAGATTCCTACTTGCGCGATCTCGCTTCCTCAAATAATCGTAGTTTTACAAGAGGTTTCTGTAGGTGTAGAATCCACATCTTATTTGCAAATGCTGCCATGGCGATTGATTTTCCAACGCGATGTGCTGTGCCGTAGTAGTTTCTGTACGACGTCGGAGACTTGCATAAACGACCTACTCAACAATTCCTCGGTACAACTCAAGGGGTAAGCAGCTAGGTACTACATATACGGAGCTTTTATGATAAACTGACAACTCGATTATCGACTGGTCAGCCGGGGAATGCTTGGTTTGCTGTCAGCCCTCTTGCGTAATGGTTATGGACTCTTACTGCATGTAAACGGGCGCTTCTGTGCCGTGGGCTGTTTCGTCCGATAGGCGAGGGGCGCGTATATCTTATTGTGACACTCAACGATATCCGGATAATGACGCTTATTACCTTTAACCAATCAAATGTCCTAATAAGAGTTGGCACACAAAAAAAAAGCAAAGATTTCGATCTCAATGGATGAGATACTTTGATTTTCCCATAAAACATAGTGCTTAGTAGAACCCACACCACACAACACAGTTGTAAGTTGTAACTTATCCCACGACATTTTAAACCACCGTTAAAAGATTTCTATTAATTTCTTTATCGTATAGGATGTACTTGGGGAAGCTGTGCCTCTGTATAACCCAGTCAAATTTGCCATGAAATATGAAAGAAACAAGACGCAAGACTCCCAGAAAAGCTTAAGTGATTAAAAGCAGTAACGCTAAGTCATAAGCAAATAAAAAATCTCACATACCTAAGGCAGTAAAAGCTAAGAGCAGTGACGAGCCACGGCTTGGTAATTACGAGGCTGGTAATCTATGTGGCTAGGCTACCCCCTGAAACTTACCCTCGAACAGCACCTACACCGAGAGTAGGGATATCATTCACATAAAACAAACACACACACACATATAGAAATCTTTAGACTGTATCTGAATTAGGCTACAGGTATGATAAACTATGAAGAAACTCATGTCTCTGAAGCTTCTATCAGCATCATCCCAAAACTGTCGCCACAAAACGGAGCTCAAAATAGGGGGCTCCAAAACAACCCCTGAATGCTGAACCTAAGTACAGCAGATATTTCCCTGATCTTGCCCAAGTAACTGGCTCAGAATGGCTTGCCTCTTTGCGGGATTGAATCTATATAATAGTCGTATGCCATCCCATGTACTGGTGAATATCGCATCCATTGGCGGTGGAACGCAAGATCGACTTTTTAAAGAACAGGTCTAGCCTTAGTTAGAAGTAGCTCATGGGGGTTAATCAGGTATGGCGGAGAAAAACTTACATAATCCTAGGTTCGTTTTAGTACGAAATATGCATATCGTGTGTTGAAGAGTGAAAATGCAGGGTGGTATGTACTAGCATCGAGGCAAACTATTGGTAGGTAGTTGCTAAGATGTGTTGATTCAATCGACCCGCAGTGAAACTCGTTAGACGTCGGCCTTTTCGGTGCGCAAAAGTTCTCCGATGGCTCTAGCATTATCTCGAGCGAGCTGCTGTCGAAGATCGGCATCTACATCGGCGGATTCTCGTCTGAAATTCCACAGCCGTACCAGCTCGCAGTACTCCTTAAGGGCGTCTCTATCGCATCCAGGGGTATCTCGAGTCTGACGGAGCACCTCTATGCCATGCTCGTAGCCCGTTTCTTTTGTCCAGGGTTGAGTCGCCTTACGACTACCTTTATTAGAACTGGGCAATGTGCTAGGCTTTCCGTTGTGATCGCCGCCGGTGGCTGGAGGGTCTGTAGCTGCGGCAATATTCCAAAGCAGACGTTCTAAGTTAGGATACTTCTTGGTCAAGTCTCTATACTCTGGCATGTCGGCAATGTCTGAACCCTTAGGGGTGGATTGATGCGTCGTAGTTTCACCGGTAAGTGTGTAGTTAGGCTGAGACTTAACGTCGTCTCCTGGCATTACAGACGAGGCATCTTTTGATTGCAGTGCAGAGGACTCGACAGGTGGATGATTGTCCCGATGCTCACGGAAACACGAGAGCGAGCACCTACGTAACGAAAGTTAGTATAGGTTACTAATGTCGAATATGAATCTGTGCTTACGTGTATAGGTTGCAGCGGGCGCATTTGTATTTGCTTTCAGTGCTATCGCAAACTAGGCATGGTGGTCTAGCGCTTGCCATGGTTGGGACGAATACCCGAAATTTAGGTAGGACAGGCGCTCGATGCAGTATCTGAATAATACGTATTAAGAACCTATCGAGGTCGTCCTAGTTATTATCCTATTATCGAATATCAGATGAAGGCGAAGAATCTGAACTTCAGGTGATGTGTGATAAAACTGTACCATAGTTAGTACCGAAAAAGGGCCTGCTAATGCGAATATATTACTCACCAAAGTAGATGATAGATTATTCTCCCAAGTAGGCGTGTTGTACACTGAAGCTTAATTAATATTAGTTTAGGTATTTTAATATAGATATCTCGGTATGTGTATGAGTTTTTGAATAGCTCTTTATGAGATGTTAGACGCAAACATACCCTTTTTGAAAGGCAACGCGTCAAGAAAGTTGTTGATACCGCCTTTAGTTGCACCGTGCTACCTGTTGCTTATCACAACCGAGGCGGACAATTGTATTCTGCCGTCGTTAAATGGCGAATATCTTTAAGAGCAACGAGGGTCTTCTAGTTGCGCCTAGATTTCTGTGATTCAGACCGCCTTATAAAACACCGAATAATTGGCCCAGACAATTCCAATTGTTATAGTCGAGGGCAAGCTACGGCGTCTAAGAGCTTAGTAATGTTGATTCCTTTCTTCAAGAAAACATTCAATGCCTTCTTTGGTTATCACTGAATGGTAACAGCATTAGTCACTTCCCTCTTCACGAGCAGATAAATTTCAGACTGTGGCCTCTATGAAATTAGGCTTGAAAGATCGTTGTACTGGCATGGCTGACTGGTTAACGCGGTATAGGGGTTGGCTTGTCACTCAAACCAATATCAATGAATCAAATCGCAGAGCTTTAACGCGGCTGAATATAATATAAATTATGAGGCTGAAAGTTAAGGCGGGTGGCTTAGGATCTACGAAAATATCCAATGGGTAAGGATGAATTGGGAAACGACGATTACTCGACGGTTCGGTATATCTCCGGTAGATAGTCCTATAAACCAATCAAGCCCTACCTAATGCAACAGTCGGTTTGTCATCCGTACAATAACCCACCTAAAAAGTTTGAACAATGCGCTAGTTGCGTCATTGCCACTGATTGATAATCTACGGCTACTCTTATCGGCGTAATTCGGCAAACGTCTACTTACAATAGTCGCGCCTCCGATTTCACTTAACATTTAAGTTTTTTGTCTTAGCTATACTAAAATATATCAGACGAAAATATTTATAGTCGCGAATAATTACAATTACGTATTTTAAAGCTAATTAACTCCAAAGGCGATCGGCATATCTATTTTATCTAAGAGGGCGACTATGCCTCCCAATCGACTCGTCCGGCCGGCAGCGGCTCTGCTGTCCGCGGGGACAAGAAAAGTCCGGCCCGCTACTTGCGGCCGGCTCTACGAAGCTGCGCGACATGCGCATACGAGTTCACAGGCGTTGGGTATATCAGCAAGGTCAAGACCGGTACTACAAACAGCCTCGAGGTTACCAGCGATAGCGCCGCGGGGCGTGCGAAGTATTTTCATCCAGACCGAGACCACGCCGAACCCGGATGCGCTGAAGTTTTTACCGAATCACAGGGTGGTGCCGTCGGAAGTCCCCACGCCTTTTATCGAATACCTAAATGCGCGGAGTACGATCGCACCCCCATACCCATCGCCGCTTGCTGCGCAGTTAATGAATATCGACGGCGTGACGTCCGTCTTCTACGGGCCCGACTTCATCACAGTGACGAAGTCGCCCGATGCCAACTGGGTACACATCCGGCCGGATATTTTCAGCTTGATCACCGAGGCTATAACGTCGGGGCAGGAAATAGTCACTGTGAGCAACAAAGAGGGTGGAGATGAGGGCCAGGAGGTGGGAGAGGAGGACAGTTTGAGCTATAATGAAAATGATAGCGAAGTCGTGGGTATGATCAAAGAGCTCCTTGAAACTCGAATAAGACCCTCGATCCAGGAAGATGGCGGAGACATCGAGTTCCGTGGTTTTGAGAATGGGTATGTGAACTTGAAGCTCAGGGGAGCGTGCAGGACTTGCGATTCGAGTACTGTCACTTTAAAGAATGGAATTGAGGGAATGTTAATGCATTATGTGAGTATAGCCCTTTTTTGGAGCATCTTTCAACTTTGGAGTAGCCCAGTCACTTTGCTTTCTTGTTTTTTGTTTTTTTCTCCCTCAGCATGAGGTATAATGTTTCAACTCAAGCAAGCTGCTGGCTGCCGGTGTTGCTGAATAATCCAAAACCCAATGATCTACGGGCCCCCTTTTCAACCCTATATGAACTCTAGATTTATGGTGTAAACAGTGCTAACAAGACGACAGATCGAGGAGGTCAAAGGTGTACATCAAGTAATGGACCAAGAGGAAGAGATCGCGATTCAGGAATTTGCAAAGTTCGAAGAGAAGCTTCGAGCACAAAAGGGGCCAGATGCAGCGCCGACTACACCTGGCAAGGACTCACTGGACTCGGTCCCTGGATAAATTCAGAGAGACATGCTTCATCCGATGTATGATTAGAGCGTCGTCCCAAGTACGTCATCTAGAAGAAATGAAAATACCCTGGTGTTGGTTTTTTTTTGTGATGCAACTTCGGTTACCTACCTAGCTAGGTTTTGTGACAATCTCGTATCTTCAGCAGAGTTTACAATCTGCCCGTGAGCCTGGGCACCACCGGCACTATTATCGTCAGTATTTCTGCGTGAGGGCTAATGCGGTCACCGGCCTAATGACCTTTTTTTGCCATCGTTGCGTCGCAAATTAGGTTTTAGCTTTTTCTTTAGGAACCCTACCCGGCTGGGCAATATTGACTTTCACGATTAGGTAGTTGGCGGTAGGGCGCGGCATTGCTTGGTGCATACCTACATACACGGGCCAAGACAAGCTCCAGGATCGACCTCTACGCTTGCTCTCTACCTTTCGAGCCGCATCCCCGTCGTCCAAATCCCGGCGCTAGTGGTTAGGGCAGTCAGTTTCGTCGGTCGCTCGTAAGTTTTCTCCCATGAGGCAAAAAGGGGTGACACTACCACTACCGGAAGGCGACGGACGCATACATATTAGACCGTGGCGGGCAGCGATTCGCACCGGTGTGGCAATGGGGGGCGAGGTATGGCTGGGGTCGCGTGGGTAACTTGCAGCTCCAAGTACGGCCGCGCAGGGAATCTCCCCGCGAGCCATGGTCATGTAGGTAGGTAGGTATGTAGGTAGGCAACCTAGGTATGTATGCACGATGGGGGCCGGTCATCTTGTTAGTTGGCTTGGTAGACTATGGGTTGCAGTACGCCTTACCCCGCAAAAGCTCTACCAGAAGGTACGTCAAGATGCATGGAATACCGTGGGTCGTCCCTAAGAACGTACAGGTCTGATCTAGTAGCGCTTCCTATCTTGAGCGTTATTACCACCTACCTTACCTAATGTGTGTTACTTTGGAGTCTAACAGTCTAGAGTTAGCGAGAATATCGGGGGATCTGGATCATCTTAGATTCTTTTCATTTAGATTATCCACTATACGTATATGTCATGTTTACACTTCACTTACGACATCTAGGCTTCATGCGCCGAGATACGCACCTGGTAACGAGGATACCCTCTTGAAGATAGTAACATTCAAGAGCATCGGACGATGCTTTTTGTTTCCACGAAATGGTGTACCCTTTAGAGTCACGGGGTCATATGTGAGACAAGAAGGGTATGTAGTGTCCAAGATACCCGGGCATATGTATTACGCATAAATGCTAAGTCCAGATGTTGTGTGAGGCCGGCAAGGCAATTTCTCCGCGTAAAGTAAGATGCCATTTCCTCTTTTCTGTAGTCCGGCGGGTTAGCGAATTCAACGTAGTGTCTAATAGAACCACCTTTAATGAAGTTGTGTAATCATCTCAGGGTGGTATCGTTTTGCTGACTGGGGGATGATGATAGGTTACAACAAGTTGAGGTTATCCTATAACTAGCATTAGAGAAAAGACAGCTTTTCGCTAGTTTAAGCCCTCTAACCTAGCGTCTAAGCTTTCTGAGTTGAACGTAACAATCGGCCGAGAATATACGTTAGGATGATCACCAAACATCGAACAAACCAGAAAAGGCTCTTTAGGTTATGTTATGGACCCAAGTAGCAAACAAATATATGTTTATACCGATTGGTTGTAATAATTTGCTGCTGCTTTTCCGCTAAGCTTAGTGAATGACGCGGACTTTAGGACCCGTATAAGCTCTTAGTTCTCGACTTGCTCTTCTCTATAACCGTACCGACCTTGTAACCAACAGCTGCCCGTTCATGGATAGGGTTAGTTAACGTGATCTGAAAATCTGAAAATCTGGGGTAAAGCCCCTGAGGGTATATGTGCGACGCCTTTTGGGTACGGGTTTTTGCGAAGCTCGCGCCACCTCCGAGGTTCGTGTAAACCAATTGTGTGTCGACATCAAATGGTGGTACATGTTGTATACGATGCTGAGGTGGAATATCTGACAGGACTTCTAGAGACTTGAGTATTGCATCGAATAATCCAATAAGCGTAAATTCTTGGAAGAGCCAACTTCTGATTTAGGCTGAGGCTTGCAGGAAGAAATTGTCAAGAAATATAAAGGGTCACGACCCCTCCACCATCCCCCGGTTCAGGTCGCTTAAAGCATGCAGGAAACTGTGATATCTGCTACGCGTAAGAGGTTGGCAATACAGATAGTTGAAAAATTCAAGTTTCCTTGTGTTCAAGTTATGCAAAGGGAGTAATAAACTTGGTTTGTAATTAGGGTTGAAGTATGTAATGCGAATCGTAATGCGACTTTGAATTTATTTGCTCGATGTTAACGTCTTTTGGAGCACACGACACCATCGTACTAGTCTATCGAAGTTTCTGTAAGTCGGATCGCCGAAAGAGGGTACGGGAATCGTTCGTTGCATCTGTTGGGCGTTGCGAGGAATGGTCCGTTACCCCCCCCTGTCGTCTCACGATCGGCTAGCTTCAGGAGAGGTTCTACTCACTCACACCTCCACAATGCTTCCAATATCTTATTCAAGTATCCTATACCTTAGGTACCCAATGTTGATCCTATTGCTATATTCATACGAAGACCCCAAACGATGAGAAGTCCGTATATTTTACTCGCTTCTAAATCCAATGGAGTCTTAGTGAGCTTTTTGATCGTCGAAGAGTTAAGCCAGGTAGTATTAACCCCGGAGTCTAATGCTATGTAAGGTAACAACAGTTTTGACGTGCAGTGCATGCATCAATCAGATATGCAGGAGGGCTGGCGCAACTTTCGTCGGGGTGCCATTCCCTAGATACGTGTGGTAAATATGGTGGAAATGGAAGCTGGCCAAGTCCGGTTAAGACGGCTGTGTCTAACTTGGAACAAAGGACTGACTCGCAAGCCTGGAGCTTTCGCGTCCATGCATAGCATTTGGTACATGTACTCGGTCAGGAGAGGGGATTGAGTGTTGCACTTGAACGAGAAGGCCCTATTCGCTGCACCGGGCGAGTTTTTGTCGAGATCTTCAACGGTGGGCTAAGTCGTTAAGAAATGACGTCCCAATCCTTGTCTCTTGATTGGTGTGGCTTATGCACACCTCTACAGAACAAGACCTTCGGTGTGTATATAGCCTATCGATAGTTTTGGAAGAAATACTAGAGAAATTCTAACTAATCTGAGTTGTCGTATGTACGGTCTCAATTCCTCGCACGAAGACTGTCCTTGTCATCCGAAGTGGCCGTCCAAAAAAGAAGGCATGTTTCGAAAGGCGGAAACCAAAAGTTTTTTTTAGAGAGCAGCGTTTATGCATGCTCTCTACGCGGCGGCTAAGCGTCATCATATGTCGAAGTGAGCGTACTCTTTGGGCTCTCACCCACGGAGTAAATGTAAATATAAATGACAACTCGTCTTATTCTGAAAAAGTGTATATATATCAGTCTGTAGTATAAAGAGCTCAACGGAGATATGGATGTGCATCTCACTGGATTTGATATTGGAGAAGATTTCTGTGAAGGACCACGAACATATCAAACTGACATGTTATTGGTTGTCTTCTTGACTCCCCGGAATAGCAAGGATCTTTAGCAAACCAGAGCTTGGATCATTGCAGGACTCGGACCAATAGAAGTCTCTTGCTTAACCTCTCTCTCTCGCATGTTCGATAGCTCAAGATCAATCTTCCCCACACTCTTCGTATCTTCGTATGTCCCGAGTTAGAAGTTAGAACCAAGATGATTAAATCATCGGCATCCTCGACCGAATAAGCTTCTCGGACGGGTCAAATTATGATTGCATTATACATAATAAAAGCATATAATGGGAAAATGTCAACTTTTGAAAAGATACTGTGTATGATATACGGTGTATAAGCGGCTCGGGCCAAGCCTGATGATCATCCTTTGTGCACTAAATTAATAAAATCCATCTGTAGGACCCGCTTGTCCCCAGACACCAAATTCCTACGCCCGCCTTTCCTCGATTTGGGAAGGTCAAGTGGGTCTCTCGCTTTGTTATTTTAGTGTCTTGGCAACCTTTGGATTCTCCTTATAGGAGTTAGGTACCTAGGTATTGAACCTGCCTCCACTAGCAGCCCAGGTACAATCTCACAAATAGGCGGGCAGTTACCTACCTAAGGTACCTACATGGCACCTAAGTACCTGCTTACAAAAATTAATTTTCTAAAGGCGCACAACCTAACCTTGTAAAATATAACGAATTCTTTTTTGAGACCCTTTTTTCTACATACACTATACATGAACCATATACGGGACAAGCTTATAGACAAGCAAGCTTGCATCGCCAACCTCCATACCTAGACCATCCATCCCATCCCTATCCGCTCATCCACCCTCGAAAAATCCACTCTATTACTGCACATACACCTCCTTCATACTAAGTTACTACCTTACCAACTTACCAACTACCTACGTGCATACATACCATACTTACATGTATCTGCCTGCGCACAGCATCGTCAGTTCATGATCGATGTAGCCACCTTTTTTTTCCTACCTGATCATACCTGACCACGTCTGTCCCCTTCTTACTATCTACACCTATTGGGTCGATAAATTCCCCTCGCACTCAACTGACACAAATATTTTGTTTTTGGCTTAATTCTCTCTCTCATCTCGTTTTATGATTTCAGGTTTATATCCTCTTTCGGCCTATCCTCGCATAGTGCTGTGTTAGGCATAGGCACTACGAGGTATAACCTTTTATGATTTGCAGGGAGCTCAGTTACTGCTAAGACACCCCCCAAAGCCTCTAAAGACTGGTGTCTCTCCCGGGATTTAGTGGGGGGGATTACCGCTACCGTATGTACATACATATGTATCATCCCTGCCCGCTGTTACCAGCCTAACTTTAAAACCCAGCTTCCGTTCCCCACTAGCCACTTTCCTTCATACTTTCCCTCACGCGAGGGTCTCGTGTCGCAACGTTCAACTGCTGGCACGGGTCCTGAATTTGTACTGCTAAACCAATCAGTTACTCCTACGAATTACTTGCCTAGGTACCATACCTAAAGACCTACCTAAACTACTTCCCTTCCCCGCTCTTCAATTTCAATACCCTCCAACACCCTCCTACATACGCCCTCGTCCGTCCATCTGCAATTGCCGGTCTTCGACAATTACGGCGACAAATCCACATCTCTACGGGCCATTTGCGTGTCTTTGCTCAGCAACGGCCTTTGTGCAAACTACTCGTCACCACAGATTTTCCCGAGCCAACGATGCGCTCTTCCGAATAGCTTCGTCGCAAAGCATTCGAGGTCGTACTAATACACCTACGAACTGACAAATTCGCACATACGAAATCTTGTTTTAGATTGCCCCCTCCAACACGGCGCCTCTACCTACCGCGAAGAAAAAAAAAAACTTGATAAGAAATCAGTTTGGACTGCATCTGCGACGAAAATTTTTCCGTCTTGTCCATCCTGACAACTCATTTTAGAAATTGAGAAGGGTCTTTCTGGTGGCGTTTTTGGATTTGGGACTGGCGATCAATACCGTTACTTCACTTCGGTCGACCATTCTTTTTTTCCCTTGAGATTGCGTTGCCTACTGGCCTTTCATTTTCTCAATAGACACGGATTCTTCGATACCCTATGAATAGATCTAATATTTTTCGTTGACACCAGTAAGTATTAAATCTCTTTGTTTGCGCTTGCTATGTCTACTCTTGACTAGACCGGCTATCTTTGAGGATGTAATTTGGTCTGCGCCGGCGTTGTGTGGTTCATTATATATAAGGGGCGTGTGGAGATGGATTCGCCGAGCGCTGGCTCTCAAGATAGGAAACGCCAATCATACCTCCTTCAACCAGATTTAAATCATTTGCAGCATTTGCTTTTGGCGGGGTGACCTTCTCATTTCGTTTTCATTTTCATTTTCATCTCAGTTTTGGTTCTGGTACCGTAGCGTGACTAACACATTGTGTAGGTTTACACGATTTACTGTTGTCATAGACGCTTGAAAACCTCCCCGGAAACCACCTGTAAATTCTGGGTGTTCTTTTTTTATTACCATTTTGAGGTATTGGTTGGTTATTGTCATTGCGTTTCAGTGTGTTTTTTTCCTTTCGGCAATTATTAAGCCGAAATCGATCATCTACGGACCATGAGCTCCAACAACATCAAGCCCAGTACTGCAACCAAGGCCGGCCAGAGCGCATACCCAGGAGTTGCGCCAAACAACCAGTCTATTCTGCTTGAAAAGCTGAATGTTCGAAGATCTACACCAGACTCTGAAGCCCTGGCAAGTTCGGACGACGAACCCGACCCTCATCGACAAGACGCGCATCGACCACAAGTACAGCCTCAGAAGCCTGTACGTCGTGCTTCTTGGTTGAACGATACATCACAAACTACGTTACCCCATCCGAGGAAAGGTTCATTTGCGAGCAGTTCTATGTCACCAACAGCCTCACACCCTAGTACCCCATCAGCCGAGCCAGGTGCAACCACTTGGGGTTCCCATACTACATCTTCGGCGGCGATGGGAAGAGGACATCAAGGACCGCCGTCTTTCCCATGGGGAACAGGCATTTGGAACACAGAGCGTAAGGAGCCGCCTTCTCGATTGACCGAAGTCCTCCCTTCGCCGACATCTACTGTTCCCAGTAATGCTGGTTTCTTTGGTGAAGATGGTTCGTTGGCGCAAACCTCGCCCACTCCACGAGAGCAGAATCCTAACCCACAAATTCCGTTCGCCATTCCCTTGCACCCAACCCCCAAGACATATCGTTCCCAGTCATACTCGGTAGGTCAGTTAGACCCGGATACAACGACGCCGACGATGCCTACGTCTTCGGTGCTATCGGGAAGACCGCGTGCTACCCTTGGACACCCTGGATTGCAGCACAGACCTTCGCGCCCGAGTATGTTGAGTGAGATGTCCAGTGAAGGTGCGATGTTAGGTAAAGTGAAGGAGGTTGAGGATGATGATGATGAGAGTGCCAGCGACACGGCTCAGGCATCTCATCAGCAGCAAAGTGCCGAGGCGAAGACAATAGAGATGCTCACTCGGGAGAATGCTATGTTGAGACAGCAACAGCAGCAACAGCAATATCACAACTCCAGGATCAGACCCCGTGCATCAACTGCCGCTACTTACGGATTAGGTAACGGATATGGCGTCCGTGGACCCGTTCCCGAAGAATCTGACTTCGCGATTGATGAACTAGATGAAGCTGGAGAGGGCCTGGACAGTGCCTCGAAACGAGGATTAGGAAGGCGCATGAGCGAATACGCGTCTGCGTCTGGGGCTTTCCGTTCCCCTTATCCCCTAGAGAATAGAAAGCTCGAAAATGTTAAGAAAGCATATTGGCAGAGTTCTTTAGGCTTTGGTGGTTTAACCGAGATTTCGCAGAGCCGTAGACATTCGTTTGCCGACGTGCCTACGCGACAAGGATCAATCGGTTCTGTTGGCGAGGGTGTTTCCCTTCATGATGTAACTTCCGCAGAGGCAGCACAGTCTCATTCTCAAGACTTTGGCGGATTCCCCGAGGGCGCAGGCTTTCAAACTGCTGCTAGTCCGGGTAAGTAAACCCCAGCCGCCCAGCTTGTGTTCAAGACTAACTTTATCAATAGTATCCTATTACTCAGGTGGAGGCAACGCTCCTAATGCACACCAAGCCATTGCGTCGTCCGCTTATGGTAATCCGTACCAGTCAGCCTACGGACTTCCTTCTACCTTTGGTAACCGTCCGCCATCGCCTCACAGGAGTATGTACGGAATGAGCCAGCCCAGACACAACCAACTGCTACATATTGTTCTTTTCAAGTGTTCTAGGGCAGATGTGTTCTACATACAAGAAGGAACTGGCCTTACGGTTAAACCTGGAGATCTTGTCATTGTAGAGGCGGATCGGGGAACTGATCTTGGAACCGTGGCTCGTGATAATGTGGACTGGCAAACAGCTAAAGAATTGAAGGAGCACTACGCTGAAGAGCACTACAAATGGTTGATGATGTATTCCCAAAATGCCGCGGCCGCTCAGGAAGGGACCGGAGCTGGTTTGATGGCTGCATCTAACGGTCTTCAAGGCAGCGCAATTGGTGGAATGGGACCACCAAGCCAGCATCACATGCAAGAACCAAATGCGGGCGAACTTAAACCGAAGCTCATTAAACGCCTGGCACAGAGTCACGAGATTCACAACCTTCGAGATAAAGAAGGAAACGAAGCTAAGGCGAAGCGTATGTGTATGCAGAAGGTGAAGGAGCATGGCCTGAACATGGAGATTCTCGATGCCGAGTTCCAGATGTGAGTAACTATTTCTATCTTTGACCTACTACGTCGCTAACAAATCTCAGGGATTGGAAGAAATTAACCTTTTACTACTTCGCCGACTAGTATATCAACTTTAACTCGCTGGTCACCGATCTTTTCAAGATCTACAAGACGCGAATTTGGATGTCTGCTATCAACCCTGCCTCATTTGCCAGCCCGACCTTGGGGCTGCAGGCGCCCAGCGGCATCGGCCCAGGCGCTGTCGGCCTTGGAAGAGGAAGTGGATCCGCCAACACAGAACGAAGATCCAATCCACCCCAGGACTCACAGGGTGCCTTTACCAGTCCGGGTGCTGCAGGTCGACCGTTTCAGCCACCCTTCAACCAGCCATTTGGCGGGCCAGATCGTCCTGGAGTAGCCAGCTCTGCATACCCCCCGTCTGGTTTTCCGTATTCTGCCTATGGTGCGTTCAGCAGTGCTCCGAGGTCCGGTACGGTGCCATATGTCCCGACCGTGATGCAAGGGATGGAGGCATACCCCGGCGGCTTCTCCCAGCCTGGGGAATTTCCCCCAAGCATGCGAACGCGTTATCCGAGTCCCCACACGGCTCCTTCCCCTCACGATCAGTCAGTGCCTAACATGTCAGGACAGAACGAATGGGTTGGAGCGTTCCAGGGACTTTCTCTGAACTCCCGCTGAATGCGAGGGGTTTATGGATTGAATTTGTTCCATTACGGCCTTCGAGAACTCCCTCTCGTTACTAATGAACCTGGAGATAGTTCCGATTCGCCAGGATATTGCGATACCTCTTACCCCCTATTGTGGTTCAACCTCGCTCTAAAGTTCATTGACGCAACCATTCATTACTACTATATGGTTTCTATCTTTGTAACGCACCTTTTGAAGGCTCTTTTTTTTGGAACCTCTATCATCCAGTAAAGACGAATGTCATACTCAGTAACCTCGATCCTGATTTTTCATTACACTAAAATTCCATTCTCGTATTATACTTCCCTCGTACCATACCATCACTATTATATGATCCGAGACTACAGAGACGTATTACGATCAACGGATTGACAGAAATCCATTTCCGTTCTTTTATTTTATTCTACAGTTTAATTTTCTCTTTTTTCAGGTGGCCTTACGGCCGCTTCAAGTTGTTTACATACAGCCAATTATTCCTAGAGGCGCCTGTGATACATATATGTCACAATACGCCTAGGCGAAAACTTCAGAGGACCGACGCAATTATCAGACTTTTGGCGTTGGTCGGCACCGGCATCCATCAATTCTTTGGAATTCCTTGATTTCTCAACTTTTAAAGACTTCGGAACGAGGCCAGACGAAGACAAGTTCGAATTCGAGACGAGGCAAGGCGAGAAGACGGACAGAAGGCAGAGGGCCATCAATCATTTTGCGTCATGACGACACGGCATAAGAGAAACCATAAGACAAAAAGTAGGTTTGCGTTTGAAAGGAGATCAACATAGACGTGCTGCACAAGCATATGTGTAATTTGATATTCAAAAGGGACGGTTTGCACGAATTGTTGGGTATGGACGGATTTTGTACGACCAGAAAAGACTTTGCCACGCATGAAAGATTACACCCATTTGCCTTGCGAGATGCATTCAGGAGGGGAGTCCTCTGTTCGGTTTGTCCACTTTCACTGTTAGTTTAATGGCAGATTCGTTCTAGATAGGGTTCTAGTTACCTCCGATGGCTAAAATTGCTAAAATTAAGCTTCTAATAGCTATAGTTGCTAAGTTGCATGTGTCAAATTTGAGTAACTAATGTTTAATATGGTTGTTTATAAAACATTATGGATCTGAACTACATACACCTGAGCCCCTTATAACCCTTTATAAGAGCTCCTTATAAATACCTCTTAAAGTATATTAACGTAGAAGGAGCATTCTACATTAGGTTAGATACTTAATGTTGTTTAGTACATGACCTCCTATTATGGAAACAACTATGGAAACAACTATAGAAGGAGTAAACCATACATATGTGGACACCCACGTACATGCCTTATGTAGGTCAAGTAAGAACCCCCATCAAAGAAAGAACTACCTAACATAGATCCCTCTATGTCCTACTTATGTCACCAAGTAAATGAATAAAATAAAAATTTATTGCCCCCAATTCTTACACACAATTCCGCATCTTCTCAATTCGCAATACTATATGAGGTGGCCTTGTTCGCAATATTGAGTTATTTGAATCGCATCATGATCCTCAATTCAACTTTCAACTAGTTCCCATTCTATTCCTATAGCTATTTACCTAAGCCGGCATATTAAACTACCATAAATTTACATCCATCATGTCGAAAAGAGTGGCTAAGAGAAAGGCTGATCCAGAACGTAAGTACGTCGCTGAGAGAGCAGCGGATTGATATAGTTAGTAGTGTTAAGCATATTCACATTCCACAGCACTATCAGACGATCCTGAGGTGTTGATCAAGGGAAACAATACCAAGAAGAATAAGACTGGTACAAACAGACGCCTTTCACGACTTGAAGAGTATAACGAAGACGAGGGCCGAGAAGGTAGCAGGTAAGTACTAAATCGGAAAATAATACATAATTCCGGCTACTGATGGTATTTGGTATATACAGAAATTTTCAGCGATGGGCCGAAATTTTCGAGGGCAATACCCAAGGCGAAGTTGCGAAATCAAAGACTTTCATCAAGAACTTTAGAATGAAAATTAAGAAACAGACAGATAAGTTGCGAGAGTATATTCAAGAACAAGAAACACAACTGTGAGAATACCAGACCTTGCAAACTAGAAATTTAAAGAATTTAATCTGACCATCTACAGCGCCCAGAGTAATGATAAATTACTAGAAACCTTTGGAGAGCTTTACAGAACATCCGGTCTCGCTCGTGGATTAGACGGCGAGGCACGCAACACAACCAAGGAGGGCCATATCTTGTTCCAAGATGCGAAGTCTATCATATCAGGAAGCTACGAATTACTCATAAAATTCAAGGAGACGGACGAGCAACTCAAGAGTTATAAGTTCGAGCTTCCCATTGCGAAATGGAAGCAGGATAAGCAGGACATGAAAGACCTTCTCTCTTGCGGCCGCGAATACGGAGAGAAACTCGTCGAGGATAAGCTTACCCCAGAGGCTCATATATCTCACCAGCCTGATAGATATAAGGAAAATGAAAGGGAGAGTATGGCTTCAGATCTCTTTAAAGAGAGCCGCATGGCGTTAGACGGGGATACTTGGGGTACAGTTGCAGCTGAACAAGTCAAGAAATTTACAGCTATCGCGAAGTCTGTTCCCTTGGGAGCAAGACGTGTATCACGGGGACAGTAGAAGATGAGATTGAGAAACTGTGATGATAGATCATAACTATTATTGTAACAGGTATTATTGTAACTATTAGCTTGTATGATGGAGCGTTAGAGGGCTTGCTACTTATTAACCTCATTTCTTGATATGCAATTATGAAATATATCTTAACCCTACATGTAGTTACATAATGTACGGATTACATGTAGATTTGTATTGTGGAGACAGGAAGGGTTCGATAAGTCAAGTAGGTACATATATCGATGTATATGTGGTCAATGCACTGATATAAGCCACACTATTCTATTCCTGGGCTAGCCCCGTATCGCTTAATTTTCCCCCCCAAACGCACTCCCACAACTTTAGCAAATTTCTTCGTTCAATTGAAGATTTTCGCATTCCTCAATTCCTCACACCACACACACAACGACACACGACCATCCATTTTTGCAGGCTTCTATTCCCAACCTGGTTTGTAGCTCTCTATTAGACATAACCTCTTTGATATTATTGCTAACCTTTACATTTTCCACCATACAGTCAAGATGGGTGCCCTCAAGTATGTCGAAGAGCTTCAAAAGAAGAAGCAGTCCGATGTTCTGCGATTCCTCCTCCGAGTCCGCTGCTGGGAAGTATGTTGAAACCTCTACGATTGCTTTAAACCCTCGACACGAAAAGCGTATTATACACACGAAAATCTACAACAGTCCAAGATATTGGCGTGGATGATTATGTGGACGCTGTCTTCCCTCCTTTGCCTTTCCCCGGCATGGAGGAAACGTTGTCTCTGCTATACACTCGTTGAACATTAGCTGAGAGTGCATCAATATAGCTTCGTCAATTGAACGTCATCCACCGCGCTTCGCGTCCCTCGCGCCCCGACAAGGCCCGCCGCCTCGGATACAAGGCCAAGCAAGGCTATGTCATCTACCGTGTGCGTGTCCGCCGCGGTGGTCGCAAGCGGCCCGTGCCTAAGGGTGCCACTTACGGTAAGTCTACTACGAAACCGAGATAATGTTCTCGAGGCAGATAATTAATCATGTCGAAATTACAGGCAAGCCCACCAACCAGGGTGTGAACCAGCTGAAGTACCAGCGATCTCTCAAGGCCACCGCTGAGGAGCGTGTCGGCCGCCGCTGCGCCAACTTGCGAGTTCTCAACTCGTACTGGATCAACCAGGACTCCACCTACAAGTACTACGAGGTTATCCTCGTCGACCCTCAGCACAAGGCCATCCGCCAGGACCCCCGCATCAACTGGATCGTCAACCCCGTGCACAAGCACCGCGAGGCCCGTGGTCTCACCGCTACCGGCAAGAAGTCGCGTGGTCTCAACAAGGGCCACCGCTACAACAAGACCAAGGCTGGTCGCAGAAAGACCTGGAAGAGACACAACACCCTCTCCCTATGGCGTTACCGATAAGCGCGTGCGCCTAACGGAGGCGGAGGTAGAAAATAGGGGACGTGTGACAACGGCTTGGTCGTGGATGTCGTGGTTACGGCAGAGGATAACGTCTTTCTTCAGGGTCAATAGGGCATGCGTCGGCTCATGAGTTATGCCTGGAGTTACTGCACGTAGTCTACATAGGAACAAGATTCTTCCTGGGACGAAAAAATTATTTGCATTTGGTTGTTTACGCTAATACTTTCGTGCCTAATGACATTACTTTGCTAAATGTGACATGGTATCTCCCTCGTTGGATGAGGATCTCCTACGGCGGCTATTAGCTTAAAGCAATCGACATTTCGGAGTTGCTGTTGTCTTTTAGAGCTATAGAGCCCACTACTTGGGTTTATTATAAGCCTTTGTACGGTGATCCGAACCTGATAATCTATCTGCTCTATGCGTGATATAAGCCACCACAGCTACAGTATATATGCCTTATTTACATTATAATAACTGTTATGGTAGTTGTAACAGTTTTACTAGCTTTGGTAAATTGGCGACCTGAATGATGTGGTTGTTATACGTATAAAGTACCTGAGATAAGCTGTTATATTGATAGATTCGTGTCAATTACGTTCAAGATACCGGCCTTTCCACTATTGTCACAGTCTACGGTAATTAAATGGCAACTTAGATAGGAAGTATTAAATCGTGAAAAATCATATCACAGAAAATGGGCCAAAGAAATATTTTTTATGCCTCTATTAGGCTATCTGCAAAGTACAGGCGAAGAGGTTCTTCCACGGGGGAAGGCACCTAGGACAGAAAATCGTTGCCCAATATCGCCAAATCAGCGAGACCGGCAGAATCCGTCGAAAGACATCGCAGAACAAATCTTGATAAATGAGCCTCAGTGTAAAACACAACCCAAGATCATCTGGAACTGGTATCCAGTCGCCTCCCATCTGTATTTAAAGATGAGAACTGTTACATCTTATGGGTCCCCTGAGCTTACCACGCTTTGCTGCAACCGTAAGTAGTTGATTTAGGTTTCCCATGGGAGAAACAGGTAGGTGTACAAGAGAACCCATTGATGCCAGCATCCCATAGCCTGCTATCGTGTGCCATGATACGTTCGTACGAGACCAGCATGTATAGATAGATACCTGCATAAAGCTGGTTCCTATATAAACTGGTCAAGGAGATTAGGTGCGAGCGTATGTATGTCTATCGCAGAGCATACGTGATTAGGGCGGTGGTAGACATCACGAGAAGCTATGACATCGAAATACCGGCCTAATGCGTGTAAAATAGGAGTAATGCATGTGTCTGTCGAAAAAAAGCATCCCGCAAACCGATAAAACAAAAGAAAATCTATGCCGAGATGTTTGAGTACACAGGCGCGGGCCACGATTAAATTCGATATGCTGTTGTGAGAGCTGGCCTTGGCTGGGGTATCGAGTATCATGTATCGAGTGCGTAATATACAGAGCAACCCTAGGAACAATGGGTGCTAGCGGTGGTACTCGATGGCGCAAATGAGTTTGTGTAATATCCTGCGTAGAAAGGAAGTAAGGGTGACATGTGGATGGCGCGAGAAAAGGAAAGCGGTGTCATCAAGCTCGTATGAAGCATCTCATTCATTCTTTGCGAAATGGCCACGAAGACCACATAATCGACCATTAGGGAAAATTCCACCGGAAATGGTGTATCGTCCGAGTTCATTATCGTACCGTTACAAGTATCATGACCGCCTTAGGCATGAGAAATATCTAGAAGAAATCACCTTCGCCAGATCCAGGGTTAACACCAGCACCAGGGTATGTAGGGTACTGGGGCATTCGCGGCGGTTGCGGAGGAGCATTGCCAGGGACGCCCATGCCGTTAGGGGGTGGGTATGCCATTCTGCCTCGAGTGCCGTTAATACCGTTGGGGCTGTGGCCATTCGTGTAGGGACCGGGTGGCGACACGATAGACTGGCTCGTCATAGCGCGAGTGTGGGGGGGACGAATCGCAATCTGACCCTGGGTTGAGTCAGCGGGGGTGGCTTGTCCGCTGGTATTAGCGCTTCGAGTATCGTGCTGCTGGATCTTGGCCTGAAGTCGCCGACCGTATGGAGTGTTTCTGACAGTAGGAACGATCGGACGGATGGCTTCGACCAGCGGAATCTTCATGGGGTAGGTGCAATGATCCAAGGCGGTCTGAAAACGTAATTGCCAAACGAATCGCGTAGTAGGCGCTCCATCTCGCCCGGGGCCAGGAGCTCGTTGACCATCATATCCTTAGAGTCGTCATTGCCGCAGCGGATGCACTTCTCCATAACATTGGAGCTGAACTTGTGACGAGACAACTGGCTAATCTTGCCACGGAATTGCTGTATTAAAGGCTCAGTGAAGACACTCTCGTTCAGGTCAATGATGTATTGAACCACATAATTGCCAAAGGGGTCTTGTACAAGTCGAGTGGCATTCTCGGTGATTTTAGTAACAAGCCACATCTTTTGTTCTCCTGAGGCATGGTCAATACATCGTTGGAGCACGCAGCAACCATGACGATGGGTGCCTACTTCAATACAGTTGTTGCCAACCGCACTGAAAATGAACTGAGCGTCTTCAGGGCTGAGCTTGTTAAGACACTTCTGGATCACATGGTTTCCATGAGATCTTGGATGAGTTCGACAACTCGATATCGCAAGGCCTCAATGATGAGCTGGACATGCGTAGGAGTGGAGACAAACTCAATCATCTTCTGCAATGCCCGTGTGCCGTGCTGGTTGAGAGCAATACGGACCATCTCTGCAGACGCGTTCTGAATCAGTACAGTACGCTCGTCGTCGTTGCAATATTCCAGAAGCTTTTGGCACAAGTAATTTCCAAATGGGTCCGTCATAAGCTCGACGACATGCTGATTCGTCTCTAGCCAGATCATGTGGACCTGTTCGGGGTTTCGGTTCTCGAGTTGCTTCTGCAAGTATCGGCAGCCATGCTGATCCTTGCAAAGATCGTAGATTGTACCTCCTACCTGCTCCAAAGATAGGTTGGCATAACGGGTCATAGCCTCGTTATCCTGGGCACGACGCTGCTGCATTACACGCTGCTGTGAGTCTCGAGGCTGCGCATGGGGCTGGTACATGGGGCCGTAGCCAACATAGTTCTGAGGAGGGTAATTGTTCATTCCCAAGTTCTGCATGCCCATTGTCATCATGTTCATGTTATATCCGGGACCGGGGCCGGGACCGTTAGGGTTCGGCTGGCTGTATCCGCCATAGAATTGCTGGTAAGGCCCAAGAGATGAGGGCGAACCAGCAGTAGCTGTTCCGGCAGAGGCAGGTGACTGAATAGCGGCCTGGCTGGATGCAACAGGGCCAAACGCAGGGGCACCACCCTGCAGTTGTGATGAAATTGATGGATATGGTGCACCAGCTTGGGCAGCGACAGCATGATTGTCATTGGAAAGCTCACGGCTGTGGCGTTTCATGGCGCCAGGGGGGATTCGGCCGATGCTAGCATTGTGGTTGTGGAAGTGTTGCTGAGCATGGGCATTCGCATTGCTCGAAGGAGTCAAGGTAGCGCTGGGGACGTTCTTAATGGCAGCCATCTCACCTGCAGAGAAGGAGGTCTGTAGCTTGGGGGGTGTGGAAAGCACCTGAGTAGATGAAGGAGGCATGGTTGAGGTAGTTGCAGTATCGGTACTAGTCTCCCTGTACTGGCTTACGTCGAGGGAGTGACGGAAAGGGCGACTAGCAACAGAGGTACTGTCGGCCGATGACCCCGCTTGGCCAGTAGACATGCTGTCGGTGGTATTCATTTGGGATGATCCTAGAGTAGATAGACTCTGCTGTTGTCGATGGCGGGGAATGTTTGCCCAGCCGTTGGTAGGGGTAGCTTCACCACTTGCACGGTGAGATGCGAGATCAACTGCGGCGGAAGAAGCAGATAACTGTGGGAAGATTAGTGACCTGATAACTAGTGATACTAGATATCTAACGGAAGGGACGAATAAAGATGCAACAGCGGGTATCAATTGGGAATAATGTGAGTAGTGAAGAATTCTAGTAAAGGAATATATTCTCCGATGTAAGGTGGAAAGTGATATGTGTAGTAGCTGTGTTGAACGTGCGCTAGATTAAAACACTTCCAAACGCAGTTCGCCTGACAAGGTCCTCAAATATTGTTCGAGAACCCGGGAGCACAGACCATGAACAACAAACAAGCAAACATATAGTAGGGAACAATGCGTGACTCAGGTAAAGTGAAAGAGCAGTGAAGGGGTAACGAAGGAGCAACGAAGGCAGGTATGAAAAGTGCCTGAGGTGTTAACTTACCACGTTGGGATTTCCTTTCTGTGCGTAGAGCTGAGGGAAACCGTCCTCACTGGCGTCAATGTTGGAAAAATTGTTCAAATCCATCGAGGATTCGTCGTCTCTAAAGAGAAAACCAGTTGTGTTGGTCTGATCAATGTTATCGTAGAGATTGCCACGACGTGTAACGGGCATGGAATACCGGTTAAGACTGGGAAAGTTTCTATGTTAGCAGCTGCTTAATACCTGCAGACCAGCTGATGAAGTACGTAAAAAAGCACAATGGAAATATGTTGAAACCCCAAGCGCACAATGGTCAACAGCGCGACGTTGGGGAGTTAGGTAGAAATGGTAGAAAGGAAGAGGATATTGGTGGAGATGGGATGTATGAGTATCCGGGAAATGTATTGAGGGGGGGAATTTATTTTTCCAAGGGGAGAATATTTTTTTTCTACTTAGGTAGAAGTGGACGAAGTGGTGTATCTTGAATTCAATAGGGCTTGCCAATCCAGGGCTTGCCATAATACAATGGTATAATGACAGAGAATTGCATGGAAAGAGAGGTTGGGCCAAGTCGAGCACCTCGCTGACATTGTTTGTGAACCCAAATCGAGGAACTCGCGCCCAATGAACCACCAAAGATAAACAAGACACCCGTATGATCTTTGATGACAGAAATCCCTCGCCTTATCTACCTTCCTTGCGTCAAACACAAGGGTTTTCAATGCAATAAATACAAATTTGCATACATGGAGGTCCAGACAAGACAATAATCAGTGTCGTTGCCGACGAATATTTCGGCAAGATTGCGCGCGGGTAGAAATAATAGATAAAACAAGAAAGCAGAATTGCAGGAAGTATCAGACTTACGCGTTAGTTGACCGATGACTTGTAGGATCCTGGCGAAGAGCCTCCTCCTTCTCGTCTTCGTCGCTGTTCCTACGAGAGCTCGGTACGGAACGGGATGGTATAGCGTCGTCGAAAAAGCGAGATTGAAGAATGCCCGACTGGGGAGACGCGAGCTGAGAACCAGATCTCCCCGGTCGATTGAAAAGCCCTGGTGGAGATACGAGACCAAGGCTAGGAGTCGAATATCGGTTGGGACGAGAGAACATGGTAGGGAATCCCGAACTTGTCTCTCGATACTCGGGCGGCGTCGTCGGCTCGGACTGGTGACCTGTCAACCCTAAGCCGTTTCCTCGGCCTAGATCCTCCTGCATCTGAGCAATATCGAATTCATCCCGCCGCTGCTGCTGGTCCAATTTATGCATCTCGGCCTCGAAGCGCCGCTTCTGCTCTCGAAGCTTTTCATACTCGATTTTCTTCTTCTAACTATACAGACTGTGAGCACTAACTCAACTATGCTAAAATAACGATAACCGCAAATAGGAATCTAGGTGCTGAGCGCATGCGCGGAGGTGCGACTTGGGAATGGACAGAAACGACAGGCGGCAAAGAGACAGCCTTACCAGTTGTACTTTATACTGCGTCTAGGATAACCAATGTCAGCGATGTGTTTCACAAGAGCAAGACATGCAATTAGGAGCATTGAGACATGCTCGGGGCAGTTCTAGTAAGGCCGAAGGCCTATCCCGACCACAAATATTTTGCGGGATGCCCAAATTCGGGGAGACTCACGGCAGAATATTCTTGTGGTTCCGGCATTCGCTGGGAAGTAGATATAGTGGACAATGTTGGTACACGCCCCGAATCGGTGGTGAACCGTCGAGGCAAAGTCGTTCGAGGATCTTGCGAGACTGGCTGAGGAGGCATGGGCCTGCCATTTCTCTGCGGTGAGACAAGAGAATTCATCGGCGCCTCGTTTCTCGGAAGACTGCTGAGAGCGAAATCGATAATCATCCATGTTATTCTGTTGTTACAACACCAAAAGCTTTCGTACAGGCCAAATTGGCAATCACCGGATTTTTCTATAAACTGGAGTTCCAGAAGGACGACGGTCAGCATGCTAGGGATACCCAATGAAACCAATCGCAAGAAGCCGACATCGAAAAATTTCCAAATTTTCTCTCTCCAAAGTGCAGTGAAGGGAATTTCAGGAGAATTGAGTAATTAGCAAGATTTGCGCCGTGCTTCTGCTGTATCGCAGGCGGCCATATCCCTCGTTCGGCACTCAACTTGCGCTGGGTAGGGTAGGTTGACTTGACGATGTCTTAATGGGGGGTTGGAGAGAGGGTTGTCTTCGGCTATTGACAATATAGGTTAGACTCACTCACCTTTGATGAGAACAACTATAGCACACACACAACGCAAAATGCAGCCCTGGAGAGCCAGGAGCGGCAGCGCAGCACGGAAAGAAAAGAAAGGGTTGCAAGTCGCAAAATGCAAATAATAATAAAAGAGTGTGGAGTTGTGCGAAGAGAAGGAGATTCAAATGTTTCAATTGCTGCAAGTCTCCAAGTCTGTAAGTGGACGAGGCACAGGGAGCTTAGATGGAATTAGGACAAAGACGCAACCAACCCTCTTTCCTTCTTCAGTCAATCTTGTTCCCCAGTGTGAGAAGTCCTGCGTCTTGTCTCCTTCCCACCCCCCTGGTCGAGGTCTTGTTTGGTGGTACAACTTACAACCTATAACCAACCTATAACCTACAGCCTAGAATAAATACATCACTCAGTGCTGTAGGTATGTGGTATGTATTGTACACTATGGTCCTTCAGGGCTACATCTCGAAGGAAGTACAAGACAAATACATGCGAGATGGTGGATTACGGTGGGCAAGAGCGGGCGTCTCCATGTCTCGTGTAGTACAGATTGGCCCCTCCTGCACTCACAAACCCCTGGTCCCTGTCCGTTTTCCTAGAGCTAAGGGCCTGATGCTTTAACGCTACGTGTACTAGCAGACACGCAGATTAGCAGACTAGGTAGTCGCAGCGTATTGCTACCATTCTTCGTGCTTACCACATACCTACCTCGATGCTTGCGTTTCATCGAAAGAATCTTGTCGCTGGCAAGCTCTTATGCTTATTTTCTTCTAGTTACATAGTGTGTGTGTGCTACCTAACTATTTACTTACTTGCGCGTATATCGACTAATAAGTGGCAAGCCGCGACTAGGTACATACGCAGAATGACTATTCTGGAGAAACGTTGTATATTCCAAGAGCACCAATCGATACGCTTACAAGAGAGCAACAAAGCGATTGTAGTATAAAAAAGGTGGGATAGGATGAGATGAGAGAACATCGGAATATATTGATCTATGGCTACGGTTATGGCTACGGACTACCTAAGTAGGCAATTACCTACTTGATAGGTAAAAGCAGTTTCTTAGATCGTTCGATGGATTGACTTCATCCACTCATTCTCAGGGCCTTCCCTCCTTTGTTTCCCTCCAATCTAGAGAACTCGATCGCGGCGGCGCTGGTTGCGAACTCTACATAATAACTAAAGACTTACATAGGAACCAGAAGGGTGGAGCTGGGGTTCAGCCCGGCTACTCAAATCGAGACGGTTGGAGACGGCCTTGGTACTAATGATTTTTATTCAACCTCCTGCATAGGTTCAATTGTCTACGATTGTTCCTATTTACGACGCTACCTAAGGTAAGTAAGTCGGATTTCCAATAAGAATACTCATATTAGGCACCTAGGTAGGTAGAAAAAACCTATAGCGCCCTTCCTACTAAGTAGGTGTGTACGTGACCGTTTTATTGTGACGGTATTCAATACTGATAAACCCTTTTAAGTAGCTATCCTAGCTACCTGGTTACCCCTGGCGTCGCTAGCGGCCGAGATTGGTATGTAGCTGGAAACAGCTTGTTCAAACCAGAGGGGAGCGGTGAGCGGAACTTTACCTGACACCAAGAGCTATTGAACAAACCGGTGCAGCCCAAGTTTCTGGCTTCAAACACCAGCATAAGCCATGGCCGATATGCGGACTGTTCACATTTCGTCGATCTTCAGTTTGGTGCGGGGAATATTTGAGCTGCAAACATCACGAATCCGAACCTATATACAACGATAAGACTTTTGTCTATCGCGTGTAGGACCGTAGGGATACATCTAGATGTGTTTGGACTCGAGGAATCAATTCAGCCCAACTCCATGTGTTGGATGATTCACCCATCCGTTTTTTGTATCCGTCCGGTTATCCAATGCCGTCCTGCAGCCAAAGGCACATAAGCCTACGCCTACATCTACATCAGTATCACCAGACGGTATATGTATGCTCTGTCTCCCGGTTTAACAAGCTCCACAGGGACGGCATGCATGCAAGTATAAATTGGGGATGTGCATCAATAAGCTCTGGTTGGATGGACGCCTTACCCACGTTTGATACCAGTTTGCTTGCAGGCGGCATCTCATAGGTCTCTTAGCAAAGGATCTCTAAGGGTCTCGAATTTACGAGCGTTTTCCCTATACTTTTCTAAGTACCTTATACTAGCCCGACAGGAGTGGATGGTTGTTTATCCGGTTGGGGGTACCAGTCGAAGAGTATATACGTGATCGAATACTCTCGAAGGACCCGCATCCAATACAGATGTGGGCTAACAGCGCCATCTGGTGAATTCTGAGACATTGCTCGACATTCATCAGAATATTCTGTTGCAGAGGCTATTTCTTCCGAGCCAAGCCCCTCCCGGCGCTTGCTCCGGGGATAGGAGCGGCGTCGGTTCTTAGCTATTTACGAGCACCTCGCCATGAAACGCCACTTTCACATATTGCCGGAGCGTAGTCTGCCAACCGTCACATACGCCCGCTCCTTGCTTTACTAGAGTCCTTTCTCCTTAAGGTTTCGGATCGAGCCTAGACTTTCTTGATCTTAATGGGCTCTTAGCGCGGCTCAATACTGATAGACCCCTGTTAAGATGAACGTTGCCTTCTCGATCCCATTTCCTATTTCCTACTTAGGTACTCCGTGTGCGTCTTCTGCCCTATTTCCTTTTGTAGCCGTCAAGATTGTCACTGGCATCCGTTGCATTGTCAAACAGATTTGAGGCCGTAAGCAGAGCTAAAGAGCATGGTTTTTCCAACCCACACAGCGCGGCGATCACCAATTCCGAGTTGCTCTCCAAACGTGGCTCTCAACTAGTAGTTTTCAACTATGACCGCCCTAGTGGCGACAACGAGATCGTCTAAAGTAGACTATTATTCGCATTGTTACATACGATGGGACAGCGAGCCTTTGGCTATGTACTCTTACTTATGTACAAGCATAACGACCTCGATAAAGGTTTGGGCGGCTACGCAAAGTAAACCTATCCTTGTTCGGCTCACCGACTTTTGTCCACACACGGAGCATCTATAACCTGCCCTAGCGAGCCTGCACGTCACCCAACCAGCCAGCCCCGGGAGAGAAATAGCCTTTTTCCCCGGATACTCTGGATCACGATGTGCGTTCTGTGGCTTGCATATGCTGGACCCAGGTGAGCCAACGTAAACTTTCCTATAAACACTAATATGTATCACTATCTTAGTTATAAGATATATCTCATTAGTGTTTCTTTATCTTCCAAGTGCAGTTCTATAATCAAAATACAGATTTGTGGGCACGAGTAAGAGATTTAACAATACGAAGGGTCCAGATGCGAATTTAGGGCGATCCTCGCTACGGATCGAGGTCTGGAACAAGCTTGAGGAAGTTGATGAGATTACTAACAACGGTGTATTAGGTAGGCACATTGACGATCCAAAACAAGCCCAGCGACATGCTGCAACTTTTTCTGGGCATTGGAATACATACTCACCAAATACCCTCGCCTACAGGCCCCTCTTCTATACATGCTTCTTATTAGACGGCCACTCGAGATATGACGAAACAGCTGCATAGTCGTACTATTGCTCTTTTTCCAGTTACTTTACATATAGAATATAGCGAAATCTTCCCTGTTTCCACATCCAACCTGAGAGGATGAGGCGGCTTCACAGACCAATGCATGACGGATCGATCTGCCAGCACAGCGTACTATCTCCTGCAGTGAATTATGCAAGACAAGCTGCAGAGGTGGTTAAGACGAGGGGCAGTAACTGTACGGACGAAGTTGATGGAGGGGTAAAGAGGGGTTCAAATGGCTCATTATATGGGTGAGCTTGGTTCTTGGCGTTCGGCCAAACCCCGTCTACCCGCCCATTGGATTCTTTACACATGCATGTCCCTGGTAGCTGTCGAAAGGGAGGACAGCCTTTGGGTAAAAATAGAGATGATTTCCAAATAGGAAGCTTGCATGGAAGCGTGGAGGTTGGGCGGAGAGAAAGGTCCCATCGTGGTGACTCGAATGAGTACCGAGATAGACCTTGATAAGCGTGACGACATTGAGGTCAGTACGCGTATATGTGCTGACGTAGAAAAATAATATTCCCCGGTTCCTCAATATAGTTCCTAGTATTATTTCAAATTATATTAAGCCCATCGGAACATGGAGATACCAAAGTATGTGGATTTTCGGATTGATATCATTAGGTGAGACGTTAAAAAAGTCCCCGGGTCGTATCTATTTGTCTCATCAGCTCTTTCCCCGTGGAGTCATCCATGGATTGATTTAGCTACATATAGTTCCATAATTTAGAAAGCTTCGATTTGTTCGACCTGGGCTATAATTTAGAGACAAGATCCTATTCGCGGTACTTGGGTACATTAAGTACACTAATGCTAATAGAATGGAAGCTCAATCTAAGAATCTTATGTCATCGTGCGCTTATGTAAGATTTTGGGGTCCAAGTGTTAGGTACCTATGTACCTCTTAATGGTGGCCCCTCCTTTTTTTTTTTCTTTGGTGGGGGACAGGACAGGGACAAGGCCGCCCGCCGCCACACGCGACGAGCTCTTCATTAAGGAGGCTGAAATTTTTAGAGTCATCTCACAATCATTTATCACATAGCCGCCAATATATGAAAATGCTTGGCCGTCAAAATGCCTTATATAGATGACGGATTTGAGGCTCTGTTAGAGCCTTTTTACAACGGAAAGAAGTTGACAGACCCTATTTCAACTGTTGACGATAAAAATCAACTACTTCCAGCTTTTTTGAAGGTCAAAGGTATGTATACGATCTGCATGATGACCAAACAGGCATTTCCAGTACGCTAATATCATTATTTTATTAGGTTTAGTTAAACAGTACGTTTCGTCTGGTGGTTATTATATACGGTATATACGGTATATACGGCTGGTTAATACTAATTAATTGGCTTAGACATATAGACTCCTACAATTTCTTCGTGGATCATGAAATTAAAGAAATTGTCAAGGCCAACCGCACGCTCAGAAGCGATGTTGACAGTAGCTTTTGGATCGAATTTATAGATATTCGGGTTGCACCTCCGGATCGTTCCGACTTCAGTGAATATAGGGTCGAAAATGATATCACTCCTATGGAATGCCGCCTACGGGATATCACTTACTCTGCTAAGATTCTTGTGGACATTGCGTACACACGAGAGAAGCAGAAGATTATCCGTCGCAATGTCGAGCTTGCTCGTATGCCCGTTATGTTGCGGAGCAACAAATGCCGGCTATACGGCGCAAACAATGCCCAGATGGAGCTTATGAACGAATGTCCCCTTGATCCTGGCGGATATTTCATCATCAACGGCACGGAAAAGGTTATTCTCGTCCAAGAGCAGCTAAGTAAGAACCGAGTCATTGTCGAGGCAGATGAAAAGAATAGCATAATCACGGCTTCAGTAACGAGCTCTACGCACGAGAGAAAGTCCAAAACATACGTTACCCTAAAGAAGGATCGCATTGTTCTTCAGCATAACGTTCTCGTCGAAGCTATACCTATAGTTATCATCCTTAAAGCTCTTGGTGGTCTCACGGACTACGAGATCATGGAGCTCGTTACTGGCTCTGATGGAAGGTTCCAGGATGATTTTGCTGTTAATTTCGAGGAAGCAACCAGAGTTGGTGTATTTACTCAGCAGCAAGCTTTAGATTATATCGGAGCAAGAGTGAAGATGGGCGGCCGAGCAAAACAGCCCGGAGGACCGCCACAAGCTCGGCGTAGTACCATCGAGGAAGGTCTCGATGCCTTAGCTAACCTCATTATTGCTCACATACCAGTCGAGGGTCTAGACTTTTATCCAAAAGCTATCTATATCGCTCTCATGGTCCGTCGAGTACTTATGGCCCACTACAACCCTAAGCTTGTCGACGATCGTGATTTCGTGGGGAACAAGCGACTTGAGTTGGCAGGACAACTTCTGTCTTTGCTCTTCGAGGATTTATTCAAGAATTTCATGACTCAGCTCAAGTTCAACGTTGAGCACTCCCTTAGGAAGCAAAATCGGGCAATCGCCGTAGATCCTCTGGTACAGGTTGGTGCTCAAGGAAAGCACATCACTGAAGGTATGAACCGTGCTATTCAAACTGGAAATTGGAGCGTGAAGCGATTTAAGATGGACCGTGCCGGTGTAACACACGTTCTGAGCCGTCTCAGCTACATCAGCGCCCTCGGAATGATGACTCGTATAAGCAGTCAATTCGAAAAGACGAGGAAAGTCAGTGGTCCTCGTGCTCTACAGCCGTCACAGTGGGGTATGCTTTGTCCGTCTGATACACCCGAAGGTGAGGCATGTGGTTTAATTAAAAACTTGGCCCTCATGACGCATATCACAACCAACGTGGATGAAGAACCTGTTAAAAAGATGGTGTTCACATTGGACTCTGGGGTTGAGCCGCTCCGATGCTTCTCCGGTGCTCAGATGCATAGGAAGGGTACGTATATCGTCCATATCAACGGTACTCCATTTGCTCTATCCCGATACCCAAAGCGGTTTGCAGCTAAATTCCGCACTATGAGACGACGAGGGTGGATATCTCCATTTGTCGGCATTAACGTCAACGCTCATCTCTCAGCTGTGCATATCGCAACCGATGAAGGACGTATCTGTCGACCGTACATTATTGTGAAGAACGGCGAGTCGAGAATAAAGGAGAGTCATCTTAGATTGCTACAAGCTGGAAAGATCACGTTTGATGACTTTCTGAAGCAAGGCATTGTCGAGTACCTCGACGTCAACGAAGAGAATGATACGCTAGTAGCGCTCTATGAAAAAGATATCACGAAGGCGACAACACATCTGGAAATCGAGCCATTCACGATACTTGGCGCTGTGGCCGGCTTAATTCCATTCCCTCATCACAACCAATCCCCCAGAAATACGTATCAATGTGCTATGGGTAAACAAGCCATCGGAGCTATTGCTTACAATCAATTCAACCGCATCGACACCCTCTTATACACTATGGTCTACCCCAACGTCCAATGGTCATCAGTAAGACCATCGAGCTTATTCACTACGACAAGTTGCCTGCCGGGCAAAATGCGACTGTTGTCGTCATGTCGTATTCAGGTTACGATATTGAAGATGCCCTTGTTCTGAACAAGGCATCCTGTGATCGTGGATTTGGACGAGTCCAGGTGTTTCGAAAATACACGGCGGATCTTCAAAAATATGCCAATGGAAGCCGAGAAAGGATCGGTGACAAGGATGAAACTCAATCCAAGTATAATGCGCTCTCCAATGACGGGTTGGCCGATGTAGGATACCCCGTCAGTAATGGTGACATACTCATCAAAAAGGAGAGCCCGGTAGACATAGCACCAGTTGTCGGAGTAGGCCATAGGACCCAAGAGTACCGCGAAACACCGTTATCGTACCGACTCTCAGATCCAGCTTACATTGACAAAGTTATGGTTACGCAGACCGAGAGAGAGACACAGCTCATCAAGGTCCAAACGAGACAGACCAGAAGACCGGAATTAGGCGACAAGTTTTCATCTAGGCACGGTCAGAAAGGTGTTGTTGGAATCATTGTGGACCAGGAAGATCTGCCGTTCTCGGATTCAGGCCTCGTACCTGATATCATCATGAACCCTCACGGTTTCCCGTCTCGTATGACAGTCGGCAAGTTACTAGAATGCCTAACAGGAAAAGCCTCGATAGTCAAGGGGCGTAAGGACTACGGATATGGCGATGCCTTCAGGTCTCATCCCCTCGAGGCCATGAGCAGAGAACTAGTTGATGCCGGGTTCTCTTGGGAAGGCAAAGATTACTTCACCTCGGGAATAACAGGCGAGCCACTCCAGGCTTACATCTTCAATGGACCCATCTTCTACCAACGACTGAAGCACATGGTCCAAGACAAGATGCACTCCCGCTCGCGCGGACCCCGCGCCATCCTCACCCGCCAACCTACCGAAGGTCGTTCCCGAGACGGCGGTCTGCGTCTCGGCGAAATGGAACGCGATTGTCTCATCGCGTACGGCGCCTCGCAGCTCCTCCTCGAACGCCTAATGATCAGCTCCGACGCGACGGAGATCGACATCTGCGAGCGGTGCGGCTTGTTCGGGTACAAAGGCTACTGTAGCACGTGCCACAGCAGCCGCGAGGTCGCGCGCATGACTATGCCGTATGCCGCCAAGTTGCTCATACAGGAGCTCATCAGCATGAATGTTGGCGTGCGACTACAGTTGGAAGACGAGTTTCCGCACCCGAGGTAGGGGAATAGGTACATTAGGTACATAGAGATAATATGGAATGGAGTGGAAAATTACAGCTGCGATTGCAAGATATTACTTATATGCATTGGGCGGCGTACTTTTTTATTGTTGGCGTGGCATTGGCTGGCTGGCTTGGAATCATTCATGTAGTTATGTATGAAATAAAACTTGTATGATGAAGGGGGTAGCCGAGATCATATAAAAATTGCGGGTAATTATATTGTTTATAAGAGAACTCTTTTGGTGAACGTGAGCGTAGTTATTAAATACCTATCCACTCTGAAAATCGTGCTAATGATTCCAAAGAAAAATTGCAACGGGTATAGTTACATAGATGGCTCTTATTTGAAGTGATATGTGTGCAATTTATTTATTTACTGCAGTAAGGCTTATATATGCCAAGAGTCTCTGAATTCATCCGTATGATATACACAAACCCAGGCTGTATATTCATCCTCACGCCTCTATTCCCTCTTCCTCTTCCTCTTCCTTTTCCTCCCCATCTTCCTGCTTCCCCTTCCCCTTCCCCTTCCCTTTGCCATTCTTCTTTCTCCTATCCACACCCCGCAACCCCCCCATCGTAACCTCGAACTCCACTGCCCCATCTAGACCCGGCCCCGTCCCCGGCACATGCGGCGCGAAAACGACTTTCATCCACCTCCTCCAATTGCGCAGCATGGTCGTGGTCTCCCCGTCCTCGTCGTCGAGTACTTCCTTCCGCCCGTAGACCGGCCTCTTGAACAGCGCCAGCCGCGCCGCGATCTGCGTCGACCAGATCAGGCCTAGGCTGGGCGTCTTTAGGTTATGATCGCCGCTGCCGAAGGGATACGGGTGCTCGTCGCCCCAGCCCGTGAACCACCGCTGCTGGTGGTCGAGGAGCAGGGCTGCGGGGGGGGGGCTTCCTCGGGCGGTGGCTCCGGCATGCTGGAGCGCAGCAGCTCCGCCGTGCCGCTGCTAGGGGGCTCCAGGCCGGAGAGCTGCAGCGGCAGCGGCGCCGCGGGCCATCCTCTGCTTCGGTTTGCTAGGGGGCTTTCTTGCGACACGCGGGGTAGCGAAAATGGTAGCGGAACACTGCTCTTAGCAGGCCCGGCAAAGCGGTCTGCGACCTGGTTCGCTACCACGACGGCGAGGTCGTGTCTCCGCGCTAGATCGTGCAGTTGCTGGCCTAAGCGCACGAGCTCGTGGCTGCGGGCGGCGAGATTAGCGCCGCCTTTCGCGCCGCTGCCGGAGCCGCGCTCGAATTCCGCGCGGTAGTTGGCCGCGACGGAGTCCAGGATCAGGAGGCCTACGTTGCGCCGGGATACTTCGACCGGGACTTGGAAGCTCAGGATGTGGTCTTGCGACTCGAGGTCCGGAGTCATGGTGCCTACGATGCCGTCAAGAGTCGGGCGCTCGGTTGGGGGCAGGGTGCGCAGATAGGGGTGGTTGGCGAGCATTTGAGATAATCGTTGGGTCGAGAGCGGTGCTTCGGTGGAGATGTACAATGCGGGACGGCCGAGACCTCGGGGCGGTGGGAGTTGGCAGGCGAGGAGCAGCGTTAGGAGGAATTGCGTCTTGCCGGCGCCGCTTTCGCCCGTGATCTCGGTGATATATCCGGTAGGGATGCCGCCGCCAAGAGCACGGTCCAGATCATCATCTAGAGTGCTAATGGAATTCCAAGGTTTGGCTAGGAGCTCGGAGCCGGTTTGTCTTAAGACGCTGGTAGGACCTCTTTTCGCCTCGTCATTATTATTAACACCATTTCCCGGCTTCTTCTGCTGCTGTTGCTTCTGCTTCTCGGAAACACCGAGGTCAACATGCAGGGCGTCTAGTACAGCGGCACATAAACGCTTAATGTCAAGGAGCGCGGTAGCTGAGTACGCTTGCCGATGTCGGGGATCTGAAGAGTGAGCAGGTCGGCGGTAGTTAAGCCGTGCTTCTCGATGGCGGGCAGCAGATTCGCGTACCGGCCGATTGGGAAGTCCGGCAGGATCCGCGACAGATCTGTCATGGGGCTCGGGGTCCGGGCATTTGTATTTGCACTTGCATCTCACTATCCAGTGCCCTTTTTAGCCGATCCGACCGAACCGCGGTCTGCCCTTGGAAAATCGTCCACCACCGAATGTTTGGGTTAGTACCCGTGGTCTCACGATATCAGGTGACCTCGGTATAGGAAAGGAAAGGTTCAAGATAAGGGAGAAAGTTTAGGTAATGAAGTACCTAAGGTTTATTTTAGGCGGGGTTTAGGGTTAATAGGCTGGTAGGTAGTATGTAGCTACTTCCTAGATGCATGGATTGGGGTTGTTACTAGGGGCAGGTAGCATCCCGATTTCAAATCATACCCTTCGTAGGCTTAAACTGACCGCTAACCAGTGGAAGTGGATTATCGCCTAAGTCTGCCTCATTTGTGTTAGTAAACATCGTTTAGGTAATATCCCCTCTATCCCGCACGTGGTCTTATACAATTAATTCATCGGGATCTTTTGGGACTTTTACAATCCAAAATTCAACAATGATTAACTACACGATTTCATTTCATGTTTGCGTATTGACACTTACTATGGTACAACATAAAAAAGTATTCGGGTAGAAATTACAAATACTAGCACTTGCAGACTTTCCTTTATTTATTTGAGACTCGGTCATATTTAACAAGGATCTTTAGGCCCACTGCAGTTTGAAGAAATACCTACCTAAGTTACTATGTAAATGTTTGCTTCGTACGTGGTACCTAGCGTGAATGCTCATCCACGCTATTCGATGGCATATCTTAGGTACCTAACCATAATGAGATAAAGAGTCCGTCGGTAGACAATATCTACTAGACATAAGGAACAGTATCCACACTCGGCTTTCAACATACCCATCTTCTGCATCTTCTGCATCTTCTGTCCAACGAAATGGCGAAGATGGAAGGAAAGGGAGCTGAAAATTGCAAAATATTTACAATGGCTGTCTATTTTCAGCCGCAGTGTAACATTGGACTGCACAAACATACAAACCGGGCACCTAAATGCATGGGTCTCTCATGGATTTCCCATGTGGTGAGAATGCTCTGGATCCTCTCGAAGATCATCTCGGCTTTGTTTGCGAGAAGTGAAGCATTGCCTATCGATGCCGATGCTGGTCGAGCCCTGCCACATCTTTGATAAACGTTATGGATTTCAGCTCGCTCCGCTTTACTAAGCTCATATGAGAAAAAAAAACCAAGTCTGTCAAGAGGTCTCGCGGAGAGCTATCGAGTATAGCTTCTTGGCGTAGCCACCGAAAGCCCTTCAAGGCTTTCAGCTTCTGCAAGCCATCTCTAACGTTGCTATATCACTATTGGTTATGAATCCCTTTATCCTTGCTAGTTAATCTCCCCCATGCGAGAATAGGTATGGCTCAAGGCTGAATGGGTCTCTTCCATCTCAAGCCAGTGAGAAAACTACGAGTGCGGGATGTCGCTTGTCTAGACTGGGACGATGGACCCTCTGATTGCCACTATTGGGAGGTAATACACTGTACCAATCTCGACCAAGGTCCTCGCTCTTAATAAGAGGACGTGGGCGCCCTACACCCGCGTTCGCGTTATGCCTTTCTCTCTTTTCGTCTCTCTTCCCGTAGGTAACCGTCGTTCTCTGTAACATCCCGTAGTCGAGTAGAATTCCGATACATTCGACCTGGGAGAGCCAGACGTTCAGTTCCTACAGTTGCGTCGACTTTAGCATACCAAAATGGCGAGCCTCCTATCCATCGCGGCGTTAGTCACTGCCGTTCAGGCCTTAGCTCTCGATAAAACCCATCCCGAGCCAACTCAGGCGTCCAAGCCGGATCCAACCTTCCAGTCTCCCAAGATCACCTTACCCCCTAGTATTCAGGAATTGGCCAAGAGACAAAACGGACAGACCGTCCTTATAGGACCTGACAACACATGCGGATACTTCGATGGACGACCTGGTAATGAATCTTATACCCATCTAAAAATGACTGCCTAACTAATTATCACCGTAGGCGCTGTATACAGCTGCAACGGCGCGGATGTAACTTGCGCCCTAGTCACCACATCGACATACGGCGCTGTCGCCTGTTGTGATGGTGACGGTTGTGGTCTTCGAGCTGCATGTATCGATTACATGGATTTCGTGTACTCGAGCGCGTGTGACAATGGGTGTATTCAAGATACCTACACCGTAAAGTGGTAAGTTTCACACTACTGATAACTGCTATAAAATACTCATGATCTGGCAGTACGAGAAGTTCCGCTCCGTATTGCGGTACCGTTACGTTCTTTAATGGTATCGTCGATTATTACTGTGATACCCTGTCAGACTCGACGCCGCAGCAACTATACACTACGTGGCACGGTGAAACAGATGGCCGGACTTTCACTCCCGTTGTTATCACACTGGACGAATCAGTCGCAACAACCCCGTTTCCGTCTGCAACTGAGACCAGCAGCGACGATGATGATAGTAATGATAGTCGAACGTCAAGTGCAGGCTCTGCAGGTGCGACTACACCGGCGGATAGTGAGGACGGGGGTTCTTCAAACTCAAGCTCAAACTCAAGCTCCTCGAAGTCTTCGACAAATGTAGGAGCTATTGCTGGTGGTGTCGTAGGAGGAGTTGCCGGACTAGCTTTAATCGGCCTCGGAATCTTCTTCCTCATCCGTCACAATAATAAGAAGAAGCGCGATATTACTGCCCAGCCTCCCGCCGCCCAAATGCAACAAGGCGCTGGTCCCGGTATGCCGCCAACGCAACCAGCAGCAGGCGCCGCTGGCTACCAACAACCTTACAACCCGCACTACAGCCAGCAATACTCACCCCCGCCTCCCGGATACCCTCAACAGCCATACTACGCCGACCAGAACAAGCCCGGCGGATTCGCCGCCGTCGCACCCGCCCAGCTTCCCGACCGAAACGACTCGACCAGTCCCGTCAACTCCCAGTTCACGGACAACAGGCAAAGCCTACAACCCACAAGCCCGACTTCAACCATCAACTCCGGCTGGCAGCCCAACCAGCCCTACCCGGGCCAGCAACCCTCTCCCGTCCCCAACGTCCCGCCTACCGTACACGAGGCCGGCGGAAATGTCGTCGGCGAACGGAATTACAACGATAATCACCACGGACAACTGCACGAGTTAGGGAACTAAGGAGGGTTGTAGCGTGGGGTAGGGGTAGGGAAGAGAGGCATGGGTTAGGTTAAGCTATATATATATACACATTTTTACCAGTTCGTAGTTCGTAATGGGATCACGCGGCATTTGCATTGCGGAGTTTTTAAGCTTTGCACCCGGTCGGATATATAATAACAGGTAAATGCGGAAACGTGGTCTGTGAAATGAGATGCTTGATAATGGGTTTGGGTCTTGCATGAATGATATTGGGTGGGATTTAGTGGCTGGAGGAGTATATATTTACCTACCTATTTTAACTTAATCATGCTCGATGTTGTTTATTACTTCCATATCTATTTCTGCTTATACGGAATAGAATTACGTGTATAAGTCGTCATATACCGCTATTGCTAGCCGCGAAGCCGTACTACCAGGTTACTATATAACTATATATAATGCTGTAAATGTTATACATCAACCTAGCCTAGCCTAAGTACTTAGACATTCATCACCGACTCATATACCTACCATGATATCTAAAACATAATACCTGCTTAAGAGATATAGACACAAGCAAGAAGTAAATAATATTCAACGAGTAATTTTATACACTACGAAAGCACATGCAGCCAACTACGCTAGATACAACTAGGATCAAAGCAACAAAATACATATTCCGCTTTCTTTTCTTCTCATACTCTCCTACGCTCCCATATATCCTTAACAAACACCCACTCGCTGAGTATTGTATGTACCTATATACAACACGCCACACCACCTACTTACATCCCCTCTAAGCTCTTAGGGGGTTACCGCACTAGTCAATACTCAACAAGCCGCAACTTCTTCCCAATCTCTCTCCTACGCGCGTTCGCCGCCGCCCGATCTGATGCCTTGGTCTCATTCTGTTGGTCGAGCGCTTCACCGCGTGCTTTAAGCGCTTGTAAAAGCATGCCCGCGTCGAAGAAGCCGTCTATATGTATTATATTAGTCCTAATCATCTAAGACACCAGAGGAACTAGGGAAAAGAAAACTTACAGCCGCCCAACTCATCATCCTCGCTCATCATCAAACTCTCTTCCGTCGGACTCCTCGTCCCGGTCGACGACCGAGCTGCTAGCGCGCGCAAGCTATCCGCCCCAGTAATCATGCGGCCGCGGGTTTTGTTCGGACGATGGTGATGTCCCGTGCGCGGCTTATCCGGGTCGATTTCCCGAGCGCGCGTTTGCCGTGAAGTCGTGCCACGTCTATTCGTGATACGTAGTATTCGCCTAATCTCTAGGAGATAGCTTTCAAGCGTGTCCACGAACCGCTTCGTCTGACGGTGTTTACTCGACACGCATATTAATGCCCTCTTCTTTGATAATGTATCCGATGCCGAAACCGCCGCCCGATGTCGGTCCGAACCCGAATTGTCGTAGCGATGGGTTCCCGCAGTTGGAGGTTGATAAGATCGTGTTGTTTAGTTTGTCCCATCCCTGGTCCGCGAAGATAGCTGGTACTTGTTGATCTGCAAATCGCGAGTTAATGCTATCACCGCGCTGCCGCATTCGCAAATCTTCGTTGTTCGATAGTACGGATTCTTTGCCAGGACTGCCAACCGCGGACTCGGTGCCTTGCTCCGAGCCAGTTTCCATTGGGCTCGAGTACCCCAGGCTACTACCCGAACGACTATCTCCGTCTAGAAACCTTTGCCACACACAGAATAAGGCGTATAAATGCCGATCGCAACCCCGTCCTTTCGAACATTCCTTAGTGGCGTTAACATGCTGCTGGCATGCTTTACGTAGAGCCTCTACTTTCGCCTCCGCAGGATTATCTGCCCAAAACGCCTGAACAAAATTCACACCGCCTCCTCTGATACGGTCCTAACAGCCTCGGTCCTACCGTGGAGGTAGGCCTTGGTCATGGCTGGCTCGTAAGTGCATTCGACTCGCCCATATAGCCCATAGTAGGCTGCTTGGAAGGCCATCTGGACAAAAGCATCTGGAGAAAAGCCTGCAGAGGTGATATAATTCTTACCGTAAGCGCTGAAGTCCAGGCATTCAAATTCGTTCTGGCTGATGAGATCTGCAAGTCGAGTTTCGGCAAACCGTATAGCAATATTAAGCTCTGGTGATATGTCCCATTCTAATTTATGAGGAGTCGTGGTAACGTCCCCAAAACTCTCCGGATCACGCTTCGACGGGTCCGGACTTGCCGTTTTCCAGAGACTGGGGGCTTGGCCATTGATAGTCCTTGCGAAGCGTAATATGGTGTCTGTGTAAAGGTCACTGGCGAATCGAAGTACGGTGTGACCATCAACGCCGGTATGCTCAAAATTGATACCCGCACTTCCGTTTTTGCACACAATGATCTGAAGTTTATCGTACCATCTATTTATGCAAGTGCCAATTTGTACTCCCTTCACTACGTCGTTCGTACCGCAAAGCATATTCTGGCACAGTGCAGCTGCCGTAGAGGGCTCCGTGTAGTCGAGACATAACACAAATAAAGCCGAGTCGACAATACCGAGACAGTCTGCGTTATTGGACCCCTCCTCCTTAGTAAGAACATCCCTTAACCCAGACCAGATCTTTCGATTTTCTGTGCTTAGAATTCCAAGAGCCCCTTTGGCGGCTTCCTGGATGGGCGTTTGAGCTGCATCGTCTATTATTGTTTGGAGATTGATCGAAATATCTCTTTCGCTCATAATAAGGTCCGAGTTGTCATCTAGTACGTCAAACCAGTAGAATTGGCCGTGGCATAATACAACAACGTGCTTAGATTCAGGGTCCTGTTCGATTTGGCAGCCATTTTCAGTCGGTACACGAGCAGTGCCAAAGAGCCGTGAATATTGATACATATCTAGCGGTATGCCTTTAACTGTATCCGGTGGCAATTCCTCTCGGCGTACTGCTCGCACAAATTCTAGCGCAGATACGACGAGGGATGCAGCACGAGTAACCTGGTTATTCCTCGCAGGCGTGGGGTCATCCTCTAATAAGAAAAAAGGGTTCAGGTTTAGGACGACAGGATTATCGAAATTTAGGTACGAATCATACCCTTATGTATAGTAACCGTTAGTAAAGGTGACAGCCATACAATAAGAGTCAACTTACAGAATTGTTCTATATAACTGGTTTTTCCGATTGCATACTCTTGTAATTTCCTCTGAAGTTCTGGACCATCTTTCTTCAAGAACTCTTGGATAGCGAGCTTCGTTTCGGAATGCTCTCTGGGTCCTTGCAGTGGCTTCAGTGCGGCTAGGTACTTCTTGCACGTTTGTTCTAGGTCCGGTATAGGTAGCTTAGGCAAACTATCTTGATGAGCAAACGTAATTCCGCCTTCCTTGGGCCTCTCTGGTATCGTCTCCATTATTGGAACTCGGCCCCTGAGTTCAGGACTCGCCGGCCTCTCGTTTTTGCGTTCTTGGGTAGAAGAAGGCGTAGGTGTTGATGAGCTGCCACTAAGAGTCTCGCCAAGAGACTTTGGCATAGCAAAAATACGAACTTGAGTAGGCATAATGTCAGCTAACTTCTAGCAGATTAGGTATATAAAGGCGAGACACAAGTATTGATATTCAGGCCGCGCAAGGCTGTGCGGTAAAAGTAATGACAGTCCTGAAAACAATAGGGTGGCATCACACTTGAGATATGCCCTGACAAGGGAAAGGGTAAAGTAGTGTCATATAATAACGAGGGAAAGGTATCGAAGGGGGATAGAAGCTATAAATCAACCCGGAGGCCGAGTATGAGACAAGAGTCTTCAATGAATAAGCCAGGGGTGGATCCACGACCAGAGACCCAAGTCCTAGGATGCCAACCCAATTGCATATAGTTCGCTATCACATGTGTGAATGGAGCTGCTAGTTGGTGGCACATCCTTTGCGTAAAGAAAGGGACATGATTGGTCGTAGTGTAATAAACTGAACTAGATACTCATCCGCAGGACCGACAATATAACATGAATGGAGAAATAGGATAAACTGCCGAGAGTTCTGGGTAAAGGTACTAGAGATGAAACGGAATCTCACATACCTCCAACCAGGACAGCGGGTCTAGCGAACCGCCCGGACGGGTTGTATATGCGACCTTAAGGCGTTATTGTAAAGTAGATTTGTATTAATGAAATAACTCAATAGTAAGAAATATTGTAATATGTCACGGGTTGCTTTCTCTAGAATTTGTATTAGTACTTGTATCTACTAGAACGTCACGCAGGGACTACACCGAATAGTAACAATGATACCAAAAATGGCTAGGCACAGGACAGGCAAAGAGATGAGGTCAGAGCTCGAACAAGATAGAGAAGGGTACATAATTCGAGAACCCACCAGAGATACCTTCCTAGCCTGTCGCAATGACGACTGACAAGTAACCATCCCCACGGGGTCAGCCTGGCGCAAGTCGCAAGTGTAGTGTAAAGAGCTCAAAGGACAAGTCTAGGTCGTGGGGTAGACTTCGGACAAGTGGATGAAATCTGGTTGGGCAATCGGGGGAAAGGCGGCCTTAAAGCCCTCGTGCTCGTGGATTCGGATCGGAATGGGGTCGCGCTAAAGCAATCTACCTCGAAAAGAGAAAGTGTTCTACTACGTACCGTAATCTAAAGGATTTTGGTAACGTTCTTGCGAAGGAAAAGACGTGCTGCTCTCTTCGTTAATCGCGATTCGAATAAAAACCGAGGATGACGGATCTGGTTCATCTATCGGCTAAGCGACTGAGGTCGTCTCGTTTATAGTAGTGAGATATATTGATATAAAACGGGCATAGACCTTGAGGAACGTGACCAATGTGACCTCAGCTGACGATGCAGAGCTGTACCTAGACAGCCCAGGGATCCTAAAAGGAGAAAAAGCGGAGTAAATAGCTGCGCGCTCTGCAGTATTAAGTTGCTTGGGACCCCGGAATCCTTAAAGTAGTAACAACCTGTTTTCGCTCTTCCTTACAGTTATTCGAGAATGCTCCCTACTATAAGAGCCAAGCTATTATTGGTGCGCACGAGGGTAAATGACGACGTGCAAGGCTGCAACGCGTGCTAGGAGAAATGCATGTGAATCTGGCTTAGATAGGCGAGATGTCAGCAAGATTGGAGAGTCAACAACCTTGAGCACAACCTCGTCAAAGAGGAAAAACAACAGCCCATATCTTATACCCGAGGACAAGCAAGCCCTATAGGTTCGATATCTACCTACACCTCGATCCGAATGTTTGATCGTGTTTCGGTCGGATGAGTGCTTCTTCAAGAAGCAAACCGATGTGCTGGTATTCGAATTCGGATAGGATGGGATAGGCTTAGTCGAATCCCGGGCAAATGGACGGGAACCCCCGCACCTGACGATCCTAACGATAGCTTCCGGACGCTAGAAAGGTCCCGCCCCGATCTACAGTTGTTTGCTTATCATTGCTTCGGTATCTTACAAATAGATAAAGGGCCGTGAGTATTTGGAGGCGGCACGGCAATCGCTCGTGGAACAGAGATATTAGCCGTTCCGGGAGCCGACGTGATTCGTCGAATGGTATAGCTAATGCGTATCGCGGGGAATTAAATATTTGTAGGTGATACTAAAAGCAGTTCCCTTTTTTCAGTACTTCCCGGTTATCTCTCGGTGATTTCGTCTTTGTGGGCGAGCGGGGTGGCGTTTCGATGTGTATACTTGATATAAGCCAAGTCTTGTAGTAGCAAAGTAGGCTTATGTTATCCAACGGGAAGACTTAGAAATCTGCGGTTCTGGATTGCTAAAATCAATATTGTAGCTGAGTGCTTGTAAAGACTAGGTTAGGTGCTTGAGTTCATCCGACGAGACTGTCGGCTTAGATCTGAAATAATATTGGAAGTATGAAGCTAATACTAATGGCGTACTTTAGAAGAACTCTTAAAGGCTTACTTCGAAAGTGAATTGAATGAGGATAAGGTATGACAAGATTATATGTTACCACTTGAAAGGAGCTCAACTATGAGGTCTCATAATAATATTTATTTATTGCTATCTTAAAAGTATAAATTTTCATAGTATGAACATGCAATGCAGGAACTACGCAGAAATGATATTACTAATGCGAGCTTAGTCGTAATTCGACATTTGCACTTGCCCTTTAGCTGAGAGAAGCTGAGAGGTTTTATTGAAAGGTGGAAGCGAATCCGAAGTGGGCCTAATTTAGTATAGGACCTAATATTAGGTAAGCGGGGAGTCGATGGACCATACACCTCCAGTATTTTCAGCACTGTTGCACAAGGGTTAACTATATCTGTTGTTCGCACCGCTCGCAAAACTTTTCCTATTATGTTAAAATGAGGTTGAACCTTACATAATTAAAAAGGGGAGATATCCATCTTCGGAGTTTTGTGCTAGTTAAGGAGATAATAGAGGTAACTAACATAGCCACAACCAGAAAACCAAGTGTCAATTCGGATTACTCTGCCACTCTGGGGTTCTTGGTGGATGTTTTAAAAAAATTAGGGTGAGGCTCAAGTTTCTATTTTCTGCTCGGATCTCCACGTCCTCGGACTCGCTTAAAGCTGATAGACGCATCTTTTAGGTAAGCAATCCGATTATATGACGTGTTGACCACTCAAACGCGCCCAGGCTCCCCAGGTTCTCTACCTATTCCAGTAAAAAAGACCGTTGTCGTTAATGCCGACAATGCTACCTAAGGCGGATTATCCACCTTTGCCCTATGAATAGTCTCATCTTTTATTTATTTTCTACCAACAGCTTGCGAATGCGAACTTTGGATTCCAAATACTCAAGACAGGACCGTGGATGCAAGCTATGATAGTTGTCCTCCGTCAAGGTGCTGTGCCGCTGATTCGCGTTGTTGGGGGTATATATGACAATAGGGTCGCTTCACTTAGTTTTCCTTCGAAATGTTAGATAATTGTTAAATTTAAGACATTTTTTTGAACATATTGCCTTGTATAGAGATATCTGACCATTATGTTGATCGATCTATTAACCCGAGCCTTCAAATCGAAGAAGGATGATAAACAACAGCACAAACCGATAACACCATGTATACACGAGATGAATATCGAGCAAGACGAACTAAATACCCAACCCATAGAGGAGGCTTTTCAACCCGGGAGCTGTCTCCAATGCAAGGCCGAGAAGCGAGAGGCTTCCAAGTATCGATGGAAACTTGTGCTATGTCTACTCATGCCTTATGCTCTTCAAGCACTCGACGTAACCATGTACGACAAGCTACATTAAATCATCCGAGTATAATGAGACTGACCTGTATAATAGTGTCGCTAGTGCTTTGCCATGGATTGCTGCAGACTTCGGTATGAGACTATCTCCACAACTGCTGAAGTGGTTCAAGAGTTCAGACTAACATAACTTCAGGCGAAATCGCCCAACTCAACTGGATCATCTCAGCCTTCAACCTGACTTCGGCCGCATTCATACCCTTCTGGGCACAGATGGCCGATATATTCGGACGACATTGGTCTCTCCAGATGTGCTCCTTCATCATGTTAGTCGGCAGCGCCTTATGCACCGGTGCCCCAACGACTGCTTTCGGCGCTTTCCTCCTCGGTCGAGCTCTCCAAGGTATTGCCTGTGCGGGGCTTAACACAATCATTCGTGCTATATTGGCAGATAAGGTGTCTTTGGAAGAGAATGCGAAGAACTGGAGTCTCTTCTCACTAGTAGGGGGCTTATGTTATGGGCTCGGCCCCGTCATTGGCGGTTACCTCACTGCGGCCACTGGACGGTGGTGGTGCTTCGGGATCAACCTGCCTATTGCTTTCGTCGGCATCTTGGTCATCTTTTTCTTCCTTCGGAACGACCTCCTAGGGCCGCAACCGATCCCCGAATTAGATGAGAACGAGACCGGTCATCGACAGAAATTCGCCAGGCGCATTATGACTCTTGATATCGGCGGACAGCTTCTATTTCTGTTCGGATTTGGTCTCATAATCCTGGCCTTGACGTGGGGTGGTGCAACTTACGATTGGAACGATGCTGCGGTACTTGTTCCTCTCATCGTCGGTACCCTGCTAGCGGGCGCTTGGCTTTACTACGAATACTCCATGGCCCCAGGCGGTGCATTGTCGTTGAAGTTGTCGTCCCAGCGGCCCATGTTGCCTTGGAACATTATGAAGAACCGAAATATTAGCCTCTTATCCTACATCAACTTCGCCACGGGGATGGCTATGTATAGTGTAAGTAAATTACCATATCTAGAAGCAAAACTAACTTGCTAAACTGTATAGGTTCTTTACTTCGTCGACATTTACTTCACAATTGTTAAGGTAAGATTTATGTGGGCTAGGATGGCTCAGTATTATGTTTGTTTATATAAAATTGCTAACATAATTTATAGGGCTTTCTTTCTGATAAGGCCGGCGTTCAGTTATTGTATTATACGCCAGGGCTTGGAGGTTGGTTAAAGTAGCCCCCCTATTCTGAACTATATGGCTAACCTTTGTAGTCGGTGTATACCTCTCGATGTACTTCTGCAATGTCTGGCCTCGTCAAACATTCCTACCCCTATTCCTCGGCTCCGTAATAGAGGCCATCGGCGTCGGTATGATGGCGTACGCTCTATATTTCGAGCACTCGGCCACTATATACGGCATGATGGCCCTCACCGGCGCAGGTACAGGCCTACGATTTATGCCTTGTGAGTAGATACTCCTTTATAATAAGGCAACCCATCCTCTAACTCATAACAGGCAGTCTCCACGCCATCGGGTTCTTCCCGGACCACGTCGCAACAGTGATTTCTGTAATGGCTGTTGCTACGACATTCGGAGGCACATTGGCTCTTACTATCATGTCCGCTGTTTTCAATAACACATCAGGCATCTCGAAGGATTCCCCTTTCCAGAATGACTACGACGCTTTGCACAAGCTCCCAGATGAGATAAAAGCCCACGTTATTGAGGGCGTCAAGGTAAGTCCCTATAATCACTATTCTAGTTAAATTGACTAACGCCTTGGGTAGAATGGAATTACTTGGGCATTCGTCGCACTGACTCCATTTATGGTTCTTGTAAGTTGTGATATTCACCTATATTCATATTACAGTACTAACAAATCAAACAGTGCGTACTCGTATCAGCGTGTCTAGGCAATGTAACCATTATCAAGAAAACCGACGGTGCTGAGGCTGCTAAGGCCGAAGCCTCGGGTGATCATCTGGTGCATGGAAGCTACTTGCTCTCTCTGATATACGGAAAGAGTGACCCAGAGAAAAGCGTAGAGTTTGGGAACAGGAGGTCGGACCAGCAGCCTATGATGAAGCACATGAGTTAAGGGTGAGATGGAGAGTTATTTGCTATATTATGATACCCTTTAAATCGAAACGGTTTGGTTTTTATAAAAATGAAGAGATGCTTGGATACATGATTAGATGTATAGATTTAGGAAAATATCACCAAGGTAGATTTTTACGAATATAAACGAAGAGTCTGTGTATATGCATTAGTACCATTACGCTGTCCCAAATAATTTTATAATTAAGATGGAATAGATGAATCCTGAGAGCTAATGTAATAGTGAAGTTATAATTGCATAAAAATATATATGACGAGTATAGAAGTTTAAACGCATGGGAGTAAGGAGCTAGGTTAGACATGTAAAGCTCGGGATGTACCTACTACCTACTACCTATCCCCCGCTATTCTCTTGTCTCACAACTTTAGACTCAAAACTCACTAAGCAATACTAATAACTGCATCATTGGTCTTGCGCTTAGACACATGAATAATACGAACGCGGGGAACAAACTTACCTAACGTATATCGCAACTACTAGTGTCGCAGGTATCAAATTAGTAGAAGAGAGCTCTTTGCGACTAAGAGGTAGTAAGTGAGATCGAAACGTCACTCACTGGCTCACTTACTCATTAAACTACCCCCCAACCCAACCCGCCGCAATGGCACCCTCATCCTCATCCTCACCCCCACCACGCCCGCGTTTCCGCCTCGAATTCCGCACCATAAGCGACGGCCAGGACGCCGCGCGCGCCCAAGCCCTCACCCACGCCGGCCACCACGCGCACCGCAGCACGTTCCCCCAGTTCCCCTCCTGCCGCCCGAGCTACGCCTCAAGATCTGGGAGTACCTGTTAGCGCCGCGCATCGTAGCAGTAGCCTGCATCGACGACGACGCCCCGCCACCAGACGATGCCGACGACGACGACGAGCCCCCGTCCCCATGGCCCTCGTTCCCCGACCTGCAGGTCCCGCCCCCGAGCGCCGTGCCCGCTCTCCTGCTCGTCAACCACGAGGCCCGCGCGCTAGCGCTGTCGCGCTACGAACCCGCGTTCGCGTGGAAAGTCCCGTACGTCTTCGTCGCCAACTCCCCGTCGCACGGGAGCGCGACGTCTACGAGTACAGCGTCGGCAGCGGCATCGTGGTCGCGGCCGCGCGTCTGGTTCGACTACGAGCGGGACGCGTTGTATCTTGTCGGCGAGCTGGAGCCGTGCGACAGCTACGGGTTCAACAGCGCGATGGCGTATTTCCTGCGGCGCGAAGAGGCGCTGCGGGTACGGCGGCTGGCGGTTGCGTTCGGCGCCCTGCGGTACGGGGAGGTGGGTCGCAGCACATTTTCGGGGCGCTGTTCCATGTTGTGGATCGGTTCGCGCGGATCGAGGGGGGGAGGGTGTTGGTTGCGGTTGTGCCGAGGGACGAGTTTACGCATTTACTGATAGGAGGGGAAGGGCCGTTGGTGCGTCCGGAGGCTGAAATAGGGAGTAGCTTTAAGAATAGGCCGGGGGATGAGGGGAATATTGTGCAGAGGATCTGGAGGGATTGGTATAGGGGTACGTCGGCGTTGGCGAATGCGCAGTTCGAATTGGTCCCGGAGGCGGAACTGCCAGAACTTATCGCGAGGCCGACTAGGTCTGCTACGACTCGACCGTGGCAGTATCCTCACTAGACAATATTGAATATTCATATTCATAAAACATATTCATGTGATACAATACGATTACATGATTTATATACACTGCCCTCTTCGGTTGAGTGGTGACTGGCTATTACCAGAACGACATGTATGGTACATATTTACATTATACATCTCCTCCAAAATTCGTAGTTCTAGTCGTTAAACTCGAATCTATGGCCGTTTTTACTTTACCGCTGGTCTTTTTCTCGTTTGTTCATAACTCTGCATAGTGCAGGGGCACCGCTGTCGTCTGGGCGGCCTTTAATACCTCCTAGTAGCCAATCTGTTAGACCTACGACTTTAGCGCCTAGGCCCCTTTCCCATTCCCCGTGCTCGTCTACGTGCTCGATCGTGTGACTTATAACTCGGCCCTCTTTGTCGAACTCGAAGATGAATAATCCGGTGAATGCTTTTTTCTCGCCTATGGCCTGTGTGCCTCTGAGGGTATCGTCGAGCCTTTGCTCGCCCTCTTCTGTTACGGTTGGATTAGGGCTTTTTGGCTTGCCATCTGCCGTCCTCCATTTAACCACCAATTGTTCGCCGTATGCTTCGGATCGTTTTGGGGAGGAGTAGAATGGCTGGCTAACCATTCGTTCTGAGAGTATCTCTAGCTTGACATTACCGATTATGGGAACTCGATTCCATGCTAGTGGGGACGTCCATAATGCTGCTATATATGCAACTCGGCCGGATACTGTAGGGAGGTATGGATGTGTCGAAGGAAATAGGTGGAGAGAGATATGAGGCGATAGGATCTCCTGCGGCAGTGGAGATTGCAGTAAAGTAGGAAGTCGTTCTTGAAGAATGCGCAGTGCTAGAGACGAAGTTAGCCTAGCTCGCATAGGTTAAATATGGGAAACAAAGTCGTACTCTTCCCTAGCTTGACTTTCCGTTCGTCTTCCGGTCCGCGCGAATCACCGGGTCCGAAACGTGGGAACGAAGAATTGAACCATATTGGGGGTAGGCTCTGATGTGGTGAGAGGTGGGCTGTGGTAGGAGGATGTTTTGACGCTATGGTCGGCGTGGCAGGACATGGTGTAGGCGAGGAGGTAGCGTAAATAGCGGGTGTGAGGACGCGCAACGCAGTTTTTGAGCTTGCGGTGTTGGACTGCGCTCGAATAGCGACGCTGGCTGGGAGGGACATGTATCTGAGGCCTCGATGGCAGCTTTCGATAAGCTTACAGACGCATCAATTCGCCTTGAGAGTACTAGTCTGAGTTGAGAAAAGGTATCTAACTACCTAACTATAGGCTCGTAGAGGCTCACGTGTGGGTAAAAAAGCATGTAGAAATACATAGCCGTAAGTTTATTACTGATTTCTTAGGAATTTTAGTATGATGTAAGTGAAGCTTCGGCTTCCAAGTCGAATTTTAAGTATGGTAGTACCCGGTACCGGTAGGCCGAAGCATAGCGGGGTTCCACTAAAAGTATACCGAATATGTGGGAGTACAGGGCTGCAGGGGTTGGTTTTTGGCTTTCAGAGCTGTTTCTCAGCCCGGAACCCACCGAACCCTCACTTAATTCAGCTGATGTTTCTGGTCATTGCTTTTCTTTTTTTTCTTTTTTTTTCCTTTCTAAGATGGGTTTCTCGGCTGATCACCTGTACGAAATAATTATGTATCGCTGATACCCGGGCGGACGTTCTAGAATATATCCGTAAAATGATCAATGATGATATGGAAAAGTCATGGAAAAGTCATGGAAAAAGTTGGTTAGTGGTACTTGACCGGATCTTACCGACATTATCTTTATCGAACCTTAGAAGCCTTGGAAATTCTTTCTTTATCGCTATATTGATTAAGAGCTCTTATTAACCCAATATATTGTACATAATATTGCATAAATATGAATACGTCGTTTGCAATAAAGGTATCGTGCACAAGTGTTCGTGGATGAATGGTTGAAACATCCTTTGTCGTAAAAAGTTAAACGAAACATTAAAGGATACTAGAGTCGAATGCGATACAATTAGGTGGTGTAGATTAACACTTGCCAATCATCAGCTTGCAGGTGTCAGGTGTAACATGAATGTCTTTTTCATATATTTATGTACATTGTAATGTATTACCTTAGTTTAAAGGGGGCTTTTGCCTCGTGATTAGATCATTAGATCCGGTGGTTAGACCGACTTGCCGACTTTATGTAAGTATGTTATGTACATTAGGTACATACTATGTAAGCAGCTGGCAATTGTAGCACGCCAATAATTATTAGTCTTAGCCTATCTGAGTCCCCCGGTCCTATTCTATCTCAGTGTGCACAGGGCAGTTGACGGTGAATGCAGGTGGCCCTTGACGTTCCTTGACGCAGCAGCCTACAACTTGTCTCATTAATTCTCTTTCTACATCATCAACGCTAACGACTGTTCTCTTCTTTTACATCGTCCGAAGAGCCGTTTTCCTTCGCACATCGCACTCATCTACATTAAATCTAACCTAACATTGTCCATCGACTTCAACTTGCTTATCAGCGCCTATTTGATCCATTAGACTACCTTGTTGTCTTGTTAAGGCAGCGCACTCATCCCCGTCAAGATGAATCCTGAGTAGTATGTACGCCCCTTATAGTAAAAATAAGTCGCCCAGCGACAGCAGTGTCGACGATGGTACTAACCTGGTACACAATAGTGCATACCCCACGCCTTGTCCTGTATTTTCCTATGCCTTCTCTTCTGCATGAATCAACAAAAACCTCAACCAAAATACCCGATGCTACACTAAGAGCATCGCAACCTCGTCAACCATGGAGCCCTACCACACTCCCCAGGTTTCTGGTCTCCAGCCACAAAATCAAGCCAAACTACGCGAGGTTTTAAGTTCCCAAGGTTACCCGCTAACTCGCCCTCTCGATAGATACGATTACCTCTTCAAGCTCCTCCTCATCGGAGATTCCGGTGTTGGAAAGTCTTGCCTTCTATTACGATTTGCCGATGATACCTACACCGAATCGTACATCTCAACCATCGGTGTTGACTTCGTATGTGGAGTTGACTGCAAACACTTTTTCGCAGCATAGGTGCTAACTACATACAGAAAATCCGAACTATCGAGCTTGATGGAAAGACAGTGAAGTTGCAAATTGTAAGGATAATATTCCGACTCATGCACCCCCTTCCAGCCTTCCAGCCTTCCAGGCACATTTGCTTACTAGAAAATAGTGGGATACTGCTGGCCAAGAACGATTCCGGACTATCACTTCCTCCTACTACCGAGGTGCTCACGGTATCTGCGTGGTCTACGATGTCACCGACATGGACAGCTTCAACAACGTCAAGCAATGGCTGCAGGAGATTGACCGATACGCTACCGAAGGCGTCAACAAGCTACTCGTAGGCAACAAGAGCGATATGTCGGACAAGAAGGTTGTCGAGTACACAGTTGCGAAGGTATGGGGTTCTCCACGCTACTCCTAGCCTTGCGTTCCATGACAACATGATAGCTAACTGAACCTATAGGAGTTCGCTGACAGCCTTGGCATCCCGTTCCTTGAGACATCGGCCAAGAACGCTTCCAACGTCGAGCAATCTTTCTTGACCATGGCCCGACAAATCAAGGAGCGCATGGGAACCCAGTCCACCACGAACACTAAGCCTGGTGTTCAAGTTGGTCCCGGACACAGCGTCTCCAACTCGTCCAGCGGCGGCTGCTGTTAAATCAGCAAACTATGATACCCTCGTACAGCAACATCCTCGCATCCATTTTGATTTCCTGGGACGGACTGGCAGGAGAGGCATGCATGTGTAATCAGGATGGCAAGGGGGTAGGATGTGTTTACTTTTCGCTTTTGACTGCGGATAGATGAAATGATCACTTCACTTGGATCCTACCTAATCGCCTAATCGTCCATCGAATCGTTCTGCGGAGACGCAATGCGTCACTTCTGGCATGTGAGAGCGGGTTCATATAATGGTCGAGGAAAGGCTACCAGCCTAATTCTCAAATGTTACGTACTAATGCAATTTTTCTCATGACTCGGGCGAAGCCTTCTTTGTACTAGAATTTGTCCGGCTGCTTTCTAGAAACCTCTGGCATTTTTGCGGTTTGGGAGATGATGATTCTACGTTCGTGTGTATTTTCCAATGGTCTTGGATGGGGGAATCGAGAGAAACGACAGATAGGGAAAAGATAGTCGACGTTCCCCGTCCTTTATGGCCATACTCTCGTTCCTTTTTCCAGTGTAACGCATTCTTTGCAAATCAATGGCTACTTAATCAGACAGACTTGCGCATAGGAATTTTGACTCTGCTTGTGATGCTAAATTTGTGCTATTTTCGTATGCCCTAAGGCAGCTTAATCGGCTGCTGCTTGTTCTGGGTAGTATTGAATTAATGAGAGCACGACCTATTACAAAGTTTCATAAAAATGTAAGCCATGTTATACTGCCTACCATTCCTCAAGACCAGCAGTTCAGCTTAAGGCACATACTTACGCGGCCACGAAGAGACGGTGTCTAGCTGACTTTAACTAACTAACTACTCATATATATGTCCTAGATAGAAGCACATACATATTAAATAATAGAGGCTATCCTCCAAGAAAGCATCGAATCATAAATATTCCTATATCGTCATCGTCCCGAGTCATCGAGTCAAACCCCCTTTGTTCCCCATACAACGCTGGAAAATACTACCAACCCCTTCCTACCCAAATACAGACACCGTGGTCCTAATATAGTATAGTATAGTACAATACAACAGAACAAAGCTAATGCCTAAGAAATATATAACCACGTACATAGGAGGTAGATGTAGATACCGTAGCACAGTATCATCGCTCTGGAACCAACCAACCTCGAAAACCGTAGATGTGTAGAATTAAACCGGAAGAATTATCCCAACACCAAGCCAAGAGAAAACAAGGAATGAAGAGGGGAGGGAAAGTCCCTCATGTAGCTAACCCGAGCCACTTCAACGCCTTCCGACTACTCCCCTTGCGCGGCCCCCCGCGCCGCCCGTACAGCGGCATGTACTTGCGCGCTTCGGCCGCGAGCCGCGCGTCCTCTTCGTCCCAGCAGGATTCCCAGTCCCATACCTCGTCTTTATCCTCGTCTACACCGCCGTGGGTATCTGGCTCCCGGCCCAGGATATTCCGGAGCTTGTTCCGCTGGCTACGGGTGGTCCGGGTGGTCCGGGTCGAAGTTACGGAGCCTTTGGAGGATTTGGGTTTGGGCTGGGGAGGTTTGGTTGCGGAGGGGGGTGGGGGTGGTGGGAGAGGGGCTTGGAGGGAGGGTGGAGGAATTCGGGCTGGTGAGGATGAGGATGGGGATGAAGATGAGATTGATGGAGAAGGCCGGTGTTTGGGTGGTGGAGGGGGCGGGTTGGTATCGGTGTATACGATGAGTTGTACTCCGCCGCAGCATCATCATCACCACCAATACACTGCCGCCGAAACCCCATAATAGCCGAGGCACTAGTCAGCGAAGCAGGCTGCTGCGAAGTATTTATCAACGGCGTCTGAGCCAACGGCCTCCCTTGACTATGCGAGTTCGCATCCCTCTTAGCATCCCGATCGGCATGCATCGAAGCCCTCGACGACACCGCCGCCATGCCCTCCGGGATGTAGAACGCCGAGATGTCGATCAGGATCTTCCAGATCGTTGAGATCAGCGTCGCGATCTCGGACTCGTTCGCCGAGGACGTCAGCAGGAAATTAGCCTTGGCAAACGAAGGGGTCTCGCGGCGCTTGGCGCGCGTCGGGGTTGGGGCCAGGAGCGTGGCCCCGGATCGCGTGGTGCTGCGCAGGATGCCGGGCCCCGAGTCGGTGCGCGGGTGCGCGGCCGTCCGGGCGGCACTTTGAAGCCGGGGTATGGTTGCGGCGAGGTGGCTGCCGAGTGCAGGATCCCGGCTACTTTGAGCAGGTCGACGCCGACTAAGCGCTGGAGGGCTAGCACGGTGGATAGGTGCTCGGGGGGGTACTCGAGGAGGAGGAACCGCGTTGCGGAGTGCGCGGCCATGTACGTCTCGAGGTGGGGGATGATCAGCGTGGCTAGGAGGAGGGGGTTGGAAAAGGGGTTGTCCTGGGTTTGGTTGGTTAGGGGCTGTGCGGTGAAAGCTTGCATGGCGTTTGCGATGAGGAACCTACATCACATCGACGACGGATTATTAACTTCACATTACTTCATCAAGGGTCTCACTCGGTATGATAGGATAGGATAGAATGGCTCACCTCAAATCCAACCTCCCGCTCCGACTAACACCGTTCGGCTTCGTGCCCAGCTTCTCCAACGACCCGCTAATCGCCCCGAGGAACTCCCTGTCGACGCCCTGCTGCGCCCCAATACCCAGGATGAGGTCGACTTTGCGCCTCCGCTGCTGCTGCTGCTGCACAACCGTGCCCGCGTCTGCTTCCCGGAACACCGGCTTCCAGAGGCTGCTGAGCTCGGGCAGCAGCGGGAAGTTGAACTGGTGGTAGCCGGCGTCCTCGGGCGGGAAGTAGATGTTGAGGATGGAGCGGAGCGAGTTCTGCATGCACACTGCTGTTCGGCAGTTTGTCGTTGTGAAGTCGTGGAAGTGCTTCTCTGGGTTTCCCATGGCTAGGGGCGGTGTTTGGGCGGGTGTTGGTGGGGTGGAGGGTCTATGGTTGCTTACGTCTGGTTTGAAGGGCCAGGTGCGCGATGGCTGGGGGTATTTCTCGTACGCGAAGGGGTCGTAGTCATCGGAGTCTGCGTGACAAGCCGGTACAGCTTCTTCATGTTGAACATGGCTATGTCTCTTGTTGTCAGAGGTCGTAGATTCTAAGTCTTGTTGACTTGAAAGACTTGATTGCTGGCTGATCCTTTCTGCTTCAGGTTCTGATGGCGATTTAGACATGGGGTATTTGCCCTCTCGGAAAGATTGAATCGTTGCCTCCAGCCGAGGATCACTCTTCTCAGACTTGAAGAATATCACTAGGTTTTCGACCATAGGTAAAATTGGCTCGTAAGTCTCATGGGGGTCGGCTTCGGCAGGAGTTTCAATATAGAGAGATATGGAATCTCTTGTATCAGACTTGGAAATCCTACCGGTTAGTTCCGACTCCGTAGTCGTACCCCTATCCACATAACTATTCCTTGGATTTGTACCGCGATCGACGTAAGTCATTGGTCGTAGCGATACTTTCTGAAGCCTAAGAGGAGAAGGTGGGTTGCGTCTAACTATAGACCTCTTTGGCGTGCTGAAAGTAGGTCTAGGGATTTCGGTCGTGAACTTGGATCGGGGCGTTAATTTGTCCTGGCGGACCCCTTGGCTTACATCTAGACTTTGCGGTCTCGACCGGGGCGGCTCTGGAAAACTACATAGTAGAATGTCTTGGTTGCGTATGGCGCTGGAGTAGATTCGATCAACAGGCTTAATCTTCTTATGGGAAGTGGTCGTGGCAGGGGGCCGAACTTGGACGGCAAATGCTTCGCATATCGATGGTGTGTTTGGGATCGACTCAAGCTTGAAAGATCGCGGGCTACTCAAGTCCAAACTCGCAGGGGACGGTTTGCTTTTACGACGCTCCTCTTCCGGACTATATGGAGATCCAGGTTGGTTGTCCGGTTCCTTCGTTCGCGACCCGGCCGGCTCCAAGACCCGCTGAGTAGTCTTTCGTAAATCCGCGGTGGTATGGCTGCGACGAGGAGTCTGGGAGGAATCCGAGTTGTGAGTATTCCTCCTCTGCCATTTGCGAGCCCCGAAGACATAGAAAGGGGTTGCGTTTTGAAAGTCGTCGACCGCCCGATAAGGTGGTACACTCGTGCTTCGGGACCGAGTTGTATTCGTAAGATCAATCTCATTATTGGGTTGCAAAGAGGCAGTCTGGAAGTCGAGTGCATCAGCAGCTCTCATAGCCTCGGATGCTGGATCGCTGACTATCTCTCCATCTTGGTCTCTCGGCTGTGGCCTGGCAGGGATTATTTGCGACGTCTCAATATCTACATTGGTTGTATAACGACTTTGTAGTCCAGAGGCTCCGTTTCTAACAAGCCTGTTGAAGATACGTTCGGCTTTAGCAAAATCCCCGTCTGTCAAGTGCTTGCTGATGTCGGAAACACATTCCATCTGGGCGCTCGCCGTGCCTCCGTTCATGAAAACTAGCCGCTTATTCCTTGGTGTAGAGTGTTGTAAGAATGACCGTGCTACTTCGGCTCTGTCACTACATGCGTTGTGTACCGCTAGAATATGCGACTGGGCATGGAAGGGTGCTTCCGGGTCCTCTTCCTTCATAAAATGTCGGAGTGGTGGGATGATCAATATATTAGGTGAGCTCGGAAGCAGTCGGAGCTGTGTTGATATGGCATCTTGAGGCCCTTCGAAAGCTATCAAGCTTCCATGGTACTGAGATATAACATCCATAATGTCGCCTTAGACTTCCCCATGAGTTTATGTGATCTATTTTACGGCTCTAAGTTATTTATAAGGACCAGGAGACTTGCGCGCGCCAGTATAGTATACAAGACTTGTTATAGAACGGCAACGTCTAGTTACCTTAGTAGATTACCACGCCACATTCCAATTTTCGACCAAGGCGTAAAAGCCCAATCCTAAATTCCCGAATAGGAACTCTTAGGAGAGGCCGGCGAATTTGGGATATGGACTGGGGCCGACTATCTGAACCGAATAGCAGCTCTTGTTAAGCGAAGCTACTATAAACTTAGGGGATTCGGTATAAATGGATGGATGGGTAGTTATTTTGGGGCGAAGAATCCTAAACGAGCAGGAACTATACTATTCAGATAGAGAGGATCGTGGAAGATGCTGATGATAGTACGACTAAGAAGGGACTTTAAGCCTCAATAGGAAATTCTTAGAGAGGCAAGTAGCAAAGAGCCAGTGGAGAGTCGAAGAAGTGTAAAAGAAGTTACCTGCATGCTTGGCGTGCATTCCTGGAGAGAATACCGCAAACGACCTGTGGTCTCGAACTCTGTACATGGTACACAGCGATATATGGTGCCTGGGATCATAAGTGCAGCAGCGAGAACGCTTTCCAAACGGCATTCTCTTTCACACTGCTTAGATGAGGGATATCACGGATAGCAGCATTGGGAGCAATATTAGCATGGCATGGCCTGTACGGTTGGAATCTTAAAAGTCGCATGGGGTGTGTCTAAAGCCCCAAAAAATCCCGAAATCAAACTTGAAGTTTTTCCAAGTATGGTAATTCGAAGGGCGGCTACTGCGGACTAATAGAGATCTGATATGTGACTACCGAAGAGGAGTCCAGACATCTGTACTTGAGATGCTGGTTCGCCGAATATACATACATAGTAGGCCAAGCCATCTTTCGGCAGTAAGGAAAAAGGGAAAAAAGTAAATATGGGTAGGCTGGGGATAAGGCAAGGAGTCGATGTTGGTTCGAGTAAAGTACCCGTATAAAGTAAGTTGATATTTCTATAAATGCAAGTGATCCCGCGAGGACGAGCAAACGCAAGCCATGTGTTTGTTAATGAGAATAAGGATCTGCATACCTACTTAAGTGAATCAAAATGCCGGGCTTTGATGCGAACCACTATATCTTTACCCATAGGAATGAATGCTTATTTCAAGTTCGATATGCACTTTCTAATTATCTCTTAATAGTTGGGATATTCGTGTAGTAGGTAGTATTGCTTATGGTATTCCTTGATCAGTTTGTATGAAGTCGTGCTCGGATATCTCTAACATTTCCCACCGTATATTCTCGTCCAGAACAACAAGATCCATTCATCTAGATTGAGTTCAGAATACCCGCTACATGATACTTTCGGCATGAGATGAGGTAGAGAGAGTTATTATGCGGCAAGGTTCAGATGGACCACAAAGTACCTACCTTGCTCATCCCCGGGTTTTAGGCAAATTTGACGATCCGTGGAGATTGTGGCTGCATGAAAAAAGTAAAAAGTAATTATATCCCATACTTTATGATTTTTTTCATGGCATCGTAGAGTTAGTTGGATGTCTTCAGACCCCGAAACTAGGTGGCTCACTGGTCCTCTAACTCTAATAACTCTAAAAATGATTTGTATTCTAACTATGAAGTAAGGGGTAACGACAATAATAACAATAGGTAGTTTCATGCGAGAGTTAACTTTACCGATCGTATTCGCGTCAAAGTCGAATTCAGATGAGCGGCCTTCCGCATAACTAGGTACTAATGTGGCTTTCCAGTTCGAGAGATAGCCAGAGAACACATTCTTCATCGACGCCGCGTCGCAGATCGCAACATGGAAGCGAGGTAGATTACTCCCTTGTACTTTATTAGACCTGTGGCGTGCATCGAATTTATGAGGTCTTAGAGGGATGTTTTTGCTTATTATGTCCCCAACGCCATGACCAACGAGAAGAATAGAAATGCTGTTCTGGATTAGCTTGATCGCTAACAGGATACCCCCTGGCCTATTGCCTGTGTCGATCGAGTACTAGATATGTACGTATTCTGCACGGCCGGCATGGCTTTTTTTTACGCCACCCAACATCGTACATTAATTATGGGCGCCAAAGCGCAAACGGCGGAGTTCGCTTACAAGGGCGAATCGTTTGCATGTTGGCGTACATTTCCTGGTAACCGGATCTGAATAATCCTATAGGGAAACAGATTAACGAGGTAAGAATTGATCCTTTGCAACTCGCGTAGAAGACCATCTAAGGATATAATGGGTTAGATCTAGAGACATGCATAACATACTGCTCCTTACACGTTTCTATGAGACAGTTTTAGCGAAAAGATGCAAGTTACTCATTTAGGCTTTCGTATTCTAGTACCTTCATGTGGATATTTCTATATTTCGTAGGGAAATCTTAAATTCAGCGTGGCAACTTTCTGTTAAACCTGGCCACTAGGATGAGATGGTTGACGATATATGATGTGTTTCTTTACGGGATATCAAATATTGCCGCAGGGGACCGTCAAGGCTGTTGCCAGCCGTACCTATGGTATGACTTAGGTGAAATCGAAGTAGCACATGGGATATTCTCAAACTCAGCCGCCTCGTTTAATTCGAGTCAGACAAACGGTACGGAATGAAATTCGAGTGGGAGTACGAGATTAAGGTTTCAGGGGACTTTGTCCTATGGTCTATGGCCGCATGGCCGCATGGCCGCCTTATACACGTGAACTTTTTGATTCCATTGGGGTGAAACAAGTCTCCCGTTCATTCGGCCGACAGCCGCCATTATAACCGCCTTTTCCCAAAGAGGTCTCAAGCAGATTTATACCTGTCTATTTCCGTATCTACCGGTAAGAAGGTACTCATGTCTTCGAGTAATTCATCGCTTGCCTCGAAATGTCTCAGGGGTATTATTCGTCGTCTTCCATCAACTCAAGAAGTTCAGCTTCTTCCTCTGCTGTCATAACCCCCTTTTTGGGCTCTTCTGGAGTTTCATTCTTAACCCCCTTATCCTCTCTATCCTTATTAATCTTATCGAGCTCGGCCTGGCCAAGTGACCATGTCCTTACCGTACCGTCGATAGACACCGAAACAATTCGCTTGCCTGCATTGAGAACAACTAGGTCAGTAACTTCGTCGTAGTGACCCTCGAGTATACTGTATAGTTTCCCGGATGAACGATTCCAAACTTTGATATCCTCATCTCTTCCAGCGGTGATTATCCATTGATCTGTCACAGCAACGGCCCGTACGTGGTCACCGTGGCGGAAGGAATCATCAGTTGTAAATCCCTTGATCCTTGATAGACATTTTGCTGTGCCGTCGCCGCTCGATGTCCATAGGTCAACCTCTTCGCTTTCGGAATCAAATACCACTTTGTATACCGTAGTATCATGTTCTAAAACCGTGTGACGAACCGCGCCAGGTTCATCCGGCGAGGCTTCCTTGATCTGTTCAAAGCTATCAAGCCGAATGCGCCATCGACGGATGTGAGGGTCGCTACTGGCACTGACAAGTATGACTTCGTCAGGTCCCGACTGTACTGGGTCGACGACAAGATCTTGAATGGCCATCATTGACACAGCCTGGTCCTGCAACACATGGAGTCGAGATCCAGTTTGGAGGTCCCATACAATAATCTTCTTGTCTGCACCACCGCTGATTAAAATGTCCTTTCCTCCAACCTTGGCGGTCACGACGGCCTTAACAAAGTCCGAATGGCCATCGTATTTGCGACCGGGGTTTTAGAAGTTAGGTCCCAAGACCATACGTTCTTATCCCAAGAGCCGGCAAAGAGCGTATTGCTGCCAGATCCACCGACAGCAACACAAGTTACTGGTGCCGATGGACCTCGGAATACCTGCTTTGTATCTCCTGTCTAAAATAATTAAATTAACACTTTTACTCTTATTAACATATCTTTATATTAACTTACATCAACATTTACCCTACGAACTGATCCGGCAGACTCAGCAATGAGAACCGAGGACGGATCGGTGGGATCCGATATAGCAGCTAACAGCTTTGATTTGAGAACGATGGGATTGCCATTCTTGTTACCAGCTTTCGCAGCACGTTTCCCTCTTGGCCTGCTCGGCACTATTCAAATATGGTTAAAATAGATGGACTAATAAAATATTCTTGGATATAGCCTACTCAGTTTGGAAGAACTGGTCTGGGGATGTTCCTTTGTTCATGGTGATGATTATGAAGATCAATAGTATTCAGGGGTTGGTGAATAATGGTTTTTTTTTTTTTTTTTGAAGTGATGATATTGAAGGTAGAGTCTTCTGTGTTGGCACTGACGACTACTTCTTCGTAGCGTAGCTATCTACGATTTTATAATATTTCTTTAAATCGTTGCCTACGTAGGCAGCCACATTCATTAGCTATACTACTGGTACTGCCATTAGAAATTTGCCCTCTTATGTAAAATCGGGTTGAAATGTGATGGAGTATCTAACCTTAGAAAGAAATGATATTATTGCATTATCGCTTTATCGCGTTAGAGCTAAGTTGATAGGTACCTATTGGAGATTTGGAGAAAGGTGGGGTTATAAACCGCATTGGCCACGCGGGAGAGGGGCATCCCTGTTTGTTCTAACGCGCTTTCGTTAATCGTTAATTGAATTATCGACGCGCGACGCGTTTTCTACTATACATTTTCCACTATACATTTTCTACTAGTTACCTTAAGTTATGTTATACCTACACTACCTCTATCTAATTCAACTTTTTAATCCCACTCTCGCTTTTTGACTGTTGATGTCATTTAATTAAAGTGAGAGACGAATATCAAAATGACATCGACAGCACCTCTTCGTCCTCGAGCAAGACCGGCTCATACTCAAGGTTCAACTCACTGCGCTTATACCCCTGATGGTTCCAAGCTGGTGACCGTCGGTTCGAATAATACGATTCGACTATATAAGACAGGTTTTGATGGCGAGCCTATCAATATCGACGACTGCCAAGAACAGAATGTCAGCGTAGACGCTTCTGACAATTCTTCGTTGTCGGCTCTGAAAGACGGCACTGTCAGTCTCTATTCGATACCCGATGCTACCTTCGACAAGTTCCTCCTTCGATGTTCTCTCCCAATCCGGGACGTTGCACTTTCGCCAGACTCAAAGTGGTGCGCCGTAGCTAGCGACGAATTGACTGTGAAGCTCGTCCGAACCGATGACAATACCCAAATCCGTCACCTCAAGGAACACAACAAGCCTACGAAACATATCGCTTTCGATACTAAAGGGTCAATCGTTGCACTGGCTTGTACCGACGGAATCGTATATGTGTATTCGATCTCATCTGATGAGCCAGAACTTCTGAAGAAAGTTGACGGCGTCATTGGCGCATTGGATACCGAGTCGGATGTTAGTGCAAAGATCGTATGGCACCCCGACGGGCGTGCCTTTGCAGTCCCAACTCCGACAAGAGACATCCAAGTTGTCTCTAAGAACGACTGGGAGAAGCAACGAATATTTTCCAATGGTCATAATGGTGAAGTTACCGCTTTGGCCTGGTCGCCGAATGGTGCCATATTAGCTTCCGCCGGCAAGGACAAGAGAATATTGCTATGGGAGACCAAGACCCAAAGCGTCATTGCTAGGCTCGACTATACCAACGTGATAGATATAGCATGGCATCCTAGAGATAATCTAGTATCGTTCACCAACTCGGATGGTGAGGTCTACATTCATCCAGACTTTGTACCAGAGCAGTTTGTGCCCCTATTAAAGCTTGGAAAGCAACCTGCCCCTTTCATTCACGATCCCTTATCAGAAATTGGAGCAAATATCAGAAAACCTGCAGAAACGATCGTACCCGTGCTCAACCGAAGAAATAGAGAAGGAAGCTATGATTCTCTTATGGATGGGCCAATGCAAGATGACGATGATTTCGTAGTAGATGACGACGGAGCTGGATATGTGATTAATGGAAATGGGAAACGCATGCATGATGATATTGATGTTTTTGGCGAGCCGATAAGCAAGCGTCCTCACCTCGAACCGGAATACCACGAGGCTTTCCAACCTGGGTCTACGCCCTGGCGAGGCAATCGAAAATATCTTTGCCTGAATCTTATCGGATTTGTTTGGACCGTAGATCAAGATGGACATAATACAGTTACTGTGGAATTTCTACGACCACGAGTTTCACAGAGACTTCCATTTTACTGATACTTTCCTTTACGATAAGGCTTGCCTAACAGAGAACGGTACTCTTTTCTCTTGTCCGCCTAAAGATGACACACCAGCGACGATCTTTTATAGACCTCACGAGACGTGGACAAACCGTACCGATTGGAGGACGCAATTACCAAAAGGAGAGGCTGTCCTCGCTATGTCATTAAGCGAGTCTTTTGTAACTGTCACGACCACCGCGAACTACGTTCGAGTCTACACACTCTTCGGTATTCCTTACAAGGTGTACCGACCGAAGAGTACTCCGATGGTTACTTGTACAAGCTGGAGAGACTACGTAATGACAATCGGCAATGGTCCTGTTGGTGCGGACGGGCATACCAGACTTTTATATACCATCGAGAACGTAAAGAGGGACGAAATTTGTCAAAATGAAGACACCGTAGCCTTACCTGAGGGCGCAACGTTAAAGAGCGTCTTCTTCTCTGACAATGGTGTAAGTAAAATATCCTCATTTTCCGTGGATAATACTAACTTAGTAATAGGACCCTGTGTATTTATGATTCTACGGGAACACTCTTGACCTTGTTGCATTGGCGCCAACCATCAAGAGCCTCTTGGATACCACTCCTGGATACTAAGCTTCTTCCACGTCTCGCATCCGGTCGAAAGACAGAGACTTACTTTCCGATCGCCGTTGCGGACAACAAATTCCACTGCATCATCCTCAAGGGCGGAGACCAATACCCATACTTCCCGCGCCCCCTCCTCTCCGAATTCGACTTTTCTATTCCTCTCACCTCTGAACCGCCTAAGCAGAAGAATCCCGACGCCATGGATCAGGACGGAACACCGGAGCCTGAAGACGACGACTCGGAGTCTCGCAAATTGGAGCAACAATTCCTGCTTAAGGGCATCACGGCAGCACAATTACAGGATCTAGCGGATTCAACAAGCGGTAGTCATACACAACGGTCGAACCTCGCGCGTCTCGAGCTTGAGATTGACAAGACGCTCCTGCAGCTCCTAGCCATCGAATGCCGTGAGAGCGAGGATCGCGGCATGCGCGCTCTCGAAATTGTCGAGCTCATGCGCGACCGTACGGGACGCATGATTGAGGCTGCGAATAAGGTTGCCGAACGTTATGGAAGATCCATTTTGGGAGAAAAGATACGCGAGGTTGGCGAACGTAAGGCTAATGCTATGGATGATGATTTTTGAGAACCCGTGCTGAAGATTTGGATCGCATCTTGATTATGCTGGCGTTATGAGGGTTACTCTGCTATGACAGCATGAGGAGTGTGTAATATTTAAATTATGATTATATACGTTACTACATAATGTCTGGTAGTAACGGCTATGAGAATGGAATATATTAAGTATAGATAATCCTTTAAATATGTTGGAAGCTGGTGAATGATGCTCATTATGAAGGTATTCGACTATTGGCGATAAATTGCGAGGAGATCCTGAAGATATTCTGTTCAACTTACATTCATATACTACAAATATCTATCCGGTCAGCTCTCAACGGACTACGACTACGATATAGCTACCAAGCGTATATTATTCCTAGCTTACTACCTAACCTTAGGTATATAAATCATAGCCAAAAGCCTTCATCGCTTTCCCCTAATTCAGCAATGACCATAGTTTTACTGTACTTAGCTGTATTGGCGATAGCTTCAGGTACGGATCTAACTACGGGCTACGATGCTCCGATATTTACGATGGCCCTAGTCGGCAGTGGTCGCATATATGCACAGGCTTAACAGCGGTGCTATTTCAGGGTTGGGGAAACCAACACGCGTGGCGGAATTACCTGAAACTTATAACGACGCTTCAGGTTAGATGTGTGGGATATTTCCCGATGCGATAGATTATGATCCGTGCAGAGATCGGAAGGTTATCTTTAATAATTAATATTAAAAGTATTTGTTATTATTATACGTATAGATCGAGATATGTATTTCATTACAGTAACTACTTGCATTTTTCAACATTTATAATAGTTAGTTTAGGTATTCGTGCCAGTAAAAAAGTTTCATGCCGCAACTTTTGATGCTCTCTGCATTCTTCTCGTACTGGGAGTATGATAACCATTTCATCCAAAAAGGCATCATAACCCGAGTTGTACGGACTAGGTCCGAATCCCTCCCAACAAGTAGTGGCGGTATACGAGTCGTTATTTATTCCCCCACGTGGGCGTTTGACCAGGGGTCAATGACAAGACCTACATACGGTACATAGATGCTTAAATAGCCCCCGCCTTGGGGTCCTCGATACACTTACATGGCTCGTGTAGGGGTATCATGTATGTATACACACGCGGAAGAACGGCTAAACTACCTAAGCTTGGGTAGGTATACCTTATTATAACGTTTGAGTGATACGATACATACATCACCACACCGTGGGATGGGAGGATTCTCATACATAGGTTAGGTACATAGGTAGGTAGGTGGGTAGGTATGTATGTATATAGTACCACAGAGCGACGACGTAAAGGCCCGATGAAGAAATATATTGACCAATACTACGATGGTGATGTGCTCTATTCGATCATTCGCCATGTTTTAAACTCGACCGAACCAGAGCGATGGGTTTAGCCCCGTCTGCAATAACGCCGTTGCATCGTGCGGACGCGTCGTACGCAGAATACCGATAACTCCAAATGGTACAGATCTGCTTGCAGATATGTCGCATAGGAATGTTGTGGTAGCTTCGGCTTGTCCGACTGGGGGGCTGGATTATTAACTTGATTGTCAGGTTTGAAATAACTTGGAAGCTACCTGTTATGTGCTTGGTATAACTTATAACAGAAAATACCTGTTTCGGGGTATAGTTATTTCGATACATTGGATAGTCTTATGCGTAGCCTTGCTGATACTTGAACTCTTGGATAAACATATATCGATGTAGTTTGGTTGAAAGGCTCAACAGGATATGCATTCTCATATTAGTGATGAGGTCTATTAGTATAGACAATACTAATCCATACTATTCTACGTCTATCATATTATAGTAAAAACCTATGCATATAAATCCCAATCCTATCTATACCCACCTACAGTAACGTACCCTTCCCATCACAACACGAAATAAGAATAACAATAATAAATTTATTCAAGCCGGATACTTCTCGAAATGCTGCGCCGCTTCCCAGTGCGCACGCAGTACTACCGCACCCCATACATACATACATACCTTAGGTACACAATCAAGTCTCACGTAGTATAACCCTCCAATTAAGTCAATTAATATCGTCGAGCCCCGGAGCCTTGCCCACGTTTTTCACTCAGCATGGATTAGAACCGCGACCCGCCCCCATATAGATGTATGTAGTGTATAGACAGGGGAGAGAGAACTCTCCCGCCATCTTGTCTGTCAAACCTCTGGAACAATGTCGGTGGGTCTAAGAAATACGCCCATGCATGACATCCACACCCCTTGTCTTTTATGGTATGTATAGATTGGCTATTCGAGATGCGGCTAGACGCAAAAGGGACTTCGTCGGGGAGAGGATCAGCTACATGTATATGTATATGTATGTGTGTGTATATGTATGAGTAGGAATGCGAATGAATGAGTAAGTAAGTGAGTGCAAACATGGCGCAGCAGCAATCCTTCGGCTTAAAACAAACAGGTAGCCAACCCGGAATTTCGCTTGCGCGCCGGCCCAAGGCCGCCTTGTTTAACAATTCCCGACACGACGACGACGAAGATGACGACGAGGTGGTGAGAGCGAATAGAAACGTGGAGCATTAACGGTCGCTGTCTCTGGTATATGGAGAGCTCATCGACGGCTCGAATATGCCAACTGACGATGCGGCGGAGTTCGTCCGCCTCATGACAGCGTATGATAATTCTCACGAACCGAGGCCGCTGCTTAATCACCGAGCTACCGTCTATGGTTTGGTGATTCCTTTTATGGTGAGAGTTACATATCGAAGCAGCGCTAGACAGGATATTCGCTAATCGTGTCAACATAGGTTGTCTCTTATATATGCGTCATACTTAGGATATACACACGGATCAAGTTACGGTGTTTAGGCTGGGACGATCTATTCGTGGTGCTCTTCAGGGTAAGTCACCAGTTTGAAAAACTGCCCAAGAGGACGTCGATCTAACCGTCGAGTATAGATATCGGCTACCGTTGGCTCGATATTCTTGTGTCTTTGTAAGATATCTCCTTTCACTTATCCCCAGGAAGAAGAACCACCAGCTAACCAGAACCCCAGCGCTGAATAACGGGTTCGGTGAGCATATCCTAACAATCGGATACGACAACATCGTCGCGTTCCAACAGGCAAGTATTTACTCCTCCAACCATACCACCCCAACTCCATACTAACGCCCTCCCCCAGAAATTCTACGTCTGCCTAGCAACATACACCATCTCCACCACCCTCGTAAAGCTCTGTCTGCTATCGCAGTACCTGCGAATCTTCGAAGCCCCGTCGCGCGCGCGAACCGTCTGCTGGATCGGACTCGCCGTCGCCGGGACTTGGGGCGTCGGCTTCTCCTTCTGCGCCCTGTTCCCCTGCTTCCCCGTCTCCGGGTTCTGGAACTGGAACTCGCCCGCCCACTGCTACGGCTTCGGCTCCAAGGTGCCCGAGGAGATAGCCGGGACTTTTGCCGGACACACCGGGTCGAACGCGGTTCTGGATGCCCTGGTGCTTGCTATCCCCGTGCCGCTGTACTTCCGGAAGTCGACGGCGTGGAGGCAGCGGTTTGGCATTGGAATCCTCTTGATTCTAGGCCTTGTGTATGTACAGTCCACCACCCTCAACGCTTACATCCAAGCTCAGTCCTACTAACGCAAAGCTCCCAACAGCGTAAACCTCCTCAGCATATGGCGTCTGCAAACCATCGTCGCCAGCAAAGCCGGGACATACCCCGTCCTGGACCCGACCTGGTACGGGCCCAAGAGCATCATCCTCGCAGCCCTCGAAGTCGACCTAGCCAGCATATGCGCATCGATTCCGACCTTCTGGCCCGCTCTCACCCACGCATTCCTCAACACCATCTTCATAACGCAAGAAGTCCACATAACCCACCAACACCGACGCCTCTCCTCCGCCTCCTCCTCCTCGCATTTCGACCTGCAGCAGCTTTCCTCCTTGGAGCGCGGACGCCAGGACAATAAGGCGTATGACCGCCATTACCGCGACGACTTCGTGCTGCAGAGAGTCATCCCGGCGAACATGATCGAGGACGACGGTAAAGACGGGGATAAGGGCGCGGAAGCCCGCGGCGGGTCGCAGGTCCGATCCGAGGGACATCGCGGGTTCAAGCGCGAATGTGAGCGCTTAAGGCTGGTGGCTGTGGAGAGTAATAATAGCAGTGGGAAAAGTGATCATACTAAAACAAAGAAAATAATGTCTTAGGGGGGGGATCAATGGCTTCAGGGGGGTTTGGGTTCTAGGATGGAGATAAATATTAGGCGCATTGATGTTTTGATGATACCCTTAAATGGAATTCTGTCTATTCTGGATCTCATATACTTGGATTCTCCGTAATATGCCTGTGTTTAGGGCTATGAACGTTTTCACAGCAAACATCTCACCACTGGTAGAATTAAGACTCAACTATTAGATTCTACCATCTCCTAGACCTTTCATAATATTGTTTCGTTAAATTAAATAATATACTTGAAAATACACAGCATAATGACCACAAGATGGGGGTATGTATACAAAATAATCGATACATCTATGTCTATTACCCTATTCATAGTCTCTATGTCGGCCATTCCCAACCCTGTACAATATCCCCAACCTTTTAAACCAGGCTCTATCCCTATTACTCAACACAAACATACGGGGACAGCCTCACCGTCTAACACAGACCATAAAAGGCCGTATCATGACCATTACGTCACGCTTCTTTTACTCTCACGCTTTCCTCTGCTTTCTCTTCGCCAGGAACCCGCTAATGGGGTTCTTGCCCCTGAACCTTAGGTACGTAGCAAAGTAAACCACAGCGTAATTGAACACGATGTAAGCCCAGACGATGCCAAAGTCGCGCCAGATATTGCTGTAGTAAACGCTGAACTGTGTCCCGAACTCGTCCCCGTTCTTGTATTGGCAGTATTCGCAGAGGCCATCATTTGAGACGCTCTGCAATATTCCACTCGCTCGTGCAGAATAAGCCTCGGTGTACGATTCACAGCTCATGTCAGGAGGAGGGCGGAAGCGTGCGAGCTCGTTCGGCTTACACGTGACAGGTTTATCGTGGATGGCGACAGCGACGAAGGCTTCCAATAGGTAGTGGAAGGGGGTGAGCGGATACATCCACTTCTGCCAGAAGTATGGGAGCGAAGCCGGCGGCACGGACACGCCACAGAAAGCCACGACGAAAAGGAAGAAGAGGGGGACGAACAGACTTGCTAGAAGTTGGTTAGGACTGAAGGCCGCAATGGCCTGGCCGAAGCTGACGTAGTACAGCTCGAAAATCATCATGCACAGGAAGGTAAACCCGGATGGGAAGCCAGTCATTTTATAGCCCATCAATCCCCACCACCAGCAGTTGTAGTAGATGGCGCCTCCCACGATAGCATAAGGTATTTCTACCAGCACTGCAGCCGTAGTCCACGCAACCCACGAGTAAATCTTTGCGTTGTTCTCGCGAGACTGGAAAATATTTCGTGAGTTGAGAAATACGGGTTGAAGCTGTTGAATTAGTGGGGGCGAGATCGTAAGGTTCATAAAGATTGAGAATAGGCGGGATTGCATGTCGATGCTAGCATCACCTAGACGCCAGAATGTGAAGGTATTAAAAAGACCAGTGAATATATGCAAAATCATCTTGCCCATGATGTAGTTTGGTGATCTCCAATAAGCAACGAAGGAACGCTTGACGACCGCCGTTATCTGGGTCGATAGAGGCATGGCATATTCGCGGTCATCCTGGATGTTCTTCGAATGTTGAACATTCCGCCGCTTCTCATTCATCTGAGTTATTTCGCTCGACTGGTCTTTAAAGTTTTTAGATTGTAACCAGGTGTCGCCCCAGTCTTGGCCTGAGTAATCCGGATTTCCAGCTCCGATAGCCTCCAGCATCCACTCGGCCGGGTTTGCATTAGGAGGACATTTCGGGCTACCGTTAGACTCAAAATATTTGATCAGCTTCTGACTGTCCTTTCCCAGCTCGCCTGCGTACGCTACGCGGCCTCCGGATTTGAGCAAAATCAATTCGTCAAAATTTTCGAAAAGCACGGCAGAAGGCTGATGAATGGTACACAAGATGGCCTGGCCGGCATCAGCCAACTTACGCAAAAATCTAACGATATTGAATGCTGCCCCTGAATCGAGACCGGATGTGGGCTCGTCTAGGAACATCAGTAACTCTGGCTTTGATGCAAGTTCAACACCAATGGTAAGTCTCTTGCGCTGCTCTGCGTTAAGACCCTCGCCGACCACTCCTATTGTTGCTCCGGCGATATCTTGCATTTCAAGCAGTTCGATAATCGTTTCACAGTAAGCATACTTCTCCTTTTTTGACACTTCCTTTGGTTGACGGAGAAGTGCAGAAAACTGTAGGGCCTCGCGCACAGTTGCAGTTGGCTCGTGGATATCAAGCTGCTCCGCAAACCCTGTGGCCCTCTGGAATGATTTTGGAAGGGGTCTTCCGTCTACCAAGAAGTCGCCTGTCACGACACCAAACGTAATCCTAGAAGAGCAATTTAGCACACATTTTTCCTTTTGAAGTCATAATATTTCTTACCTCTGAGCCAAAGTATTCAATAATGTCGTTTTTCCGGCTCCAGAAGCTCCCATAAGGGCTGTCAGCTTCCCCGGTCTGACAAAACCCTGAACATTTTGTAGTAGCTTTCTCTCGCCACCCTGGAAAGGAATGGTATAGTTGACGTTTTGAAATGTGAATATTGTCTCGTTCTTGGCGACTGTCTGCATAGCTTCTTTGTCTCGTCCTTCTTGTGCTGCAGAGGCTTCTTCAGGAATAGTAACTTTCTCTCTAGAACTTGCGGCTTCCTCGTCACTTTTATTACCTTTACGGCCTCCGGTCTCAATAGATTTCTGGAGACTCTTTGGAACCTGTCCTCGCTTGAAGACCGTGACGGAAGCGCCTCCGGCATTAGGTTTCATCCTCTCCATGCCTATCATTGCTATGGCAAGGAAGAAACCGAAGAAAGCCCACAAGAAGCCGAAATTCCGCCAAAGATGACCGCGCGAATAATTAAATGATGCCTGAATATAATCTCCTCCATTAACAACAATCTCACCAGGTCTTGAGCCTGCTAATGTGCATGATTGATATTGTGGTTCAGCACCTTCGACACCATTAGGGACGAGGAATGGGACTACACAATCCAGTTCTAGGTTGTAGAACTCATTGGACATGAGACACTCAAACCCATACTGGAGCCAATTAACCCAGCGTAGCCAACTAAACCACGGGTGCATTGACGAAGGCGGGATTAGGTATCCGGTATAAACAATGATAACCTGAATTGCGACACCGGTCACCTTGGTGGCATCGTCCAAGGTCTTGAAAATTGCGGAAATAGCACGGAAGAAGGCGTAGGTCGTCATTGTAATCATCCACAGAATCAGAAGCGAGATGAAGAATTGAGATGGGGTGGCGGAAAGGCCTGCCATCCAGTAGATAATGATATCGAATAGAAACACCTGAATGAAGACTAAGGGTATGTCCACGACAGTTTGCGCCAAGGCGTAGGCGGAAGGTCGATAGAATGAAAAGTTCTTGTGCTTGAGCAAGATAGGTTTGGATTCGAATGCCGCAGTCTGTTCAGCAAGCGCCATTAACGCGTTGAACATCAAAATAAAGAACAAGACACCGCCTCGCGTGAAGGCACCCGCTGCTGTAGGTGGGAGTTGGTAGAATAAACTTCCCACTATAAGGCTCTGGAAGATGATACCACCCCATTTTCCTATAAGTGACGCTTTATCTCCCAGCATAATTAGGGCTTGACGTTTGGTAAGAGCGATCACTTGTTGGGGAAATGATATAGTATAATTCTTTTTCTCGTTCTTTTCTGACGTATTCTCGGCCCGAGCAAGCTGCTGCTCTTCGAGATGAGCTTCGTAATCCTGGATATCATCAAGGTTACGCTGGTAAGCTTCACTTTTCCTGAAGATATCGGCGAATTCTTGGGCTGATCGTGGGATTCGATCTTCCCATCCCGACCTGACACTACGCTCGTGGGGGTCGGTAACGGACGTAAGAAAATCGGCCGTGGTCCACCGATCAGGACAATCAAACCCAAGATCCAGGAAATACTGTTTGGCGCCATCAGAGGGTCCATAGTACAAGCATTGGCCATTGTCAATTAATAAGACTTTGTCGACAAGGTTGTATAAAGATTCGCCAGCTTGGTACAGCGAAACAGCAGTGGAGACCTGGGCCATGTTCGTAAGTGCTCGTAATGACTGGACGTACTCGACAGCGGTCGATGCATCCAGTCCCTTACTCGAGTTGTCCCAACCTTGAACACTGGCTCGAGTAATGAGTGCCTCGGCAATACTGACTCGCTTGCGCTCTCCACCAGAAACCCCCCTAATATACTCATTTCCGACCTTGGTATCCATTGTATGCTCAATCCAAAGCAGCTTTGCAGCCACCCTGAGAAATTCCCTTACGTAGTCTTCTCTACTCTCGCCTTCCATTCGCGATTCCTTTCCAGGGGTACGAGTCCGGAGAGCGAAGGTGAGGGTATGCTTGACTGTCAATGTAGCATAATGTAAGTCATCTTCCGGATTGTAAATGATTTCGCCCCTGAAATCCTTAGCCATGCGCTTCGCATCCGTACCACCGTAAGTTACATCTCCTAAAACGTCTTCGAAACCTGCTCGCTGATTACAGAAGGTTTTCAAGAACGTCGTGCAGCCGGATCCCGGTCTACCAAGGACAAGCAAAATTTCTCCAGGTCGGACACAGCCATTGAAGTTACTGATCAGTTCTCTTACGGGGGGCTTCCCGGCGGCGGCTTTAGGTCCTTTAGTCACCAAATTCCATAAGAATCGTGGTAGGTCAAGGAAGATATCGCCAACCGTAGGCTGTAAGCTGGCTCCAAGGCCGGCACCCTTAACTGTAAGATTTCGGAAGATGACACCTGCGTGCCTTGTCTTTCTTCTTCGCTATGCTGCTGTCGAGCTTGGCCAAACATACGCGACATCAGTCGCTCGATTTCGTCGTTCTCTCCTTGCGACTCAGCGTTTAGGTAAGGCTACGACGCCGCGAGAGGACACGGAACAAATCATCTTCTGTTTTAATTTCACTCTCTTTGCGTTCGAGTTTTGGTTCCGCCGTCGACTTAATAGGTTCGAAGCGAGGTTCCACCTCGGTTTGCTCAGACTCATCAGACGATATTTCGCCAGGGGGTGGCTGAGCTTGTTGTGCTGTAATGGTGTTCTTAGAAGAAGATGGACTAGAATCACTCGGTCTAGCATTCCCACCAGCACCATCAACATTGGTATAATTCACATCATCGCGTTGTGTTGATGGGATCGCGTCTGTACCGACATTTAACGATCTAGCAGCTGATATAGAGTTTTCTCGGTTGGCAGCAAGTGAAAACTCCCGGCTGATAGTTGAGAGACGTTGGCTGAGATGGAGGCTGGGGTCTCAGGGTACCCGCCAGGCATATCTGTATCAGCTGGAGTAGGTCTGTCGCCGTCCATTGTGACTTAGGTAGATGAAGGGGCTCTACACAACCCGAAAAGAAGGGAAAGACGTGGCTCAGACACGTATGGTTTTTGATTAAGAAGGAAGTAGGTAAAATCTATAATAACCACATCATAGGTGTTGAAGGTGTTGGAGGTGTCTAAGATCTCTAGCTTCTAAAAGGAAACAGATGAGACATAAAACAATACATCATCATAGAAGTCAGAGTCAGTAGGAACAATAAAGAAGATAACCACATGTCGGAACCCGGGAACCCTGAGGATGCGGATCGGAGTTCGGACTCTAAAAATGAACGAGATGGGTTTGTAAGACTAAAAAGAAAATTACATATACTAAATGTCACTGACTACTACATAGAAGTTGGGCAAGCGCGATCAGTAGGCTTGGGACTAAGTGCGTGAATGCTAGGTTCTGATAAGTCCTTTTTTGGTGTAAAAAATCGAAGGCGTCAAAGGCGTCAAGCCTCCTGTGGGTCCTCAGTGGGGGTGATGATGACATAGAATTCGTAGGCCTTACGCTAGTAGATTCATGCACCTTCATGGCTGCAATTGTTGGCTGTACTTGGAAGTACCTAGATCCATAGGTAAGTCCATCCGATCGGTGTTTCAAACTAGACGTCACGTTTGTCAGCTGCAAATCGATCTACTAAAGGGCTAGAAGCTCTCCCCATTAATAATGTCGAATAATATAAGCCAATTAAACTAAAGAGATTCGCATTCGGAGGATGGTTCCGACCAAACGCCTTTATGTACCTCTAAGAATACTTCTTATGTCTCGCTGATATGCTTTTCTATAAGATGTAATGTTGGTTTAGCCAATATAAAGCTTCATGTGGATATATTAATATCGCCAACGCTTTCATTTAGCGATCTAGATTATACGTTAGTTAGATGTGATTGTAAACATTGATATTGTTAGTTCAAATAAGACCCATCTCCTATTATCAAGAAGAATGAGGCGCTCGATATGTTTGCTTGTAGTGTGTTCCGAATGATTGGTAGCGAGAATATAACTTTACAGAGAGACTAGTCTCCCTCGGCTTGTTCCGAGTGAAAAGAATGCGCAGCGATACACAAAGCATTAAGGAGCGGTAATGTAATGTAAGTTCCTGACTGTGCCTGGAGACCGGGTCGCTAGTTACGACCACGCAAAGATTATGTCGGAACCAGATATGAAGATATGAAGAACGTTCGAAGGATGACTTGAAGCCCAGTTATAAGTTCCGAATCGGACTCGATATGAAATATACCAGCATGTGCTAGTGGTGGTTTTAAAGACTTAGAGGGCTATCGCAAAAATAGCAAAGTCCTTTGTGTAATGCGAGGATGACCTGAGGCCGGATGATGCTTTCCTCCAAAAGTACCTACACTATAGGAAATTGCCAAATTAGTGGTTCGAAGAAGATAACGAAGACATCAATGTCATGTTTAAGATAATTGAATAAACGAATACAACCGTTTAGTGGACTTGTCGTTAATATGTGCGGGAATAAGTAGGCTCAGCATTAGTGTCCATAGCTTCAAACGCCTAGAAGTACCTGAGATCCCGGCGTAGGTAACACACCCATCATCGGCTCTCCCACAGGGCAGCCCGGTTACACAACATCTTACATAATAGTAGGTTGATTCAAAATTTTTGTACCGGTTAAGACAATATTAATGATACTTAACTTTATCGATGGCTAGTTATTACTTGAAAACCTCTTTATTCGTATAGTTACTATTAATTTCTATCAAGTTTATTATTTCTTTTAAACCTGGTCGTTTGTACTCCCTTTTGATATTTACGGGAGGTTACAACACCACTATGCTGTATCTCTACCCATTATAAGGTTGTCCGAGATAACATCAACATATGTCCCCTTGAAGGAAACGCCATCAACTCTCAGCACTCATTTCAAGCTACTATTGGTACCAGTATCGAAAAAATAATGATCAGATGATCCAACGCCGACATCCTTTGAAAGTGGTTACTTATATAGGTAATAACTGAACTCAGTCCAGAGTTGTATAACGTCGCAAAGACCAAACGGCATAATCCTTCGATAAGTTTTATCCGCCTGTCGTTGATTATGACTGTTTATCTACCACCACTTACAATAGAATCTTAGCTACAATTAAGTGATCCTCATTACGGACGACCGAGAGGGCTGCTCTGCTAGAGCTTGCTTCCCCCATTGTGTGATTTCGTCTCCAATTAATTGATACGTTTGCAGAGCTGAAAAATCCTCCTTGATAGTGTAACAGAGCGGCACGTACACTTACGTAAACGTGCCATGTCTCCGAAAAATCGCTCACTTCATGAATAATGAGTTTAATGATATGATAGTTACAGGTAATTTGAATACCCTCAAATTTTATGTATTATTATGATGATATATATGAAGAAGGAGTGAGTTATTGAATGTCTAAGGGTAGAATTTCAGGGGTTTGGAAATAAGTGCTGTAAAATACTTTATGCTTGCGGTCAAGTTATGGTTATCACGTTTCTTATCGCCAGACAGATCTGGCGTCATCCTGATTCCAACTTAAGTCTAACAGCATAAACGGTAGCGAAACCTTAAAGTTACCTGCTGTAGTATTTTAGTTTGTAAAGAGCTTAGTTTGACATCTGAGAGGTCGACTTTATCGTGGGGATTTACACCACTCTCAAATCGATTCTCTAGATACAAGCCCACATTCAGACTTCAAGACATAAATTCATCAAATTAACAATAAGTCCGTAAGAAGCTTGATAAGAAGTTTATATTTATTAACGGACCCGCTTAACTTTCAGGGTCTTCGGTCATTATAACTTGAGCCTTTTGAAATGTACATTTGAATCCAATATCTACCCTTGTACCATAACCCATTTGACCATAGAAAATCATCGACTGATGTGAGTTTTAAATCGCTATGCACAAGATTGAACGAAAAAAGTTCCTAGAATATCATCCATCTCTCCTATCCGGACTGTCCCGCTGGTACCTCCGCGGGAAGTTCGATATACGTTTTCGTGCTTAGTTCGTGTATACCGGAAGCGTTGTCCATCATACTCATTTTCGTCGCTACTGTCCCGGACGAGTTTGGTACTGCCCAGGCGCTATATACGGTTGATAAGCAGAGGCTTCCTGTTCGCTAGCCAGTCGTTTGTTTCTGTATCTTCGCCATGCCAGCCAGCCAAGTACTAAGAACAATATCAAACCACCAAGACCGATACCAATTCCTATGCCAATCTTAGCTCCTGACGATAATTCGTCAGAATCTGAGTCGTCGAGATCACTGGGCGAAGTTGATACAGGAATTGGCGATGAGGCGGAAGAGGCGAAAGAGGATGTGGGAGTAGCTGTGGCGAAGATGTCGGAGGAGTGAAATGCGACTCTGATGGAATGTGCATTCACGCCACCGGTCGTCACAAGCTGTGATGTAAGGGTGTTTCCGGCGCGATCGGTATCGGTCACAATGTAAGTCTTGCTTATTTGACCACCCGAAATGCAAGAGTAGAAGCCGGGATCACAGGAAAATCCTCTGTGCGCAATTAGTCGCGTGAACCTATCGGGTGCAGCATTGGTATAATGCGTATGAGTATAACTTACGTTGGACAGCACGCCCATACAGTCTCGCTGTCATCATTTGATGGAGAAGCATTGCATGCGCTGGTATATCCGACCGGGCAGAATGCAGGGGAGATTGTCGTCGATAAGTCCCTCTTACCGGGCCAGCAGCTTGAATCAAATGGGTTGCCGAGAAAAACGCCCGTATTAGTCCCAGATGAAGTTACCCATATGTCCGTCACGCAGGACGTCGGGATCGCCAGAGAAGTCAACATCGCGAAGCTACTCTAGGGTTATATGGCATACATGTCGTAGGTAAAGAGGTAAAGGAAAGAGAATTCACATTAAATTCTACGCCGGTGAGAATCCAAAACGAAGGAATGCCCTTAGATTCATTTGTATCCACTCTGTAACCTGTCGTATAACATAGCCAGCCAGACAACCCAAAATATCACCCCTGTTTGATTGGATGTGGGCCTTTCAGTAAGGATTATCAACATACACCAATGCCTTCGAGGCTTGGAAGTCCTATACTCAGTATTCTCATATCCTTAATTCATCGTAGTGGGACAATAATTCTTTCATAAGAAAGTGCTAGCTAGTAGGTAAACATACGACCTTCTATTGCGAATTGTTCAACTCTTGAGCGTGAATATCATTGTGCTGTGGGGTGACTCCTACGCATGTGGCTGAAACTTTTCACTATGAATAGACCAATCATAGAACCAAATATCCGTATCAATATTCCTTTCGGCAGGCTGCGTGCCGATTATCGCGTTATCAGCTTACTTTAGGTATCTAACTTGGCTCAGATCGATGTAGGACTTGTCAAACGCTGGTGCTTGGCGGTGTCAATAGGAAGGATAGAAAGGATCTTGGCTCTCACGTGCTGATGGTAAGTTACCGCGTAACCGTTAGTTATAAGTCAATTAAAGTAAGTTGCTACCTATCCACTATTTCATTTCTCGAGTGTCTATAAGTCACGTAAACTTCCTGCCAACGAGAATTATTAGGACCTGGGCAGTTTGTATTCTGCTGTTGCATCGTATACAAGAACGAGATCCTGTCTTTTGTTTAAATAACAAGGCACATTCTTCCTTAACAACTCTAAGAGACGGAGAATCAGTTACGGGTCAAAGTTCATCAACCACTAATTACCTCGTCAAATTCGCGGGCCCCTTTTTCTGGACTATATAATGCGAACCTATCGTGCTCAGTCGTGTAGCCGAGAATACGAAATTCAGGTTGCGGATAACTCTGGTTTAATGGCCTTTTGATCGCCTTACGGTAGACCTTACATATATGTAAATGCTATCCAATCACTCCTTATATCAGTTTCCTGTCCAATAAAAGCCATATAAATATATCTTTCAAATACCATACTTCTAAACGGTACTTGAGGTTACCCCCTAGGTAACACAAAAGCCTAAGGTTTACACCTCCCCATACCTGATATTTATTAGGTGTTATATCCTTGGTAAATATCAGGATAAATTGAATTATAAATGCCTACCTTTCACCCTTTTATATACCCTCTCACGAAAGCGCTGCACGCATCTTATGTACCCATTCCTTGTAGATCTACTCCTGAACCTACCCTTAAGGCATTTATACCTTAATGGGATTCTACCTCTTTTATTATTTATTTCTTTTTTCTTTCATTTTTACTACTTTTTGTAAGATGGGAAAAATTCGCATAGGGCAGTAAAGCATATATCCCGAATAGAAAATCTTTACTCGCATTTGACACAATATCCTAAGGTAAAAAAAACCTTAGACATACCATTTTCCATTTAATATCTAAAAATTCAGCAACTAAGATATGACCGTATTGTAGGACGAGTGACAAACTCGATTATTCCTAGATTATCTCTTCTCTCTTGGTATTATTAACGATAAGAAAAGTTGGTCTTCTTTTATAGCTATACTACTTTATGGTTTTTTATACCCTTTAATCTCGTCAACCAGCTGGATATTACTAGCCCAGATACAAAAATTATCCAACATTATAAAAAATAGTATTATATATCTGAGGTATTATATTAATCATAGTTAGTTAATGAAAGTGGAAACTAAGTTTTAGCTACATTATAAAGCCATTCCAACGAGCATAACTAATAACAGGTGCATAGCCTAATAATAAAGTATACGATTTTGTCACCACATCAATCTCTGTAATTTTCAAGCTTGACTTAACCCCTGCTATGCCAAATTATATTTTAGTCATATGTTATAACGGTTAAGCACCTAGATCTACCGGTAATACCAAGGCCGCCCTAGGGGTTTTTTTAAAGATTAATTTAGAGTAAATTCGGACTAAATATGTCAAGGGGTTTATACCCAGGTGATTGATGTTATACACAAAGTGAATATCTAGGATAGGTAGACCAAAATGATGATATATTAAACTAGTAACGCCTGGCTTCTACTCTCTTTCGAGGGCGCGGAGCGCCCTTATATAGTAGATAGACCCCTGTAGGCCTTTTTACTCACTTATACCCTGACAAAATAGGTATGTAATTGTCTATGCGGTTGCTGACGTATTACAAGCTCTGTGACGGTTCGTATGGAGTATTGATAAGCTATGACTGAGAAATTTAAGCCTCGTCGTATGCTAGTAAGATCACCACAACACACTCGTTGTATCATAATCACCCATACCTCTTCTCAGTATAGTAACAATGGTGACTAACTAAGTAACAGAGTAAATTCCGTAGGTATCCCCAACAAGCTCCTTTTTGTTGGCAGCGTTAACCCAGTGACAAATTATAGGGCAACGAGAACTTATCTATCCCCCTAAATATATTCCTATTCCCTATTAATAATACTTAAGTAGTCAAAAGTTAAGATGTCATAGTTAGGTAGGCCTATTACCATGCTATGGTTCCCAGCTTGGTTAAGATCTAAGCTTCTTGTCACCCCACGGGCTCTGTAGTCACTTGACCAGCGGCTAATATCTAGAAACCTATCAGGACTCTAGTTGAGATATCTAGGATAAATGATATTCTTAGTACCTAATGTACATCTAGGCTTAGAACCCCTCGTGGAATAGTGAAGTTATTTCCAAGCCTCCGAGGTGTACGTTGTGATACCTCATCTCTTCCAACCCCACAGTACCATAAGAAATGATCGGGGCCATTGAAGCCTTCGTCGTCGTATGTGCATGCGTTCTATTTAATGTTCTTAGAGAAAGATATATCACAAACTGCTTCAAAATATCTAATATTTTGACAGGCAAGCTAGCTCGCTGGGCATTATCTATCTAAACTTTCGAGTACTCGGCTTAGGATCTCACAAAGTCTGGGCATGATAATAATAACACCCATCGAACACTACTCACTTGATTCACCTCCCGAGTAGTTAACCTCCATCATCTACCTTGTATGCTTGATATAAACCTTACCCCTTACTGATTTAGTAACTGTGCATATATAAAATAGACTTCAAAAAAGGGGGGACTGGTTTTGGTTCCTCACATTATTGAAAAACATAAATATATTAAGGAAGGATCTACCTGTATTTGAGTAAGAAAAGGTCCTGACCCCTCTGACATAAATCACTTACTCTATGTGTAACCTACGACAATCACCACGAGAGACAGGACTGGGGCTAAATATATCTCATAGAACTGATATTCATAACTCCTTCTTAAATAAACTCGCCGTATCTATCTATCTATCTATCTGGGGAAGTAGAGAGCACCTAAGTATAGCGTTCCCATGATAACTACGCCTGTTCGACTCCGGTCACGGACGTCTTGAAATGAATATAAGACATCTATATAGTAAAATCAACCACACAGAACACATATGCTATAGCGGACTATATTCGAAACCCAGATCTTATTCCAAGATATCCTGCTAGCATTCCCCTTAGTTCACTATAATAAGCTCATGTGCTTCCATACGGGTAAGAAACCGGCCCCCCTTTAAAGCTCCCAAGTTTCATAGGGTCATGAGCATAACATTAGAGGGTATAATAATATACGCGCTATAGATATCGGTTGATCTTATACGTAGATCCCATTATCGCATGACATTCTGGCGTATAGACGCGCACGGACATATGAATGGACACATCCCAGTAGCGTCCCTGACACGACGACGGGTGACCACAGATCCAGATCGTTGGGGGCTTTCCTCTATAGATATTTTATGAGTAAACGTAGCCATAAATAGAGCTAATTTATCTCCTCCAACTGCTAAACATTTCTGCGGTACAGCCAATTATCAAAACACCGAAATAACTCTATCATCGGCGATACTACTACGGAAACCCGATAGAAGTCGGATGGTAACTCTGCAGGTTTAAGATGCAACCATGCAGTCCACCGAGGGATCCAGGAACGAGGATATGCTGGCTCGGTGAGGAGGACTGCCGGTGCGTCTGAAAAAGGCAGTTCCTGGGTATAACTTGGTTTTAGGTAGGTTTGAAACATTTAAGCCCCTGTCTTACTCTTGGGAAACATATATATTAACCCTATGTGTAGGTGGTATTCTACGAGTTCAAGACACAACTATTCCAGAACTAAAGAAAAGGACTGTAACGATCGAGGTTTAGGGCGTAGCCGCGGAAAAGGAACCGTAAAAAGAATACCTATGATTTTTATGGGGGTGCGTCGGCTATGCTGGGATGGAAGCATAGTAATCGCCTAGTTGCAAGCTTCTTAACACCGAATTAAATAGCAATTAGACGTAGGAGGTAGTTTAGCTTGTAGTTGGTTCAGAGCTCCTGCATGACAACTCATAGCTCTAATTTCCGGCCTCATCGTCACATTCGCATAACAATATCTTACTACACGTAGACTACTATAATAGGTCCAATTAGCAAGTACATGACTAACCCGCTATAGATAAATGTCTTAAGCAGGGCAGGTTGAAGATAACCGCGCCGGGCCGCGCCGCAGCTTGTGTGACTAGAACTCCGTAACAAGAACTGAAGCCGAGGCCGAAGGAAGCGCGCAGATGACCGCGCTAGTTTGCCGAATGATCAGTTAGTCGATAAGATCATCGCGCATACTGAAACAGTAGGCGGACTACGACATCACGGGGCCGGCTGTGTTGCCGAAGAAGCGCCCCTGCGTCTCATTATATATTTTTGCCGTCTGTTATACCCGCCCAAATCGCATGCATGGCCCCAAAAACTAGCAGATCTGGGAAACGTAGCGTGGGCCAATCATGAATATTCTTATGTGGAAACGACTCGATGGTCTTTCTTATTTGTTGGCCAGCCGCGAAACGTGGGGCTGGACGACGACTTGGCAGCTATATCAACC